AATAAAAAGAAGGAGCAGAGTATCCCTCTTGCCCTCGACACTACTTTTCCCTTACATCATAATGAAGTAACAGACCAAGTTTTATTAGAATCTGTTGGCTAGAAATAAAGATATAATTTTTCACATCTCAAAAAGTCAATCTTTATTGATAAAAATTGCTGGAAATTAAAGAAGAAGCAGAGTATCCCTCTTGCCCTCGACACTTCTTTTTCCTTACATCATAATGAAGTAACAGACCAAGTTTTATTAGAATCTGTTGGCTAGAAATAAAGATATGATTTTTCACATCTCAAAAAGTCAATCTTTATTGATAAAAATTGCTGGAATAAAAAGAAGGAGCAGAGTATCCTTCTTGCCCTCGACACTACTTTTTCCTTACATCATAATGAAGTAACAGACCGAGTTTTATTAGAATCTGTTGGCTAGAAATAAAGATATGATTTTTCACATCTCAAAAAGTCAATCTTTATTGATAAAAATTGCTGGAAATTAAAGAAGGAGCAAAGTATCCCTCTTGCCCTCGACACTACTTTTCCCTTACATCATAATGAAGTAACAGACCGAGTTTTATTAGAATCTGTTGGCTAGAAATAAAGATATGATTTTTCACATCTCAAAAAGTCAATCTTTATTGATAAAAATTGCTGGAAATTAAAGAAGGAGCAAAGTATCCCTCTTGCCCTCGACACTACTTTTCCCTTACATCATAATGAAGTAACAGACCAAGTTTTATTAGAATCTGTTGGCTAGAAATAAAGATATGATTTTTCACATCTCAAAAAGTCAATCTTTATTGATAAAAATTGCTGGAAATTAAAGAAGGAGCAAAGTATCCCTCTTGCCCTCGACACTACTTTTCCCTTACATCATAATGAAGTTAAGACCAAGTTTTATTAGAATCTGTTGGCTAGAAATAAAGATATGATTTTTCACATCTCAAAAAGTCAATCTTTATTGATAAAAATTGCTGGCAATTAAAGAAGGAGCAGAGTATCCCTCTTGCCCTCGACACTACTTTTTCCTTACATCGTAATGAAGTAACAGACAAAGTTTTATTAGAATCTGTTGGCTAGAAATAAAGATATGATTTTTCACATCTCAAAAAGTCAATCTTTATTGATAAAAAATGCTGGAAATAAAAAGAAGGAGCAGAGTATCCCTCTTGCCCTCGACACTACTATTCCCTTACATCATACTGAAGTAACAGACCAAGTTTTATCAGAATCTGTTGGCTAGAAATAAAGACATAATTTTTCACATCTCAAAAAGTCAATCTTTATTGATAAAAAATTGCTGGAAATTAAAGAAGGAGCAAAGTATCCCTCTTGCCCTCGACACTACCTTGCCCTTACATCATAATGAAGTTAAGACCAAGTTTTATTAGAATCTGTTGGCTAGAAATAAAGATATGATTTTTCACATCTCAAAAAGTCTATCTTTATTGATAAAAATTACTGAAAAATAGAGAAGGGTGGAGTTTTTTTTTTCGTGGTTATTATTATCCGTCCTGAATTTATTTTTCTCTTTTTATTGAACTTATTATCCGGGGAATAGTCAATCATGTTTTAAAAAAAAATACAGTTGTGGGCCCGGGTCTTTTTTTCTATGTTTCGTCCCTGCGGCTGTCAGCTGGTAGCTGCTAATTTCAGTTTCATTCTCTGTTTACGACGATTTGATAAGCAGTAATCATTTTCCCGTTTTAATTAGCTTTCTGTATCACGACCATATCAGTTTTTCATCATCTGCAAAGAACGTAAATTCTCAGAATATTTCAGATAGTTCTTCTTACTTGGCTGATGTTAACTTTCTAAAAATAGATTGGTTAAAATTTTCCCAGCTATGTGATGATGCTTTTTCCTGTTTTACTTTAGAATCGGATCCTTTAACAAACTATACTTCATTTATTGAAAATTTATGTAATATTTTAATGACATTTCCTAAAAAACAAAAATTCAGTTGCCATAACAGAAAACGCAAGCCTACTATTTGGTGGAATGATATTTGTTCTCTAGCAGTTAAAAGAGCTAAACTCGCTCTAAACTCATTTAAAAAATATCCTACTTTAGAAAATTATATTTTATATAAGCAATTCGATGCTAAAAAGAAAAGAATATTAGCTGAACAAAAGCTTTCAAGTTGGGCCAATTTTTGTAATTCCTTTAACAGAACTACACCTGTTAAAATAATTTGGGATCAAATTAGAAGATTTAAATTTGCTAAATTAGGAAATATTTCTAGGTCACATTATTTTGATAATCAGTCCAACGCATGGGCTTATTTAAATAATATAACTCCTTCGAATTCTTCTGATATAAATTCCTATAATTTAGATTCGTACTTCACATCCAAGGGAAGTGAGTCAGCGAAATGGATCCAAAATCCCTTTCATATGTTTGAATTTGAAGCTGCCTTAAATAATAAAAAGAATACTTCACCAGGCCCTGATTATATTCCATATTCTGTCATTAAAAATCTTTCTGAAAACGCAAAAAGTCTTCTTTTAAATATATACAATCAACTATGGAAAAATAATATTATACCTCCTATCTGGAAGACTCAGATTGTAATACCTATTTTAAAACCTAATAAGGATGGCAATAGCTCAGATGCGTATAGACCCATCTCTTTGACTTCGTGCTTAGCAAAGTTATTTGAGACAATGTTAAAAAATAGATTAGAATGGTTTATCGAACATAACTCTCTTATACCTGATTACCAGTTTGGTTTTCGCAAGGGAAAGAGCACGATGTACAATTTAGGTTGTTTATTAGGCGACATACAAAGTAATCTTAGAAAAAATAAAATAACTATCGCCGTTTTTCTAGACATAAAAGGCGCATTCGATAATATTAAACACGAGTACTTGATTCAAACTTTAAGTTCATTAGGTATTCCTGGTCCAGTTTTATTTTGGATTTTTCAGTTTTTAAATGGTCGCTCCGTTACATTAAAAATTAGGGATAGTTTATACGGTCCGTGTAAGTCTTTTAAAGGTACCCCCCAAGGATCAGTTATTTCACCACTACTTTTTATTTTAAGTCTTGTAAATTTTATGAAACTTATACCGAATTTAGTTAAATATACTTTCTATGCTGATGACGTTGTTATATACTTAGACTGTGAAGATCTGTGTAAGGGTGAACGAATTATGAACAATTGTCTTACCTATCTTAGTAACTTGTTAAATAATCAATTAGAACTAGAAGTAAACGTAAACAAAAGTTCAGTTATGCTCTTTGCCTATAGTTGCCCTGTCAGTCCTCGTATATATTATAATAATGCTCTTATACCTTACAAAACGTCTGAGAAGTATTTAGGTATCATACTTGATTCAGAATTATCTTGGGGTCCCCACATTACATATTCATGTAAAAAAGCAGAATTGCGTTTAAATATTTTGAAATCTCTGGTTGGGGTTAACTGGGGCTCTGATCCAAAAATATTGAAAAGCTTTTTTATTTCTACAGTTCGTAGTCAATTAGATTATGGTAGTATTTTTTATGCTCACGCATCCAAACAGTTTCTGAAAAAACTAGATATTATTCAAAATAAAGGGCTAAGAATAGTTACAGGGGCTATGATATCTTCTCCTATAAATTCCTTAGAAGTCGAATCTGGAGTACCTCCTTTACATATAAGAAGAAGTTATTTATCAGAAAAATTTTGTCTGAATTTAATTAGTCGTGACAATGTTTTAGTTAGTCGTTACCTTGAAAATTTTGCAATCCCTAATTATAATAATATTCCTATACCTGCGATGCCTTCCATTACAGAATCAATCACCTATTTAAACTTTGAATTTCAAGATATAATTTATTGGTCGTTTAAACCTCCTTGTTTCTCTTACAACTTTGAAGTAATGCTACGTGATGTTGAAGTTACGTTAACGAGATTCGATTCAAAACAAGACTTTTATGAGTTTCTGAGCGAGAAAAAAGATTACATAAAAATTTATACTGATGGTTCTAAAACAAATAATCGCACTAGTTTTGCATTTTACGATTCTTGTAATAAAATTGGTAAAGTTTATTCATGTGATCACAATTTCTCAATTTTTTCTGCTGAAATCTTAGGCATGATTTATGCTGTTAAATATATATTATTGAATTTCAGTTCATCATCATTTTTCAAATTTATAATACTTAGTGATTCTATGAGTGGACTGTTTGCATTAAAGGATAAATGTATTGATGTGAATTGTAACTACTTAGTTTATGAACTTAGAAACCTGGTTGAACTATTGAATCAATGTAATTTATTAATTGAATTTTGTTGGGTACCGGGACATTCCGGCATATTTGGGAACGAGCTCGTAGATAAACTTGCACGATCTGCACAGAATATAACACTGATAAATGATTACAAAGTGCCATATAGTGATTTAATAATTCGTCTAAAAGAAAATATGATCAAACGATGGTCTATATCCCTAGCCAATTCACGTCTTACTAAGGGTAAATGGCATGCCGAAATTGTCCCTGTGCCCACCACTAAAGCCTGGTTTGAGAAATTGACTACCCCGAATAGGAACTTCATAACATCATTTTGTAGATTAAGAATAGGTCATTGTAAATTCCCATCCCATCTTCACCGCCTCGGATTAAGCGACAGTGCATTGTGTAAATATTGTACAGAGACAATATGTGACCTTCAGCATTTATTTTTTAATTGTAAATATTTTAACTTGCAGCGTCTTCTTTTTGTTTCTTTGTGTACAGATCATCTAAAAAACAAAATTTTTCCAAAAAATGTGCAGGACATGCTGAAAATAGTTGATTTGTATGTAATAATTTATCATTTTTATAGTAATACTTTTGGTCTTCTGTAAATGATTATATCAAATTTGATTCTTCTTTCTTACATTTAATATTTACATTATTATATTTAATATTTATATAACATAATTTTAAGGGTTTTTTAGTCTAAGGATTTTGTAGTAGTGTTTAGTTCTAATTATATGTATGCACTAAAGGATTAAGCTGATGGCCTTGGTAGCCAATATTCTGCGATTTCTGGTTGGATTTGTAAATAGTTGGACGAGTAAATTTTAATGAATTCTATGAATATCCATGACTAAACACTAACTTCCATAGAATTGACACAAATACACGATGTTCTCTCGTAATTGGAGAGTCTTAAGCAGAGCTTATTCACAGGCGGTAACCTTCAGAACCAGTGAAATATCACCTGTAATGTACCAATATATTCTTCTTATTATGCTGTGAAGTTCCAGTTATACTACAACAGCCAAGTTTAGTTCTTATTATTTATTTCAGTGACTAACTACTTGCTTTTAATATTTCAGCAACATCAGAATGATAAACAAATTGGCCTGTTTTATACTCTAAAGCAAGACACATGTAAAGAACTTTTTTCAAATGGTGGACTTCCGAAAAGTTTCATGAAACAGACCAAAACATTTACTGAGACGACTTTAATGATCCGCCAGCCTGCTTTAGATCTCATAAATTGCATCAAGTCTACTGATTTTAATAAACCTGTTATTAGATATGTACTCTGTATCCTTTCTAAATTTTGTTTCGAATATAGCTCATTTAAATTTGCTTGGTATGTAATATAAAAACTTTAATAAAATTAAACATTATTGTTATATTATATATTTACTTATTAACTATTATATATTTAATTTTATAACGGAGGACTTGATTACTTGAAATGTCAAACTTTTATCCATTTTTATTCTTCATACAACTATAAATTATTAAGTAATTGTACAATTGAAATTAATTACTTAACTAAGAATAACACAGATGGGGAAAAAGGATGTGGTAAATCCCTAACCATGGCACACATGATCCATTATGCTTATGAAGATGGCTATTTGATTGTACATGTTCCTTGGGGTATGTAATATGTTAAAGTGAGAGTTATTGTAGATTTTCATAAACTGCTATGATTGCTTAATGTAATATTTGTAATTTGGCATTTATAGTATCAGAATGGTTACGTCGAGTACCTAGGCACAAAGAGATGTCTAATTCACAAACACGGGAAGGGCTTGTTGACTTGCCTTTAGATGCTGCTGCTTGGCTGATTCATTTTAAGAGTCAAAATCAGACTCTTTTGAAGTCAAGTGATGTAAGTTCTTTTGTTGATTGGTGCATATACTCATGATCAAAACAAATATGCAGGGCATGTGTTCTATTATTTGTAACTTTAAAAGTTTCACTGTCCTAAATTTTATTCTAGCTGAAAATATCCAAGGAGTATGTATGGAGTAAAAGAGAAAAAACTGAAAGTGGGGCACCTTTGTCTGAATTAGTTGAACATGGAATAGCCCGTATTAAATATGCCTGTGATGTCATTGATGCCCTCATCAGTGAAATCAAAATCTTGTCTAATAACAAACAGTAAGTATTTAATTTGTGAGTTTAATATCATGCAGTATTTAGGGTGCATAAAAAATAAATGAAAATTACACATTTAATACCTATTATCAAATTGACATACATAGAATTAATAATACTGAGTATTAGACAATTGAAGTACTTGTGTAACATTTTAATTTGGCAGTTTCTGATAAATATATCTTTTAATTTTTTTTTTAGATGTAAAACCTTTGTAGCCATTGATGGCTTCAACAGCTTTTTCTACCCTCTGACCAGATTAAACACTCCAACAAAGAAGAAAGTCAAACCTGATGAAGTAACCCTAACCAAATCTTTCTTGGAATTAACAAAAAATGATTGGGTGAGCATATTATAGAAATTATCATAGATTCCAAAGAAAGTATCATTGGGTCCAAATCAGTATTTTTTTGATTAATAAGTTTTCTGTTTTATTAGAATAACTTTTCATTTAATTACATTATCGTTTTTCAGAATAATGGAATTATTTTATTGAGTGCTGATCAATTAGCTGTTCCTGATGAAAACCAAGACAGTTACTTTCCTAGATATTTATTGAGAAAACAGGTGTTTATTTGTTCTTAAATAACATTATTATATACTTCCGTGTTCAATAATAAGTTGGTTTCATCCTTTTTTTCAGGGTTTTGAATATTTAGATCCATTTGTACCAATAGAAGTTGGAAGATATTCAGACAAAGAATTTCTATCCTGTGCAAGTTATTACAGAGACAGACTATGGCTCCGTGGCCCACCAGAAATCGAGACAGAATTAAAGTTCACTAGTGCTTGTAATCCATTTAAATTCATGGAACAGTGTGCACCTCTTTAAAAATATATGACTGTATAGAATGTATGAATTATGAATAAATATGTTAAATTCTTGATTTGCTAGTTTATATTATAATGATAGGTAATTATTACATCAAAAAGTCAAGAAGAAATGTATAGTTTATTATAGTGAATATTGATCTACAGTTTGCTTAACATAGTCTAAACATCATATCCAACTAAGTGGCGCTTGCCAATGCATTCACCGACATAAAACCAGAACAGCACTTCAGCACCAACCAAAGTATTGAGGGTTGCTTGTTTGACTGTCTGCTGCTTCCAGGCGCCAGATTTAGCACTTGTAAGAAGTTTACCTATGCCAGCTTTGATTTGTGACATCTCACTTAGTTTAGGAGGTGCCAGTTCAACACGAGCATATTTCATGAAAATGCTGAATTTCGGCCGCGCTTGAGCTAATGCCGCTGCCAAAATAAAAAATTACTATTATGACATAACCTAATATAGCTAATAATTTATTACATAACAGTAAAAATCTTATTTTAAAATAAAGTGTACGTACAGTTAATTAGCGCTGGAAGCTTAGCAACTGCCATTTCGATAAATATGTATCTACAAAAATTACGCGGCCAAAAAGTAATACGAACAAGTGATTCCAAAATTTTTGAATAGGGAATGATTTTTTTTTATCAATTTATAGTGCAGTGAATGTAGGTATCCGATGATCGAAAATGTTGCTGTTAGTATGTTACTTTTCTCTATGTGATGTTCTGCTGACCATAGATTTAATTCATGAATTTAGTGTTCCGAAAGGTCACTCAATGTTACGATTTGGAGTTCCTCCTTTAGCTGACATAAGACTCCTGTGCGAATGTTGAGATAAACCGCAAGGCAACGCTTAAAAATTCCAAAGAAACTTTCATGAAAACGTTCTCTTTGGGCTAAATAAAAAAAATTAAACCTCTATGGATTATTGTCGACGTAAATCACTTCTGTCAAACATACGTCAATTAGTCAAGCGTGAGACGTCAAACGAATTAATTTGAGTGCGGCTAAAGAAGAAGAAAATAGTTACCGGCGGCGATGGAATATTGGTTTTAAAGTGTTTTTCAGCAACATAATTAAAGTAAATATTTATTGTCATAAGTTTAAGCAATCGGAGATTACTCTGACATTATATTAAGTCAACATGTTCGTGAAGGGTGAGTAAATTTTACCTAATAATTCTAATATGAAAACACGGCGTGTTGGGTTATTTATTGATAATTTAATCTGAAAAACTTTTTGATTAGGACTGTGGCTTAACAGTGGTTATGTCATACCGTAAATATATGTCTAGCACAGGAAATACAAATTCTAATATTTTTTACTATATATCGAGCCTTGAGGACACGTCAGATATACTTATCAAGCGCCGCTACTCTGCCATGCCGGTTTTCAAATGATTTCTACTTTATCACATACTGTTTAACAACAAAAAGTAAAACCAATATGAACAGCATTATATTAAATAAATATTAAACATTGTGAATGTTTTCACAATATAGTGTATTTAAAAATGTAAAGTGACTAATAAAAATATCAACTGGCTTAAGATTCATTGGCATGTGTTTGTTACTATTTATTTTACAGAACTATCACTGTTTGTGGTATTCTTAATTGGAATAACCAAAGGCAATATATTGCAAGGTACTATTGACACTAGCCGCTTGCAGTCTATTCTGCAAGATGGTGTCAAAAGTAAGGACATTAGTACTCTTTATTTTGCTATTAAAGGACTCAAGGATCTAAAACTGCCTGTTCCTGATGTTTGTGAGGTAAAAATTAAATTTTAAAAATAAGTTGAATCTGTTTTTTTTTTTTTGAGAGATGAGGTTTAATTTTATAAATTGATTGTTTTCAAATTTTCATGTTTCTATGTTTGACAGGACATCAAAAATGCTAAATATGACAGCAACAATATTGAGCAAGTGTTCTACCTCACAAATGCAGCTGCTTTATCAGGCTGCCAAAATTACTTGTCACCTGAAATACTGAGACCACCAGCCCAAGTAATTGATAAGAAAGATGTCACTATTCCTGAGCTCTACTATGCAACTTATTCTTTGAAAGCTTTGGGAAAAGGTACAGTTTACAACAAAGAAGATGGTCTCAAGAATCTTGTTCAGCTGTTGAAAAAGGATGATTCTCCTATCAAGTTAGTAAGAAAACAATAAATATTTGTGTATCTCAGTATGTACATATGGATGTAAATACTTATATATGTATATATTTATGAAGTATAGAAAACCTGTGTTCTCCTAGGAGGGAAACCCTGAAATTTCTTCTACTTCAATTGGCCTTCCACAATGATGGCCTGTCTCATACCACTGTTTACAGCTGGCGATGAATTGAAAAGTTGTTACATTTATATCACGATATGCCTGGCCTGTTCATAGAGTGGAATGACATATGTAGGACACCATTTACTACCCATCTTTTTATGAAACTGTACAGTCTAACTTTTTGTTTAGCAATAAGGCCACTGGTTTTATTGTAACAATGTTTATAGTTATTGTTCATTTATAATAAAGTTTTTGTTTCTTCATTCATTAGGTTAATCAAATATAAACCTTAATTTTATCATGTATCATTGTTGAATAACTTTACACATTTCTTATTTTTTCATAAATATTTAGTATAGTCTCCTGTTTGACTTATAATGCTTATGCCACTGGCTTGGAAGTTACAATATTCCTTGATCATAGACAGTTGGAGGAGTTATTTGTAAAGTTGGTTCTACTTTTAATAAAACCTTTTTTAAAGTTGGTTCTACTTTTAATAAAAAGTTATTATTTCATGCTTTTTAGTGAAATTGATATTTTTTATAACTATAAATATGTTACACTAAAAACATTAAATATCTATGTAAATAAAAATATTTAACATAGTGAAAGTCTTAGAAGAGTAATAAAAGATTCTGTAAATATTAAAGCAGCAATTCACTTTTCTTGTCAGAGTTTGTTTCGCCAGTTCTTCTCAGGAAAGACTCCCAAAGGAACTGGTGGTAAAGTACAACCAGGGGTAAATAAATAAGTCAAATGTATTTTTAAAATACATTGGACTTATTTAATGATTAATTCAAGAAGAAATTGTTAAACATACCTATCTATAACTTTCATAAAAAATATACACCAAAGAGTAAAGTATACATACTCATTGAACATAGAAAATCTTCCTTTTAGATTTTGAATGAATTCTACGCAATCTTGTTTTTAGCTGAATATTATATCATTTTAATATTTAGGTGATATCTGTTGGAAAGCGTATTGTGTTTTGTTATAAAAGGAAAACTGCTTTATCGATTTAAGAAAATTTAAATGGGACCACCCCGATCCATCAAGCTGTTGAATATAAAAAGAATTTTGAAAATCTGTCAACAATTGACGAAAATATCGGTGAAATTACATTAAAAAAAAAACATTGCAACTTCCACCTTTCGATTTTGAAGTCTGTTGAAAATACTCACTTGTGAAAGAAAAGAGTTCTTGATGATTTCCGTAGCTCATTTCTTCTAGTGTATCCCCTTGTAAAAACTGCTGGCCAGGTCATGGAATAGAATTTCATTATCATTTTACATGGAAAAATTAATTTATTCACTTGACATTGGCAGATTTGTGCAAAATGCGCAGATAAGCCATTAATTAAAAAAGAAGAAGAAGAGTAGAATGACATTTCTGATGGCATGTCTCATATTTAACTTCAATAGTCAGATTGCCGATTGTAAAAACTAGCAGTAGTAAACTGCGTTTATTTAAATGTCCAAATGTAAACAGGAATGTTTTATCTCTATGACTTGCCCTTGGGCATGGTGAGTTTCTTTCTCCATCAGTTCTAGGCCGTGTTTAAATTTTTTTACTCACGTAAATTCTTTCCGAGGAAGTGTACTGTACCCGAACTATGCCAATATTTCGGGTAAAGTTTATGACAGTCTAACGCCTTTATTAGTCAAAAATATTATGATATTCCGTTGTACAATGAACAAAGTTCTTTCTTACTCTGTAATCGCAATACTTACTGTAACACCGAGTTTGCGCGCTAACCAAGCAAGTTTTGCCTTTCTCATTCCTCATAAACCAAGCATATACCCCATGCTATATAATTTACTTGGACCAATATGAAAAGAAGAAAAGAATAGCAAAATAGGAGTTTATATTTGATTTACCCTTGTAGGCAAGAATTAACATATTGAATGTGTCACTCTAGCTATGGCTACGTGTTTGGATTGTGCGAGCATATGGGGTGTACCTCTTTTACAACATCGCACGCTGAAGGTGTTCTACAGGCAGCCGATGAGACGGATTCCCGTGCACTCAGTTTTGATGGTGGCCTTCCAGCTACTTCTCTGGTGCTCTCCACTATTCTTAGGTTAATCAATGTTTTTTTTTTCAATAATTTATATTTAGTTAGTACAAGCAGCAGCTTTTTAAGTTCCTTCAAAAGGCGGAATTTCTGCATCATACGTTTCGTTTAGAGTGTTAGATAAATTAATTATAAAGAAAGAAAAATTTTATACTTGTTCACACGTGATTTCAAATAGCGCGTGACGTCACGCCCTTCTTACTCTAATACTTTATATATATACAACATGTAACAGACATAACGCACATCCTTATACAACTCGATCAGAAAATGCATTTATAATCATAAAACGTAAATTGGAATTTTACTTTTATGTACTAAAACATTGCTTGTCTATGGACACAGTTATACTAACTGCTGTGGACATCTTACAAATCCAAATGACGTCAAAATTAAGGCTTAGCCTGCGACTACAAATGTATGTACCTACAGCGCAATACCACAATGATACCAATAAAAATTCTTGACCTAAAATATTATTCTGTTTCGAGATTTAAGTTTAGATAATAATTACAATTCTTACTTGTTATGAGTATCGCCTAACATGGTCTTGCGATCACATATCACACGGCGAGCACAGTATCACCACATTGTGCCTTACCCTTAACCATTTCTATGTATTTGCTGTACGTTAGTATAATAAAGAATCATCGCGTGTGAAATTGAAAATTCGATAAACTTGAATTGCGATTAAAATAATCATCCACTGCCACTGTCATGTTTATTTGTGGTATATTATTTTTCTCTTTGTTTTTGAATTATTTCAAAAATTGTATTTTATTACAAGCTAAGAATACATACAATGCATTATATCAGAAGTTGTTGAAGTCGACTTAGAATCTGATTTACAAGATTTACAACAAACAAATTTTCAGGATGTATTTTAATGATGTTACACGTTGTACATATACATACACACACACACACGCACGCATATATTTATATATAAATACACACACACAAACAAAAAAGTAGCTTACACCGCTATTGAATAATGCAGGAGCTACAAGAGTCAGAAGAAGCCGTCGCCGCTGTCTGAAGAGCAGCGGTACAAGTTTGCGGAGTACCTGGTGTCGCGCCGCTCCGTGAGCACCCCGCGCGGCGCCGCCCTCCTGCTCGATGCCGCCATCCCGCTCGCCGATGACCAAGTATTTATTTATTTTCACTTATTTATTCATTTTGTACATATATTATAACAGTTATCAGTACAAAGGCTTGCTAAACAGAAAAAAAATGCAGTAAAACAGACCACCTAGATAAAAGATGGAATATACTATTAACAAATATAAATGATAAGGGAAAGGAAGAAAAGCTTTTATTATTGTGGAAACATTACATACTAAAGAATAGAATATGCAATTATATATGCACAGAATCTGTAGCTTAATACAGGTGTAGACATTAACCGAAAATAAATAGGCACATTTTATTTCTGGTAGTAATTATTATACTATTACCGATAATCAGCTTTTGCCCTCCAGAAATGAAAATATTCCATAAAAATTTTCATCCCCTAATTTACCCCCTTAGGGATTGAATTTCATAATACCCCGTCTTAGTGAGCACCTATGTCCTAAACAGAACCCACATGCAAAATTTGAAACTCCTAGCACTTGTAGTAATGAAGTTTCATACAAACTTTCATCCCATAATTTACCCCCTTAGGGATGAACTTTCAAAAATCCTCTCTTAATGCTCCTCTACACTACCTAAGGAATCTTTATTCCAAATTTTAAATTTCTACTCTAAGTAATTTATATCACGATGTGTGTTGTAAGGTAATTCTTTTTTTATAATGTTTTAGCGCCTTTTAAGAAACTGTCATTTTTTTTCATGCGACAGCCTTCACCAATCAGTATCGTGTTCAAAGGCAAGAAGTATGTCACCTCTGATTCGGACAGTGTGGAGTTTTCCATCACTGACTTGCTCGGGCGACCGCTCCGTAACCTCAAACCCGACGAAGTGGTCGCACAATCTGGCACGCGACTTGCTGACGACGTGGTCGTATTGTCTAAACAAGCTCTAACGCAGAAACCTAACGAGCCGACTACATATGTACTCAATCTGAGTAAGATTAAAGCTCAGTATGGCTTGTACAAGATCGCCCTGAGTGCTGGCAGCAAGACTACTAATGTGAATGTGGCTGTATTGGGTGAGATTCAAGTTGCCAGTGTGGAGGTGGGAGTGGGAGACGTCGACGGCACCACCAGTCCACGTCTCACCAACGTGGCTTACCCTGGAAAACTATCTGAGAAACTACAGGCTGATCATATGCAAAAGTAAGTTAATTAATTGCAAAAAAAACATAATTCAAACAATTTATCAGGATTTTATAACATTACTTTAAATTTAGTTGAAGTATTGATTAAAGCAATCCTACTTAGACCTATTACGTAAGACGTTTTACGGGGAAGCATTTCTTTAAAGGCTTATTTAAAATCATACGTACTTCGTAAAAACGTGCAAGCAAAAGCGGGCGCGTATGACATGATATATTATTAGTATTGAAAAACAATGACTTATAATAACATTTGATTTCACCGATAATTTTACCCAATTGAAAAATTACAGACTAGAATTCTTTTTTACTCATTTCTTATACAATATATGCATAAAACTTACTAGCACTTAACAGAATTTACATAAACCATGTCATTACTAAATAGCTTTTATCATAATAATCTGCATGACATGGCGTTTACAATACTGCACTATACATATACTATACCATATACTATACATATAGCTTATAATATATATATACACTCACAGGCATAATTAACTGCCCACCTGTATCATTTATAACACTGTTTGATTCCGTCAACTATGGTTTATAAACTCTAGTTTTTTGCGGGTACTCTAGCAATAAATAAAATACGATTATTTTCTTTCCTAAATTTGTTTCATCGAAGGATTTTATGAATGTAGTTGTTGTTTTACATTGTGCTACAGAGTTAACATTTCATTATCATAGTGAGCGAATTGTTTAATTTGAAATTATAGTGTTTGCTCATTAATTCGATGCCTTTATATTTCCATAGGGTAACACTGAAGTTCTCTGTGCGCGACAAGTACGACAAGCCGGTGTCTGTAGCGCAGGCGTTCGTTAGAGTCGGCACCGCTAACAACGAAGCTATCTTCGTGGCTGAACATGACAACACTAAGGCATATAAAGTCGATCTGGTATGTGTCATTTATACAACTAGTTTGTAATATGGTTGTGGGTTATTAACTTTAATAGATTATGTTTAAAATAATTGACTATGTTTGAATTACAATATTACTCGTATACTTATAGTGAATGACAATGTTAAAAAGCGGCCGAAGTTTATTCTTCCATTGAATAGAGCAATTAAAAATAATGTGTATAACCTATAAATAATATTTATTTTTTGTAAATGAGATATTTTATTTATCCAAAATAATACATAAACTTGATATGTAAACCAAAATGGATTATATGTTTAATTTCCTTTACATAGTAAAATAATGTTCCCATTGAAGTTTACGACATACCAAATAGTGATGTTAAGTTGCTCTATATCCTCTTACCGCTGCTCTAAATTTTTATATCTGAGCAATTTATTAAAATAACCTGACGTTTTAAAATAATGATATAAATTCACGGGTATAGACAACAAATAATACTTGCCAGCAAAACAAGCACTTTCTATAATTTTTAAGTCACATAATCAGTTGTTAATTTTGGACAGAATGTGGGCGCAATCGCGAAGCATTTGAACCATATTTCGGGCGCATACTCTGTGGAAATATACCTGGGCGATAGCGCTGTATCTAACCCCATCTCTTGGCACCTGGGTGAGATAATGTTCAACTTCGGCAAGGACGCCAACGCCGTCGGTAAGACCACCAAATTATTACTTAGCCTCTGAAACATAGCTTGTACATTATAGTTTATATACTGAACGATTTTATAGGGAAAAAAACCACCCTTAAAATTCACAATGTTTTCGTTTTTCTTCTTTTATTACAACTAGTTTATTAAATTGATAAATGTGTCAATCACTTTGCAGCTAATGGCTTTTCGAAGCGCTTTTACTATAATTGTTCAGGACTCTTTTGTAAATATGCTTTATGGTTTAGTTATAAAGAAATAATTTGATTTTGATGTAATGTTTTTGAAGTAATAAAAAATATCTTTTGTTCTATGTCCTAAAATAATTGTTATAATTTTTCCCGATTTCAAAATACCACGGTGAAATAAGATATTTAAAGGATTAAACCACAACAAAATCGTAGTCGCTTTATTAATTAAAAATTGTTTTTGACATGCAATGCAATAAACTCTATCACTATTTATCTCATCGTTAATTTCTATTTTGTGTTGACATAAATGTGAGCTGTATTCAATAGAATTGATCCACATACTAGATATTGTATTAATACCTACTAGGCAGCACATTTACAGGATTTTATTAATTTAATATTGGATCCGCCTAGAATATCTGTAAATACACGATTTTCCACCCTTCATCAAAATCAGCAGCAAGTATTTAATTGTTATTATGTAACTATGTGTGTTCAATAAAAATTACCTTATTTTGTACAAATACATATAAATATTTGAGTGCCCGACTTCTAAGCTAGTTTTACCTGTATTTTAGAATCCAGTGCCTTCCCAATGCTGGCCTTGATCTACAAGTTTTCCCAACCAGAGCAATAACCCCTCACCGCCCCTTACTTACCATGATTTTGGCGCCCTCCTAACACTAACTAATTTCGGGGCAAATGGAGGCATTCGCCCCGAAATGCCTGCATTTTTTTGCCGTCTAAATTCGGGCCTGTACCAATAACAAAAAAAAAATTGTTTAGTATAAATTTAGTACTACTAATAACCGATACTAGGTGAGGGCCAGTGTTAAATAGCCTTTTGTCCGGTCAGGCGCTGTGGAGCGCGGCCAGGTGTCCGGCACCGGTGGTCGCGGTCCGCTGCCGGAGATCCGGCACGTGTTCCGGTCCCCGGAGCCGCGGCCGCCGCGCCTCGTGTCCGACGTGTTCGCCGCCGCGTGCGCAGCGCCGCTGCTGTTACTGCTCGTACTATGGGCGAGACTCAACATCAACTTCTCGCTGTTCCCGTTCTCGCTCAGCGCGCTGCTCTTCCATCTATCACTAGGAGGTATTATATTTACACACATACCGTCAATACAACATTTTTGTTTATAAAGGATTGAGGGAATGTGCCTTGTTTAATGTTTCGTAAAATCAATGTTTTAATTTATTCAATGTCAGTTAATTTATACAGGGTTATTTTTTGAAACACCAACCATCGACACCACGCAGGACTGACAGAACTTTTTTTATGACCAATTTATGACTGCCGCATGCTGATATTTTTGGAGATAAAATCCCGTCCATTATCAAAGGATTCTTTATTATAGATATATTGTTAATGTTATTTGACCAGGACATTAGAATGTAACATTTTCAAAAAGATGCTTTGGGCAAAACCGTTTAATTTACCTCTCGTATATTATACACGTTCACACATTACATAATATGTTGGTAATACACACGGCGGCCGACTATTTTAAAATATAGACCTATAAATGTCACGACAGTACTTTAATAATTTTGAAATTGTTACATAAATATTGTCTGCGCATATCCCTTAACTAACCGATGTTAACTTTCCTACAAAGCATCTCCTGCGAGCCGCCAATCTTCCGTCCGCCCGCCATTTTTACTAGTTAGAGACGTATTACTCGCAACCAAAAGTGTGTAAATCAATTATATTAGTATTTTAACTTTGTATATTTTACAAATACAAGTCAAAAAATTGTTAAGTAAGTTTGTAACGGCGTTTCTACAAGACTCCCACTACATCCACCGCAAATCAGCTCCCGCCGAGCTTAAATCATTTAATGGTATGTCACATTAAAATTATAAGATGGTTATATTATTATTGAATTACAAACAAAAACGTTATTGATAATGATGTTAGCTAACTAGTCCTAGTCGTGCAAGGTTATGATGTTTTAGCAACGACTGTATATAAAATTTCAACTCTATCGACTAGGCCATATTGAATTCCTGTCTATTAGTGAATCGCGAGTTTTCGCCTCGTCTATACACCTCGTTTTTCGTAACAAGTTAAAGCGAATGATTGTTATATAAACGCGTCGTAACATCCGTACATTTACTTACAGGATCGCTGGTACTGTACGGCGTGGTGTGGCTTCAGCTCACTATGTTCGAGGCGGTGCGATACTTGCTGCCCCTCGCTCTACTTACCTTCCTTTCGGGCCACAGGCTACTGCGACGCCTTGTGCAAACAAAGACACAGTCACGTTAAAACACACCATACCATACATACAGTCACTCAATCATATGTTGTCTGAATCGGCCAATGTGATCAAATAATTGGCTACTTGATAATTATAACATTAAATTGTGAAATAAATTTGTAAACAATAAGTATGTAATATTTTTGGTATTAAAATGGTTTCGTTTTTGCAAAATTAACTTGCATATTATAATTTATGAATCACACAAACTGAAACGCGACCAGAGCCATACGGAGCATCGTTTAACGTCACATTTCAATAAACTAAACGTCGACGTCTCATTGAAATGTAACGTCACGGCTTGAAACTTTACCGGACTGATCGTTTTCGCGGAACAATTTAATGTTTTTCTTTGGTGTTATTAAACACTTGGAGAAAAATAAATCTGGTATATAGCGGTTTAAGGTTTAAAATAACTTCCCCAAAAAAGTCGAGTAGCCAATTGAACACAACCGAAGTCCGAAGTATTGGATACACTGATACTTCTAACTATGGAACGTCTTGGCCGTCACTTATATATTTTATATTAACTGCACTACCCTACATACAAACCTTCTGAGATGATGCTTCATCGACTGTTAAAAATAAGTTTTCATTGACATTAAAATTGATATACAAATAATAGTAAAGAACGTCGTTGGCTTTCATAGTTATTGTAGAGTGCAGTCTGAATATGTGTTGTGTGAATGGAATAGTCAACGTCGATATCAACTCTTATCTCTAACAAACAAGCTCATACAGTCAGTCTATGAAGTATATCGCCTTTTATGCCGCATTCCTAATAGGGAATGGTAATTTACTATTACTTTGTATTAAAGTGAAAAGTGTTTTATCAATAAAAATTACAAATATCCAAGTCTTTTTTTACACAAACACTCGGTACAATATTAGTATTTAATTTAATAATATAGGTTCTCTCGATACATAATATTCTTTATCTAGAAACTAATTGAATTAAATCATAGGTCGCTCAAGTTAATTGCACAAATAAAATCAACATTATTTACTATAATTATCTACTTTATCAGTGTTTGTTTGGCTGATAGGGTCACCTTCTTGAATTTCGAAAGAAATTTTTCACCCTTCTGTCTCATTTATCAGTCCGATATGAAATAGGTAAAAAATAGCAGTGACGTAGTTTTGGAGAATAAGGATACTCTGTGGCGCTGTTGGACTGACGTTGGTCTTCCAGACTATATCTTAACCTCAGAATCGAAACTCTGAATAATAGCACTTTAGAAGCTCATTCTTATAAAACGCTATGACATTTTAACGTGAATTTGAAACAACATTGAAACTGTTGACATTCTGCAAGTCTTAACCACTAGTTTGGTACCCTAGAGTAGAATAGAAGTGGAATAAATTACTCGTATGTCAAGCTAGCAGCGTCAACCTCTTCGATTTTGAAATGAATTTTTGATTACTCTAGTTCTTTAAAAAATAGACATAAAATTAGCAAAGTCACTGAGATAAACTAGTCTCTGTGGCGTTGCACTATGGACTTAAAGTTATAAAGTAAACGTAGTAGTGTGATATATGGCTAGAAAGATTTTTAAATAGTTTATTCAAAAAATACATAAGCACTTCATTATATGAAAACAAGAAAGGCTGAAATTTTTGTTTGAGTAACCATATTTTTATGCTACATTATTTGTTATAATGATAATAGTTGTCTATCATCTGAGAAAATATAAACTGTAACTATGTACATGAGATTCAGCCTGGTGGCAGACGAACAACGAACAGTATAGTCTAAGTAAATAATCCTGTTTTTACCCCTGGGTACGGAACCCTAAAAACTGAATATCTTAAAAAAACTTTAGATTTCTTAGCTTTTTTTGAAAATATAATCAATAACATAGCAAATTTATATAGACCTCCGTAACAGAGTGGTTCGCACGCCGGTTTCAAGGTGTCGCCACCTCTGAGGTCCCGCGTTCGATTCCCGGTCGGGTTAATGTAGAAAATTAACTTTTCTATATTGACTCGGGTCTGGGTGTTGTGGTACCTTCGTTGTCTCAGATACTCCATAATACGGGGGCTTTAGCTACTCATCTTGGAATCTGAGCAATGTATGTGATGTTGTTAAATATTTATTTTATATTTATATAGCATAATAATAATAATATATATGAACTACAAAAGAATACGTTTATAATGACATCAAAGGGAATTGACAGTACAGGAATTGTAGTTTTACGAACCGATGGCGTAGTTTTCGACTTTCACAAGTGCTCTGTAAAAGCCTAAACTGAATAAATAAATTTTGATTTTGATGGATAGTGCGTTGCTGAGCTGACTTTCTAGGATTTTGGGTTTTAAGTGTTTAAAATAAGAGCTAGTTTTTCTTGAATTTGTTTATTAAAAATGTCATACAATATAACAATTAAATTACTATCACACTCGCGCTCAATAATTGAACCTTATCTTAACTTACACAAAGCTTATGTAATATTAAAAAATAAAATTATATTAAACATGTATATTGCAGATATTTGCATACAAGTCATAATCCATATACTTTCATCATATTCTGTGCCAGTGACTGTATAAGTACGGGTCAACCGATAACATTTTATTTGGAATTCAAGTTCATAATAATACTGTCCATACACAAATCTTAATCATATTCGAGTTTATATTAGTCTTTGGAATAAAATCAGAATTCAGCATCTAATGTGAATACATTGTCCAGAGGATTTGCCATTACTCCCCACTTTTGATACTCCCCAACTTTCTTTTCAAAGAAGTTTGTTTTACCTTCCAAAGAAATAAGGTTCATAAAGTCAAATGGGTTCTTTGTGTTGTAATGCTGTAACAAAATAAATGGTTTAAACAATTATTTATATAAGCTTTTAGTTTTAGATAAATTAATATTTAACCAACTAACCTTCTCTCCAATTAAATCTACTAGCAGTCTATCAGCAACAAATTCAATATAATCTGACATCAACTCGCAGTTCATGCCCAGCAGTCTGACAGGAAGAGCATCTGTGAGGAACTCTTGCTCAATCACCACTGCATCTTTAATGATCTGCAGAACACGCTGCTTACTAGGTTTTTGTACTAAGTGTTTGAACATAAGGCATGCAAAATCTGTATGAAGACCCTGTAAAAATAAATTCAAATTAAAGCATTTTAGTTAAAAAACATTATTACATTAGATTTCTGAGAGTGACTAAAGTTGGAAACAGCAGGCAACACTACTAGTTTGTTTAACTTTTTATAAAATACATTTAGTATATTGCTTAAAACGCATTGTGTTTTGACATTTTAGGAACCGTAAGGTTGAAGGTGTGGGTCCCTACTGTGGTGATGGAGACAACTGGCCAGGGAGACTAAAGGATAATTGTCTCCCACCGAGCTAGGTGTTGTTAGCCCGAGGACCACGGTCCAACCGATGTAGGTTTCTTTTGTTCTAAATGTCGTCTAGTTATTAATTTATGCTGTTTGTATTGGTACAGCGCCATCTCGTTACTTGCTGTTGAAACTTATTGCCGTTCGTCTTGCTATCGATGGCTGTGACGATGCTAGTCTTCTCACTATCGATTGTTGTGGCGATGTTAGTGCGATGAGTTAGATGTCGCTATGTATCAGTCGCCACAACATAATATAAGGACTCAGGAGTACAGAGATAAAGCAAGAGACATATCTACATAAAGCTGTATTGAGATGGGCCATTGCCCAGAGAGCTCACTCACAGAGTGATGAATGTCATTGTTTATTTACCTCTGAGTGGCAGGTACATGATTTTTTATCCCCACATATTATAAAACAAACATTATAAAAATCTTTTACATCTTTAAATATAATGTGATATGTAATGTTACTGCATTATTACCTCATCTCTGGAAATAAGTTCATTACTGAAAGTGAGTCCTGGCATTAGACCACGTTTCTTGAGCCAGAATATGGAAGCAAAACTGCCAGAGAAGAAGATTCCCTCAACAGCAGCAAATGCAACAATACGTTCACCAAAAGTAGCCGTCTTACTGCCAATCCACTGCAATGCCCAATCAGCCTTCTTTTTAATACAGGGCAGATTCTCAATTGCATTGAAGAGAAAATCCCTAAAATTTTGAGATGTATTATTAATTTCTAATTATGAAATTATGTCTTTGACCATCATTTAAACATTTTATTCACTCACCTTTCTTTAGGGTCTCTGATATAAGTGTCAATAAGTAATGAATACATTTCAGAATGTACATTTTCCATTGCTATTTGAAATCCATAGAAGCATCTGGCTTCAGTCACTTGTACTTCTTGTGAGAAACGTTCCACAAGGTTTTCGTTGACAATTCCATCTGATGCAGCAAAAAATGCCAATACATGTTTGATGAAATGCCTTTCACAATCTTTAAGATTCTCCCAGTCAGACAAATCCTGTTGAGGATAAATAAAACAAATGTATCAATTGAATAACAATATAACATTGGTTCCCAAATATAACGTCGGGGCAAGTGCCCCTACGGGGCAAGTGCCTCCACATAAAAAATATCAAAAACTACTAACTTGATACTGCTAGTGCCATCTACAAATCTTGGAGAAAACGAAAATACATTGATAGACGTTTTTTACAGATGGCTCTGCCAACTCTGATTTGAGATTTCGACATTTTGTTTTTATTGTCATTCATAGTGGTGGTGTGGAGTTGGAGGTGTTTTTTCAAGACGTTAAAATATTTTAAAATTCAACGTATTTGGATAAAGTAACGAGGTAAGTCAACAGTTTAGATATTTGTCTTGAAATTGATAACTGTATTTTCCTTGTATCATGCGATTTTAATGATTTTCTTATCAAAAGAAAATTATAACCTTAAAATTATCTAGAGGGGCAAGTGCACCTATTGTTCAAGTTGTATGGCGCACTTACCCCAGTCCAGAGGTTATCAACATTTAGAAAACAAAACTATATTTAAAAAAATATCTGTTTTATCACACGTAGTAAGAGGTACGATTTATGCATAAACATTAGGCAAAACGCTCAAAACAAATCAGCAGTTCTACCGTTAAGTATTGGCTTGTTATTGATTGCGTACAGCTATGTATATTAATGCTTATGGTTGTTTCAAGAGGTCCCGGGTTCGGCTCTTGGAATACGTAATTAATTTATGTTCCTAAATTCGCTATGCCAGATTGGTTAGGGTATTTAAAACTGCGCACCTGATTGCACGATATCTAAGAAGGGCATGTAAAGCCGTCGGTCTTGGATTCCATTACCAGCTTTAATAAATTAGTATTCCTTAATAACCACCTATACATACCTATACACACACGGTTTTTGTTTTAGATGGTTCGAACATATCACAGGAAAAAAGAAAAGCCTGCATACTCTAGAGAAACTCTACAACAAGCAGTTGAGGATGTTCGATCAAAGGGATTATCTGGATATGAAGCAGCTCGATTGTATCATATACCCCGAAAAACCATTATGGACCACGTTTCAGGCAGAAGAGGACAAAAATCTTCTACATATGGTAGACCAACAGCGTTACCATCTGAAACTGAAAAAAAGTTAGCTGATTGTTTACATATCATGGAGAAGTGGGGTTTCGGCTTAAGTAGGAATGAAGTAATTCAGCTTGTTGGAGATTTCGTAAAAACTAACAACCTGAATACACCATTTACTGATGGTATACCAGGAAATGATTGGTGTTCCAATTTCATGCAAAGGTATGGTTTGTCAATAAAAAAACCTCAGGCAGTCGAAATCGCTCGGAAGAAAGCAGCTGACCCTTTTGTTCTACAGGAATATTTTAATATTCTTGAAAAAACTATAAAAGATTTGGGACTGGAAGATAAACCAGAGCGCATATACAATGTCGACGAAACAAGCTACTGCAGTGACCCAAAGAAAACGAAAATAGTTGGTTTAAAAGGTTACCCATCAACCAGAACTACAGCAACATCAGGAAAGGGCAACACCACAGTGTTGTTTGCAAGCAATGCAGCAGGAGGAAAAGGGCCTCCCTTCATCATATTTAAAGGTAAACATGTATGGAGTGGTTGGACGTCAGATGAAGCTTACCCCGGAACATTGTACACTGCCACATCAAACGGGTGGATCGAGTCGGAGGCTTTTTGTGAGTATATCACAAAAAGCTTCATACCTATGATTGAAGACAAAAGCAAGCCGACGCTTTTAATTTACGATGGGCACAGCACACATTTGCAGCTTTCAGTTATCGAAAAGGCTCTAGAAAATAATATTACAATCATTAAATTGCCAGCTCACACCAGTCACTTGCTTCAGCCTCTAGATTTATCTGTTTTCAAACCGTATAAAGATGCATGGGACCAAGAAATGGTTAAATGGCAACGCAGAAACAAAGGTGATAAATTGCCGAAGAATGAATTTTCTGCTCTAATCGGAAAAGTTTGGAAAAATTTAAATCCCATTATCATACAAAACGGATTCAAAAAAGGAGGAATTTATCCTTTTAACCGAGATGTTGTTCCAGAGCATAAATTAAATCCTGAGACTGTAAAACGATGGAAAAAATGGAAAGAGACTCGTGAAACTCGTGAATCTCCCATGACATTGACTGATTGATTCCCATTGTTGTGAACAATCTACTTCAAAGACAATAATTACAATAGAGAATGTTCCACAAAATAAATCTTTTGAAGATTTATTGATAGATTCCATGAACAAATATCAAAAGAATAACCTGAAAAAGAAAAATATGAGAGTTTCTGCTAGCGCGGAAGTTATAACACATCAAGAAGTAATAAAAAGATTGAAACACAAGGAAGACGAGAAAATAAAAAAAGAAATAGAAAAAGATGAGAGACGGAAACGAATAGCAGACAATAAAAAACTGAAACTGAAAAAACAAAATGAAACAAACGCCAAAGATAAGAAAATAAAAAGAGAAAAAGACTGCAAAAATATAAAACTAAACACGTCAAATCCTGAAAAATTGCCTTTACATAAAACTTTAGTTCCAATAGATATTAATACTTTATTAGTCTCACACTTGAACCTTTCCTCACCATGTGATGTTGCAAGCAATTCTAAAAGACCTTCACCTGACTTGGACCACGCAAGCACTTCTAAAAGACAAAAAATTTGTATAATAAATGATAGAACATTAACAGAGAAAGAAAAGGTTCCGAAAAAAGATAAAAACAAAATGAAATTGAAAAATGAAAATAAGATATTAAAAAAGAGAAAACAAAATAAATTAAAGAAAGAAGAAGAAGATTTGTTGGCCAATAGTGACTATTCGGTTCGTGATTCTGATCAATCAGACGTATCGAACATGGAAAAATATTTTGAAACTTATTTACAAGATTATAATACAGGTGATGAAGAAAACCTAAATACATCTTTTGGAATGAGTGATATCGTGTATTACGAAGACACGACAGATAAATTAAAAGTAGAGGATTGGGTGCTAGTCAAATTTCTGACGAAAAAAAGTGAGAAATATTATGTAGGTCAAATTATTGATTTGAGTAATGGCATTCCTACCATAAAGTATTTAAGAAAAACTCCAACTAAACAAAATCAGTTACTTTTTGTTTATCCTACAGTTGAGGATATTTGCGACTTGAAACACGTTGAAGATGTTGTATCAGTTTTGCCGAAGCCTACAATATCACGTCGTGGCCAAATATCGTTTGCAATTAATTTCGACAAGTTAAATGTACAATAAGTTATTTTTTTAACATAACATGGGGATTCGCCTTCAAGAAAGCGACGACTAGGTCGACGATGGAGCGAGATCACCCAGAAGGTGCCTATTTACTCTTCTCTTAAAGGTATTCAAGTCGAACCGTTCAGGAAAACAGACAACGGCAGGGAGTTCCAACGTTCAGCAGTGCGCAATATTAAAGTTGAAGAAAAGCGCTACGTACGCGAGAACGGTATATGTACTACGTGCAGGCTGTAAGTCCGGTGATAGAAACGAGAAGGTGGAATCAGCTCATTGAGCTCAAGAGCACACTCCCCGTAGTACAATCTATAGAAACCGACAAACAAGCCACTTCGCGGCGGTGTGCCAAACTATAAAGTTTAGCTTTAACCAGTGCTTTGTCACCAGTAAGTCTTTTCGCTCTACGTTCCACAGAGTCAAGTGCGGCTAGCTAAAAGTTAAAAAAAATTATAAGAAAAGTATTAAAAAAAGTTTTCAAGTAAGACCTTAATTGTGTTGTCATATTTAAGTAAATAAGTGGCATATTTCTGATCTCTAAAGTTTATACCTATTGTCTGTTTTAAGATTGTTTCTATTGTTAATATGTAGGTGTCATTCAATAGCACCCGTTTCTTAGTCATATATTCAATTTGTAGTCAAATTTCGTTGTTTTATTTTTTCTATATCTATGGTAGTGATTATTCAGCGCAATAATTTACATAATATGTAAATTGTATATTAACACATATATTACTCTATAACTTGCTAGACTCAAATAAATGTTAAGCACCCCTGCAATGGAGCACATAGTACTGGAGATAAAAATGTATGGGGCACTTGCCCCAGATTTGATTTCAAAGTCTTATTAGCCCTAATATGACATTATTTCAAATTTAAATATACATCATGAGTTGCGTTTCGTTGCTTCAATTTAATAAAATGCTTTTGTTTTTAATATTACTTTAAAATAAACTAATGCTTCACCTAGGCGCACTTGCCCCCATCTTAGGGGGGTAAGTGCGCCTAGTTGCCATTTCATTACATTTCCAATAAAAAGGACTAAATTGTCAATATTTTTTTTTAATCGAAACTTCATTTAGATATAAATATCCCAAAATCACATATTTAATTATTATATTCTCGGGACATCACATGAGTCGAAAAATATTCCATGTTGAAATCATCTATTAAAAAAGTATGGCGCACTTGCCCCGACTCTGATCACTGTCTTACATAATTCTAGATAGTTCCCAAGACTCATATAGTTTATTTTTAACAAATGGATGGGTTGTAAAAATACATTCTAACCTAAATACTTATTAATGGGCCTTTATGTCCAATCAAAACCTAGACATGTATAAGTAAAAAAATATTCTATGTACTGCATTTATTGCTAGAAGAACAAAATGGTTAATTCAGTTATGGAAAATTAACACATGAACTACTGTGAAAGTGGAGCCAGTGAAATTACCACTCACCTTAGATAGATCCACCTCCTCCACAGTCCAAAAAGAAGCTTCAGCTTTTTTATACATATTCCAAATATCTTGGTACTGAATAGGAAAAATGACAAAACGCCGAGGGTTTTCTCGCAATAATGGCTCCAGCTGTGGATCGAATTCCGGCTCTTTGTAGTCTTTCTCCACATCCATTTTATCTTCGCTTACGTTATCGTTGCGGACTGCTAGTATGTTGTTTTTAACTGGAGACTACAGATAATTTAAAATTAATAAAAATACACAAAAACGTGATCAACAAATGGTTTATAATATGACATAGCTTAATTTTTTTTTAACACAGCGGGTATCTGGTTATTTCATAAAATTAAAGAATATGTAACAAAATATAGGAAAAATAACCAAAATAATTACATACCTTAATGTGAACATTGCTGATGGCGTTGCCAAGATTTTCCTTGTCATTGAATAGAGACATTTTTAAAAGTTTATTTAACTGAACGAATTATAAAAAAGTGCTATTATAGACTAGCCTAAACACTAGAGAGTACTTGTTCTTTGAACGTAACGCAGAAATATGAACCGTTCAGTAAACAGCTACGAACGAAATAAGCCAAACAATAAGCTTTCCGAAGCGTTCAAGCAGGCTGGAAAGGCGGGAAATAATTATGGCAAACAGTGCATGACAGAAACATAGATAATGTAAGAGTTGAAAGTCCGAAATCAGGTCGTAAAATACTAAATAGCTACTTGTTTTTAATATAATTTATTCTGACAAAACAAAATATTAATAATAATATTATCACAAATATATTTTAACACAAAGAATCTATTTTAAAAATTTGGTGTTATGCAAATCATTGTTACGAAGAAAATTCTGTACATCAAGTGCAGTTCGGAACACAGTTTAATTATTAACCTATATTCTGGATGGTTCAGTGACTTTTAAATCATATTGTTGATGTTATCCAATTTTAGCGGGAACGTATATCCACGTAGCTGTAACTTGTGTATCCATGAGTGTTTGGCGCAGTCCTCTAACTGTATAGTTTATCTAAGTTTTTTTTATGATTATTTATTCGTAATATTCATTGGAACTAATTACGTTTTATCATTTATTTACCATTTATACTTTTTTCGTGACATTAAGACTTTCCCGCTAAAAATTTGACCTCATGCTATTGGTGTATATGATTAACCAATGAAAAATAAGGAAACGTTCTGAAAACGTAGGAAAAAGAATGTACTATTTTTTTATACATGCATGTAGTATATCTGCCCACTAAATGCATGGCACTTGATAATTAGACATGATATTTTTCATTAGTTTTTAGCTTGGAGAACCAGTACATATCATCAAAATCCACTTTGTAATTTTGAATTATTTTCAAGGGAGAGCCACGCTTCGGCATGAATGGGCCGGCTCGACCGGAGTGATACCACGGCCTTACAGAAAACCGACGTGAAGCAACGCTTGCGTTGTGTTTCGTCGTGTGAGTGAGGGTACCGGAGGCCCAAACCCTCCTTATTCCCTTCCCTCTACCCCTCAACCCTTCCCTCCAAGGCCGGCAGCGCGCTTGTAGCCCCTCTGGTGTTGCAGGTGTCCATGGGCGACGGTAATAACTTACCATCAGGTGATCCGTCAGCTCGTCTGCCCCCTATCCCATAAAAAAGGCGTTTTCCCTATTACTTGGATTTTTTTTAAATCTTAGTAAATGATTCTTTCTTTCTGTATTTCGTTTGGCAGTTCTTATCAGCGGAAGCGGCAAACTATTGAATAAATTCCTAAAAATATTGCATTTTCTTTACGTTATTTTACTAAATCTAAGCATGTTTTCTGCGGATGTTAAAAATAAGCTTTATTAGATTATTATATATCAGGATGACCACAAAATGCAACTTATTTTCGATAGTGTCAAATACCCTATTGTGATTGTGAATCTATTTTCTTCTAGATTCGAAGTTTGTTTGTTATTTATATAAGTATTCGTACATTGTGGCACTACGCACCACTTAAAATAGTTGTGACTTATCGATTTGACATATTTACTGGCCTGTGACGTCACAATCAGTGCCATTACACAGAGCAGCGTTTTCGCGCGATTTTAGCTATTTAAATTTTAACAATTATTTTCACTAAAAATAGAAAAGCTTCCTATGAAATATAATGACAGTGTGCTTATAATGTAGCAAACAACGATTTAAAGTAGTTTTCGGAAAAGTGTCAAATACCCTATAGGTCTTCCCCGCCGCGTTCGGTATTTGCTATATAATAAAGGCTTTTACATATCAATATTTGAGTATTTAGAAAGCACCGTTGAAAAAAATGTAAATTAAAATTTTTGTTTTGTATTGTAAATAGGTATGGGAGTTTCTTTTGTTCATTAGTTATGTAAGTTAGAAATAATTATTTTTTCGTAGGCGACTGAAGGTCTTGTTTCCATGGTCAGAATAATAAAAGTCAACTTCTCTTTGATTTGTCCAATATTAGTCTATGGATTTGTGGTCGAGTTCTTGATAGTGAGTGACTCGTACGTAAATAAAGAAAGTATTTACAATTAACATTACACATTATTTGTAATTCATTATGTCTGATAATGACGACGATTACAATATGTGCGAGGAAGAGGAAGATTACGGTTTGGTGAGTTTTATTGTTATGCTTTTGCGATAGGTTATCGCACTCAAATTCGAACAAAATACACAATCATAAAATTATTTTTTGTAGAAAACTTGGATAAAAATATTATTGGGATACGTATCTATATTTCACATCTAATCTAGAGAACACGACTATATTTTTGTTTACTATAAATGATCTTGCCAACAATTATTTTATAGATATACTAAATATTTTACCATTACATAGATATACTAAATATTTATAAACGTCTTGTTTCGGTGAATCAACTGTAAAAGATAATAATTGTGTTATTTATATTCACTTCCATAGGAATATTCAGAGGATAGCAATTCCGAGCCTGATGTGGATTTGGAGAACCAATACTACAATAGCAAAGCTCTGAAAGAAGATGAGCCTCATGCAGCTTTAATTAGTTTTCAAAAAGTGCTTGAGCTCGAAGGTGGAGATAAAGGAGAATGGGGCTTTAAAGCACTGAAGCAAATGATCAAAATAAACTTTAAACTTGTAAGTATTTTTAATGTTTCAGAGATAGTTAATTGAAAATATTGATAAATAATATTTGACATTACATACATTATCTAAACTGTTTCCTGTTCAAACTTCTGTATTATTTACATTTGATAGTTAATGTCATATGAATATTTATAAATTAGTAAGTAAAATGACCATTTCCATGTTTTATTACTATTCTAGTTAGGAAAAAATTAGTACAGTTAACAGCAGTAATGTTATACAAATATAAAAAATATATAATTATTTTAAACCATATTGTTTTGAGGGTAGTGTTTAAAATCCATTGGAGAAATTTGATTATGGTAACTGAAAAGGCCAGACAGACTCATGCCGAAAAACTCAGAGAACACCTGAGACTTGTGAATGTGATATATTTCTCACCTTCTCATTCCTTTATATTTCTTCTCTCTAAGTAGGCTTGGCGAGAGTTCTCGGTGAGTCTGTACCGCCTATTATGTGCAGCTGTGTATACATAGTACCTATATAGCCTGGTCCTGTTCACATTTTCAATATGTTTTAAACTTATAAATAGCATTTAAATGCTTATTATCCTTCTGTGTAATCAGGGTAATTTCACAGAGATGATGACAAGGTATAAACAGCTACTGACATATATCAAAAGTGCAGTAACAAGAAACCATTCTGAAAAATCTATCAATTCCATTCTAGATTACATATCTACATCAAGAAATGTAAGTGACACTTGTTTATATTGTCTTTAATTTATTTTTTAAACTGTTTTAAAAAGCTTTTTGTGGCATTTAATAATGAATGCTTTTTATTTTAAGATGGAATTGTTGCAAGATTTTTATGAAACTACGTTAGAGGCCCTGAAAGATGCCAAGAATGATAGGTTGTGGTTTAAGACCAACACAAAGTTGGGTAAGCTTTACTATGATAGAGGAGACTTTAATAAGTTAGCCAAAATATTAAAACAACTTCATCAAAGTTGCCAAGTGAGTACTTTAGATATATGTTGACATTAAACATTATTCTATATTGATTACAAATTATTGATACTGGTTAAGATTGGTAAACATTATCATAAATCTGGCTTTTGTTAATCACAATACAATAAATATTAGAGCTGCGCCAAATATTCATTTGGTATTTGGCATCTTTTTCACTATTTGTGTTTCAGTTTGGGCACATACACAGCACAAATTATTGAGTTTTGGCACCAAATGACTACACAACATAGTATAGAATTAAAAGACAAAATTTCATAAGTAGCATTTATGTTATATTAAAAGTCAAAGAAATTCTATGAAGAATGGGTAATAAAGCAATTAAAATTCAAAGCAACATTTGTTTTTAAGTCTGTTTACACTGCAAAACAATGAAATGGTAAACCAAATAATTCCAATGAATGTCCAGTTTGGTAAAGGTTAAATAGATTAGTATTTATTTATTAGGTGCTTCAGCGCATCTCTAATAAATATTACATTTAAATGTATTGAGTTATATTAAATGACACAGAATAAAAATCTTTGACAGTCATCCATTACCATTCACAATGATAAACTTGATTTTAATATTTTAGACAGATGAAGGAGAAGATGATCTTAAAAAAGGCACACAGCTTCTAGAAATATATGCATTAGAAATTCAAATGTATACAGCTCAGAAAAACAATAAAAAGTTGAAGGCCCTATATGAACAGTCTTTGCATATTAAGTCTGCTATTCCTCATCCACTCATCATGGGTGTTATCAGAGGTATATATTTACTTCTCTTAATATTTTGAAATCCATTTAATTGATATATTTTTCTAACAATTTACTTATTCAATTATTGTAACAGAGTGTGGTGGAAAAATGCATCTTCGAGAAGGTGAATTTGAAAAAGCACACACAGACTTTTTTGAAGCTTTTAAAAATTATGATGAATCTGGCAGTCCAAGAAGAACAACTTGCTTGAAATATCTTGTTTTAGCCAATATGTGAGTATTATCCAATCATTTAATAATTAAATTATCCACATATTAATAGTTTATTTAATTGTAATACACTTTCTCAGGCTCATGAAATCCGGAATCAATCCTTTTGATTCCCAAGAAGCAAAACCATATAAAAATGATCCAGAAATTTTGGCTATGACTAATCTTGTAATGGCATATCAAAACAATGATATCAATGAATTTGAATCTATACTAAAGCACAATAGAAACAATATAATGGATGATCCATTCATCAGAGAGCACATTGAAGATCTCCTTCGTAATATTAGAACACAAGTTTTGATCAAACTTATTGGACCATACACTAGAATCCATATACCGTTTATATCTAAGGAATTGAATATAGATGAGAAAGAAGTGGAAAATCTTCTCGTTACCTGCATATTAGACAAGTAAGTAAAAAGAAATGCATATTTTTTAATTTAACCTGTAACTGTTAGGTATTTTAATTATGATTTTTGCCTACCAAGTTTGAGATATACATTAACAAATAGGGATAAGGATCATCGTGAAACTGATGGAATAGATCTGTCAAGCATATAACTGAAGTATGTGTTGGATTATTTTTTGAGTATGCAAAGTCAAAAGTCGTATCAGACATGGGTTCAATAGAGATTATTTGTATTCAGCACAATAAGCGGACGGATCGACCAAGTGAACTCTGTTCTGGAGCTGCAGAGCTCGGCGCGAGGCGCGGCGCGTTACTCCGCCCTAGACAAGTGGACCTCACAACTGTCCTGCCTACACCTGGCTCTCGCTAACAAAATGGCCTAAGTTTTTTTTGCTTCTTATCTTTTATATATTTCAACACTTGATATTTCCAACTAAGTTAACAAATTTTATTAAATTGGCTGTTATAATCCAATTGGCATATGTTTAATGCTTTTTAAATTAAGAACCTACATAAAACGCTCTTTCTAATGCCAATAATGAAATTGGCTAAAGAGTATAGATAGATACATCAATTTGTAAAATTTGTTTTCTTTATATTGAACAAAGCCAGAGTTCATTCAAGGGATCTGATGTAATATTATTATGTAAGCGATGAAACATAAAGAAGCCCATAAATCAATACTCTGTTGTAAAAAAACATAAAAATATGCAGCACATTAATAAATCTACACTGCATAGTTCAATCAATAAATAATCTTTCTACAGTTTATATCTCGTCATTCTCATAAGACTACATTTTCCTACATTTTAATATTAAAAGGAATACCTTCTTTTAAGGAACCAGTACTATATTAAGTAACGTGAAGTCCCGTTTTTTAATCTCGGATACCAAATTCTCATTTAATGTGTTGCCAAGTTTTTGCAATTCATAAATAGTGATGTGCCTAAACCGTTCTTGAAACAAAAATGTATAGTAGATTACAATTTTTTTTTACAAGTCACTTATAAAATGTGTACCATTACAAGTACACTTATAAAGTATTTAATAGTATGGTGTAGTCCGTTTTTAAAATAAATATCCATTCATATTAAAAATAAAAAATTGATCAAATATGATAATTATAGACTCATTTTAATAATCCTTTATAGTACTAATTGTGATTAATTGTACAGATTGCATTTGTTCAAGGTTATTATAATAATACTGAATAAAGCGCGGTACATTAGACTTGTATATTGCTATTAAAATTATTTCAGATAATAGGCCTCGCTTTCAAATTTAAGAAATAGTCATTTGAAAATTAGTATTTATCTAAATTACATAAAAAATCTCGAACCAAGAAATCACTCTAAAAATAATAAAAATAATCTTTAAAATATAAAACAACCATGAATAAACAAAATTTTTTGATTAATTATTTTTTAAACATCATATATATACTTTTTGTGCACCCAGGAATAATGGCTTAACATCCCTTCTAAACCATAGAGGAACTAAAGAAATGCACTCGTTTTATGAACAGCTCTTATCGATACTAGAAGTATAAATAGAAAATTTTAAATTGATTGAAGGTACTGGACAGATATTAAAAATAATTTCACCTATGGGAAGCATCAGATGTTAAAAGTGACTTTTCCATGACTAATGCATTTTATTACTAAGATTATCATCTAATGCCGATAATTCTAAAACCGGTATTGTAGGTCAACACTGCTAAAAAAATAGTATCATTATTTCTAAATTTGGCATTTATGTGTGAATTTCAGTGTTCAAATCATCCACTTCTTTCTAAGATTAAGGCACTTTATGAATTATTTTCTACTTCAAGCTATTGGACACATAAAACTCCACCATGTCTCATTGTTAGTTATAAGAAATTCATCTCCCTTTCTTCTCCTACTTATGTATCAAATTACCTTCCTATTTTTAATGTCGATTTTAAATCGTTAATTTTTCTTCCTAATATTCATTATGACATAGTTGAAAATCAGATTTAGACGCTAAATTAAACTTTGAAATCGCGATTGACAGCAAATTCAATGACTATCATCACATATTTTGTGATGCTTCCAAACATTCGACATCTACCTGCGTTGGAGTCGGTATTTATCATTCTCAGTATAAAATAGTTCAGAAAGTAAAACTCCCTCCAGAATCATCCGTGTATTCAGGAGAATGTTTTGGTATATTGAAAGCCTTAGAATACAGTAAAATCATGAAACTTAAATCTGTTATAATATTTTCAGACTCAAAGAGTGCTTTACAGTCTTTAGAAAAATTTCCGTTTAAATTAAATGTTATTCTCCCGTTATTTTTGACATCAGACAAATGATACAAAAATGTATTGAAAACGAAGTTCATGTAGAATTTGCCTGGGTTCCAGCTCATGTTGGTATAAAGGGTAATATTATAGCTGATAGGCTTGCTAAAGAGGCAGTATCATGTGGAGATGTTTTTCCTTTTCAAAACTATTGTTCAGATTTATTAGCAATTCCAAAAGTAATATTACGCGAGAAATGGGAGCAAATGTGGGAAATCAGTAAATTGACAAAAGCTAAATTTTATGCTCAGATACAAAATCATATTCCTTTGAAACCTTGGTTCTTCTTAATGAAGTGTGGCAAGCTAGAAACTTCTATGATTACACGTATGAGACTTGGTCATTCTTCTGCGCCTTCTCATTTAGCTAAACTCCATATAATCAACGATCCTAGGTGTGACTGTGGATCAGATGAAGGAACAGTTAATCATATTATTTTCTCCTGTCCTAAATTCCAAAGATCCTCCCTCTGGCAAGACCTAACATCCCTTCGTGTTCCATTCCCGACTAACATAGCTACACTATTACATACTTATGATCAAGCAATATATAAATGTATCATATCATATCTCATACTCAATAATATAAAATTGTAAACAACGATAATATATATATATATAGTATATTTAAGATTATAAATACCATACATTCCTGATCCCATCCTTCCTTATCCGATTTCTTTCCTATTCGTTTCCCAAATTTTTTACTTGACATTGGCAAAATGCACAAGCCGTGCCTGCCATATAATGAGGAAAAAAAAAAAAAAAAAAAAAAAAGTCTCCGACATTAAAAATCAGGCTTAGCTAGCGCGATCTAGGAAAATTAATATGATATTAACAGACTTTGTTAATATTACTGAATAAAATTAACTGATTGTGATAAAAGGAATACGTATGTCAAAGAATTTTACTAAACTGGATCGAAATTGAAATTTATTAACAAAAATTATGTCCTTGTAAGCATAGAATACATATGTAATTAAATATTTTTGGTCATGAAATGAAACATATTAAAAGTTATGCTAATATCCAATAGTAAATTTTTCGCTATATGGTGTCGATTTAAAGGACCAGTTTATTTGTACTAAGATTGAACTCCCTGCAAATAAATGCTCTGAGCTAACCTTCCCTGACTATAATATATTTTTTTAATGTTTTTTACATAACGTCAATCCCCATATAAGAAGTTAAAATTGCGCAACAGCGTGTGTTATTGCAAAATCAGGTATAAATGAGAATGAACAGTGGAAATTTAGTAAAATGAATTATTGTGAAAAAACTATTTATCATTTGTGCAATGAGTTACAATAATAAAACACTTCATAAGTAAAGTAATTATTTTATTTTTAAATTATAACATTAGATATAACATAGGTAATACAATTTGTAGAATAGCTACAGTATGCATATTTAGATTGGACGGATTTTTATCACAGGTTAATTTAAATACATATAGGGCTCGATTCTAATATGATCTTCTACTTTGCAACTATGTATTAATATAATAAAAATGCAGATAGAGCCAATCCAAGGTATTGCTCTTGCGATTGAAAAATCCGTTATGTAATAAATTTTAATTGGGAGAAAAAACATAAACATTCCCTATTTTCAATTGGTACCAATTCTGTTGGCTAAAAGTAAGCAGTCTGCTTTTGCTATGTGTAAACAAAAATAACAGTAGCAAGCATATTATAGTATAATTATATTTGCCTAATCTCGTGTAACAATATAATGACGTTAAAACAAACCCAATTAAAATGAAAAAAAAAAAAATACATTATCAACGTCAGATCAAATGAGATATTAAAAATTGGATATGACAACTACCTAGGCATGCCTATTATTATTATTGAGATTAATTTATTGGCTCTATCTATATATTGTGAAGAAAAAAGTAGAATTGAGCCCCATTATTAGTAAAAGTTTTTTACAAATATTTAAAATACTTAAAAAATAGTTACACTCTCAGGTCATAGTACACAATTAATATGTTCAACTATAATGGCACTTTTACTTTAATAAGTGCTTGTAATTTATGATATTTAATTAAATATTTATACCATTTTATGGTCATTAGATTTCAAAACGTACAATAATACGTTAATATAAAAATATACGAGTATAATACGTACGTAAGTATAAGGTATTGATATTGCAAAATTAATAAAAATTCAATACATACTATGTATATGACTATCAAAATATAGGTTTATCGGTCAGTTGTACAAACGTCCATTAAGGTTTAATGACGCCTTTAAGCTCTAATGAATGTCGAATTTGTATGGGTAATGCTGCTTTAAACTAATGAAAATTTTAATGGATGTTTGTGCAACTGGCTTTATGTCGTAAAGAATTTTTCGTTTTTACGACTATTTTAAATATTTATTGATATGAATATTCGATATGCAATTTTTTAAGTATGAACACAATTTATTACTCGATATGTAAGTACAATTAATTATATCAATTACCTACTGGTATTATCATTCTTAAGTATAAGATTACGTAAATATACGGCCGGTTTATGAATTGAGAAAAGTACGAAATCTCAACTGATTATTCTCGATAACAAGTTTTTTACGTTTCACATGGCAATAAGTCCGAGTATTAAATCGTCAGTGAAGTTCTAACAGTGCGTAAGTCATTTTTGGCGGTTTTAAATATTTTGATGCCATTGGATAGTTAAGAACCACGCCAATGACCAATAGCGTCGCAAATTTCAAAAATGCTCACACTGCGTATGTCAGCCGATAGGATCAACACAGCGTAAGTCAGTTAGTTTCATACAAGTTCCTAACCTACAAACAGAGCCGGCAGTTTTATTTTCAAAAAAGGTAAATATTTGTGTTTATTACGTCTAAATGTTATCTAATTAGCTTTTTGACATAATGTTTAAGCTGTAACACATTGAATAATTATAAATTACTTTGTAGTTACAAAAATAAATTGACTAATTAATTTTGCTTTGACTTACGCAGTGTTCTTTGAAATGACTTACGTTGTGTTGATATAAACTTTGTTTCCTTTCAGGGATTGTAAAATGATGGATACTACATGTTCTGATAGTGAGGATGATGAAGTCATCTTAGACTTATGTAAACAGTTGAACATTAAAGTTCCTTCAAAAAATAAAAAACCAAGAAACATAACATTACAAGACTTGGAGAATATAAATATTGCAAACTTACCTGTTCAAATATTACCTGATTTTTTACCTGTATACGAGGAACAACCACAACAAACTTCTGCTTCTTGTGAAAAACAGCTACAAGAAACCCTTCCTATTTCATGCGAAGAACAGCCACAAGAAACCGCTTCTACTTCATGTGCAGAACAGCCACAAGAAACCGCTTCTAATTCATGTGAAGAACAGTCACAAGAAACTGCTTCTGCTTCTTGTGAAAACCAGGCACAAGAAATTGCTCTTATTTCATGCGAAGAACAGCCACAAGAAACCGCTTCTACTTCATGTGAAGAACAGCCACAAGAAACTGCTTCTGCTGGAAAACAGTCTCAAAATCAAACATCTGATGTTAGGTCTTTTGTAGAACCGCAACAAGAAACTGTTTCTCGTTCATCCGATGATGAATATGGTGATCTGAATTCAAACAGAAAAAGAAGTTTAAAGAGATTTGGGGACCCTAATAAATGGGATAAGTCTGTAACAAAAAATAAACGAATGAAAGGAGAGGAGTACATAGGATATCGCAGGGACAAAAAAGTAAAAAGAAATGAGAAATTTAAAGTACTCCATGACATACAACGTCCAGCTCGTGAAATGGGTCCAAAGTGCACATCTACTTTTTGTAATAAATCTAAGGTTCGTGGATGTTCCAGCCTGAATGATGATGAGAGGCAAAATATTTTTTCTAAGTTCTGGAAACATATGACATGGGAGCAAAGAAAACAGTATGTTGTATCCAATGTCTTGACTTGCGAGAAAAAGCAAATTAAAAATAAAACAAATTCTAGGAGGAGTGATAGCAAACAATATTTTTTGAGTACTTCTATCGGACGAATCCAAGTGTGTATGCAGACATTTCTAAGGACCCTAGGTTTGAAAGAGTCTACAGTAAGATGCTGGATGTCATCTTCGGAACACGGCATAGCTAAATCTTCCACTAGTAATGAACACCAAGAACGCATTATTAAGAAAGAGGATCTGGCATTCCTTAAAGAGTTTTTTGCTTCCTTACCAAAGATGCCCTCTCATTATTGCAGAGCAAACACTTCAAAGCAGTATTTAGAGCCAATTATCGAAGATAAGACCAAACTTTACAAATTGTACGGTGCAGAGTGCGAAAAAGCTGAAAGAGCTCCTGTCAGCCGCTGGACCGTAAACAGAGTTTTTGATGAGCTGAACTTGAGCCTATTTACTCCAAAAAAAGATCAATGTGACACCTGTTGTTCACACAAAGCGGGCAATTTAACAGACGAGAAATAAATGCTCACATACGCTCTAAAGACATGGCCAGAAACGAAAAAGTTCATGATAAAGAAAAATCTATAAAATTCGGTGACATACATGTTTTTACACATGATTTACAAGCTGTGAAGTTGTGTCCTCAGTTAAAGGCCAGTGCTCTGTACTACAAAACCAAACGTGCATTCATAATTTCACGATGTATAACCTGGCAACTAAAAATGCTTACTGCTATTGGTTTGACGAAACTAATGCTGGTCTAGTCGCTTCCGTGTTTATTTCATGCATCATAGATATACTCAAGAAAACGTTGGAGCAAAAATGTGTTCCTGTAGTTCTTTATTCTGATGGCTGTACTGCACAAAACAGGAACGTGTTTCTTGCTAACGCACTGTTACAATTAGCAATGGAGAAGAATATAACAATAATTCAAAAGTTCCTGGAAAAAGGTCATACTCAAATGGAGTGTGACGCAGTGCAGTTCCATTGAGCAGAAAACCAAAGATAAAGAAATATTTCTCCCATCTCAATACGCCGTACTCTCGAAAGAAGCCAGGCCTAAACAGCCTTATACAGTTGAGTACTTAAATTATGACTTTTTGAGGATTTCTAAAAAAGATTTTTTTATTTATGACTCTATTCGACCTGGGCGAACCACCAAAGATCCTACTGTCAGACTTAAGAGTGCTACAATACAACCCTAATGGAATTATACAATACAAACTAAGTTTTGATCAAGAATATCAGGAGATGCCTCAGAGCAGGACTCAAAGTAATAAAGTCATACTAAAACATTCCTACTAGACCGAAGCTGTATCAAAGTGCACAAAAAATACCTGAAAGCAAATGGCGTCATTTGCAAGAGTTAAAAAAAGTCATTCCTTTTGACTGTCACAGTTTCTACGACTCTCTACCTCATTAAGATGATTGATGCTTAATCATTTACCTACTGAGTATTGAAACTTAGATTCCAAAACTTCCAACAATTTACTAAAAATAATATTTATAATGGCTTTTCAAAAACATTATTGTTTCTAATATTTTATGTCTAAATGCAGTAGTATTTTCAAATCAGTGTAATGTTCCAATCATTACTCTGATTTGAAAATGTAATCCAACTTCGTATTTGTGTCCAGGTTTTAAGTCTCTGAAAATGTCATAACATTATTGAACATAGCAACATTAGCTCAACTCTTAACTTTTGATCCTTAACTAAGCTCGACACGGTAATTGGCTACTTGTCGATTTTGGAGAAGGCATTTTAAGATTATCATATGACTAAAGCTCTATCAGATTGACATTTTGAGTTGTGACGTCACATAGCAATAAACTATGTACTGGTTGCATTTGAAAAAAAAAAGGTTTAGTTTATTGCAGGGTTCGCAAAAATCCGATAATTATAATAAAGTGTAATCATTTACACTTTATTACTTGTAATATTTTTATCTTCATTAAGATTCAATTAAAATCAAATTAACAATAAATAATATAAATAGCAATTGATATATCTAGATAGAAATCCGTTGATATTTATTATCAAACCCAAGTTTATTGGAATGTAGCTTCGCACACTGTTTTTGTAATCCTCAGATTATAAATCGCAAGTTAAAATATACTTGCAATTTATTTTAAAACAAAAAATACTACTATTGTTAAGTAGCCAATTAAATAAAACTTATAGAAATCTTCCGTGTCCGATTCGTGTACATAATTTTCCAATTTTGTTGTCACTTTAGTGCTAGTATGCATGTAAATGTCCGTGGCTCGGTCCCGTAAGACAGTACAATAGAATAAGGTTTATGCTTAATCTAAAATTGGTCCCCATTATTCATTTGGAGAGGAGTATTACAATCATAACACATTACGAGTGTCATTTCTCCCATTCGAGTTCGAGATTCATTTTAACATTTCATGCGATAGTGAATGTTCATTCACGAGGCTAGGCTTGGGTTATTATATCATTTTTAGTGAGATTGGAAGTGGGAACCTGGAGAATAACAGAACGTATCTCGGGGTTCATCCTTAGTGAGATTACACTGTAAGGTTTTAAAGACCCATCGAGCGGACTAGCAGATCTACCACGTACAGTCAACAGCACGTCAGGCTATGCAGATCTGTCAAATTTGTACACTTGACTTTAAATCTTAATGTTTTAAGAGTAGAGTTAAAAATCAACTGTAAGTATTGTGGTAACATGACGTGCAACCGAGTGTACAATATTGTACCAGCGCAGAAAGCTAGATTTCGAATCGCGACAAATATCAGCCAATCAGAATGATTCAAGTATCGCGTCAGCGGGTAAGCCACCAATGTCAATTGATTGGAACGGCATCGGCTTGACTCAAATGTATTCGATGATACATTAGAGGTAACTCATTGAACAAGTCTATATAACATACAATATTACGCGTTTCCGTGGTCAAACAAAGCTATAGGTCTGGCAATCCATAGAATGAACTTTTGGAGGAGAATAATCATCTCTACTTTAAGAAAAAAAGTTTGGCCATTGTGTGCAATGGCTGGTTTACACATATTAAGTCTATAAGTAGTTAACTATATTAATATAAATGAAAATGCTTGAAAATCCATCCGGCTCATGATCTTTCACAATCCCATTCCCATCTCTGAGTACCTGGGGCTAGAATATTTTTCAAGATAGCATTGTGAATGAAAAATAATGGTTAACCTAACAGACAATGATCGCTTACGATTTAGTTGACTACTTATCTATTTGACACGTGTAAAGCAGGCACTAGAGTGGCAGTGCGGTGAGTGCGGTCAGTGCGCGGGCTTGTCGTGCAGCCAGGGCCGGAACACGGGCAGCGTGCTGGGGTAGTGCGCGGGGGGGGGCTCCTCGTGCTCGCCGCGGAACGGGTACGTGCCCACCAGCACCGGCAGCTGCAGCTTCACGTCCTTCTCCATACTCTTCGGTTCGATTATAAACTGAAGAATGAACAGTAACGAGTGTCGAAATAAATAGCTCGATGGGTGATTAAATTATGTATTATTTTGAGTAATGAAAATAACGGTCAGCGACCCACGGACGACAGGAATTTGCAATAATACAAAGTTTTTAGAAAGTCTGAATAGTTGCCGCTCGCCTGTGTTGCTTGCGTGTTCTGTTTTGGTCCAGAAAATACGCCTCATCTCCAAACGATAAGGTCCTTATCATCATCAGCCCTTTTACGTCCCAAATGTAGGGGTTCAGGCCTTCCTTATGGATGGTTTAAGGAGTATGGGCCATACAACTGACGAGATCCAGGAGCTCGGTGGCGCGGGGCGGCTGTTGTATCGAGAATCGATATACTCACGAACACGTCGTACTGCACGTTGATGAGGTGGCAGCCGCGCAGGTTGGTGGGCGGCAGCGGCGGCACGTACAGCAACTCGGCGCGCCACTCGTCGCGTGCGCCGGCGCGCGTGCGGCCGTGCGCGCGCGCAGACAGCTCGCGCACCTCCTTCGCCGCCACCTTGCCGTGCGCGTAGTACTGTATGGTCTGCACACAGTCAATATATATATATTGAACATGGGTAGCTGAAGCCCTGGAGTTACGGATTACCGGAGACAACGTTGTAGAAAAGTCCATTTGACCCGACCGCGAATCGAAAATGGCGAGACCTTAAAACTAGGCTACGGCGGTCGTAAATTTATAAAATTTTCTTTTCATACTAGCAATACCAATATATAAAAAAGAAAAAAAAACACAGCTGATTTTCTTGCCGGTTCTTCTCGGCAAAAAATCTCCCACCATGACTTAAGACTTTCACAAATACTTTGTTACAGCCTAGGCTAAATAAATGATTTTGATTTGATGATGAACAGGTGAAAGTCAGACAATGGTCTCAAGAAAAGTGTAGTGTGTAAATTCTATATGGACAGTATCTTTATTCTTTGGACATGAATCCATGTATGCAGTAATCAAAATTAGTAATTGCCAAATGGCGTCATTCATTAAAGGGTTAACTGTCCAATGTATGGCTGTTTTAACCTGTTAACGACATAAAAACCCAGCCATATGAGGAAATAATATTTAAACAGTATCTATAAAAAACGAAGTCTACATTTGGCATTGTTTTTATTTAAAAATGCACCATATTCTATCACGTATTTTGTGCACATACCTATATCTCTCAAGGGTAACTATAGATTACTAAACTTGTGTTTTATGGCACATATACACTGATTGAGTAATAAAAATCCTTCTACTTTTGGTAAACAATCAAAACAATTAATTGCGTACAGATTCTAAGAAATAGGACACTATAAGTATAGTTTTTAGTTTAGAGATTTATATATTTTCATTTTTTTATTATTGACAAATTGAGGTAGTTTTACCTCAGTGAGTGCAGCGCGTGTTGCCTTGATGGTGGTGCGCGAGTTGTTGATTACACGCGCGGTAAGTACGATACTCTCGCCGGGCACGTACGCCCCGCGGTCTAAAGATACGCTGCAGGAAACCACACCGCCGCTAACACATCCCACACCCAATCTGTGTTCCACATTGCACTCAAACTGTTGCTAAAAAAATTCAACATTCTTTAACAACATATTAATAATAATTATTATTTAATACTTATACAATGTTAACAATCTATATGGTGGGCTTCATTGTATACAGGAATTCTCTACCAGTAAGTATGTGTTACAATGATGTGATAATGGCTTTGCTTTGCTATCCATATAGTAAAATAAGCTTTCCGCCAGTGGATTCGCCCAAGTGGTCCCTAGGATAGGATAAATATCCCCAAACATCAGATGTTACCCCAAAATTTGATGAAATTCAGAGCAACTACATGTGCAGGGTGTAGCTACTCTATTGGTTAAACAGTAAAGCGAAACAGCAAATATGCTGTGAGCCACAGTATCTACTTTCAAAGGCAAAAAATATATATCATATAACAAGAACTCAAAGGGTTAGTTGCACCAACTTAAAGTCACTTTAAACTAATGATTATTTTAATGATGGTGGTGCAACTGGATGTTAATCAGTTAACATTTAATATCTACTTAATTATATATAAATCAGCCATTATGATGCAATCCAATCAAGTATTAGTAGTCAAAATAAGAACAGCACTTTGTGGGCTATCTGGCAAAGGATTGTCTATACTTACACAACTTTTGTATTTGTGTTTGACTTGCTGTTGTGTAAGTTATAGTGCTAACCTTATTACATCTGTGATGTAACACAAGGTCAACAGTGCTGTGTGCCAAATGAATTTTAATAGTGGGGATATGTCATCACTGTGTTAGGTGCTTTTACATCAAGGATAAAGAAAGCTAATATATATAAATATAGATATTGGTAGCATTTCTGTTGCATAAATTAAATATATTTGTCTAACTGTATTTCCCATTCTGTAAAAAAAAAAAAAAAAAAGTAAAAATGTATTTATTGACATAATTTCAAATAATACAAAACTTAATGAATCCAAGGGCTCCCGAGCTAGCTGAAAACTGTGTTTCAGGAGCCTTTGTCTTCTCCAAACTATATTAACAAATCTTATGCCAGAAGAAAAGAAAAAAAAAAAAAGTTTACAAAAAAAATAAATATAAATAAATAATAATAATAACAAATATATGAGTATTACTACAAATATTAAAACTGCAAATGGGGATATAAAACTATTTTTTGTTATGCTCAGTAATTTCACAAACGAAACCAAAACGTGTTCTGTTTGTAAATAACTAAGATAACAAAAAAAGCTAATTATCTATTATTTTTTTTAAGTAACTACAGATTTTTATATATTATATATAGAAAGCACCAATATGTCTGCTGCTTATGAGAATATAACAAAACTTACTGATAGAACTGGTGGCTCCATGTTTAAATCAATTGGATTCATAACTATGAAAACCTGTTGGTTCTTGTGTGTCAAGCCATTTGGCTCCCTTAATGCTGCTTTACAGTAGTATTGGACCCAGCCATGTGTTCCAAGGAATGTGGAGGGCAATCCCATGGGTAGACCCAGCTTAAAAGGAAAGCTGTGTATACCAGGAGATAACACTGATGCACCATTCCCTATAAAAATATATTGATCAGTAATAAATGTCATTATTATTCTTCAATCAAAGCAGAAGGAGACAGATGAAACTTTATATAAAACCATTTTTTTACTGTTTTTTTAATGACCAATGACATTAGAATTCTCTGCATGAATATTAAAAAAAACTTATTCCTTTCTTTTGCCTCCTTCAACTGTTCCATTCTAATAAATGTCCCATCACCAAATAGAAAATACTCCCACCTGGTTCACCAAGCAACCGCATCCTAAAATCTATGTAATTTTCTTTATCAAAGAGTCTTTCATGACGACCAGACCCAACTCTCACGACTCCTTCGCCAACAACATGGAAATGGAGACCTGAGAGACCATTATTGATTAGATGAACAATAAAAATTGACAATTTTAAATTTTATGTCAATACAAGTGAATGATAAGTACCTAAAACTGGAGTGTCATCTTGTAATTCCATCAACACTTTCCCAGAAAGAAACTGCCCAGGGAAATATAGTAACGACGTGTTGTCAAAGACTATAAGGAATTTTAATAATTTTCTTGGCATGTTTTTGATATTCGAAGCAACTTACAGATCAAGGAAATATGTCTTTTGATGTCAACTTTCCCCGAAATTACACTCAATTCTTGGTGAACTTCTGAATTATTTAGCCATAGTTTCACACAGAATTTTTGGCATTTTAAACTCTCAAAAATTAAACCTTGCAATGACGAAAGACGCGCCCACGTAATGCTCTCAAATTTAAGTTTCAAACAATGTGGGTAGCGCTGTTAGCGGTGGTTGCAGCAGTGGAAGACAAGTAACTTGGATAAATTGAAGGCAAACAAGTTTTACACCTTGTTAATTTGCATCTAAATAATATGGACACAATATCGGTAAAACCGTGCAATCTTGAAAACTACGAAACTAAAATCACTATTTGGAATAGAACTAAAGAAATAACACAGTTTTAACACTTTAATAATTTAATTCCAAATTATTTATAAGAAACTCCGTCAGTTTCACGGAAATTCTTCTTCTTCTTCTTTTTTAATTCATTGCTTATTTGCGTTTACACAATTCCGCCAATGTCACGTTTGTGGTATTTACACGTAAAAAAATATGTAAATTTTGAATTTTGGAGAAATAGATAAAACAATAAAAAAAAACTGAGCGCCTCTATCTTAATACATTGTTAAAGATAATACAAATAGAATGTATATACAAAAAAATATATATTATAAATTAAGACTACTATCGATTGCTAGGAATTTAGATAAAATAAGGAAGTATAAAAAAAAAATTTGTTCTCGAAATCAAACTAGATGTCACGACGGTACGTTCTTGATTTCTCCATTTATGCATGAATATACTTTAATTATTAACATAAATAAAATGCTTATAAATAAAGTATTATAGTTATGTGAATGGTATTTATGACCTATATATTTGTAATTTTCAATAAAAGATGGAGCTGTACATTTAGTATATCGCGGTGTTATGTTTTGTTTAAAAAAGTATATATCTAATGTCAGTTCCCTTGTAAAAGAGGCTATACATATTTATGGAATACAAAACTATGGTCAGTTTATGACGCGGTTTTATTTTCCCTCAGCACCTCCTAGGACGCAAGAACATCGGCTTGTTCACCTTCCGGTTTTCTTTCATGTTTAAAAGAAAATTAGTTTTCAAAACTTAATAAGCAACTCATATTCTATTTGTACTTTTTCGTATGTGTATCTAAGCTTCGAACTTTTCAAATTTCAGGGTTTTTTAATGTTTTAAATACTTCCTAATGGAAACAGTTCTCTTATTGGTCTGTGACGGAAAGTCTTGACTTGATTTTTTTCAAAAAGGCTTTACCGGCTCCGACTTTCATGGCCCTCAGCATTCGAATCTTGACTATGTACCACAGAATACGATTACTAGGGAGATATACGTAGACCATTGTACCATGTGCTCTTTGCTATTTATTCGTCAGTCCTCTTAGGTTCTAGGTAGCTCAGTGGTTAGAGCAGTCGCCCGGAATGCGAAAGTTCATGGGTTCGAGTCCCATCTCAGATTGCCACGGACAAAGTGGATTTTTTAAGCATTTTTCATTAAGATTTTTTTTCAGTATAGTGAATGCAAAATCGACCAAATATAATCAATACAGTACTAACTTTATTCTTCAGTCACTAATATACCAAAAAAAAGAGTGCATAGTCTTCATTACTCTTTGTTCACTACACTGCGGTCTTTGGTCTATGGTCCGACCGACCCAAAGACGGCAGTTGGTCCGACCAATGAATGTATACTGTACCAATCTTCTTCTTTGTCTGTGTACTGTACTCTTTGGACAAAGAGTACAGTAATAATACGGAAAAAGAGTGCCCTCTCGCGTGTATTTAGTGCCAATCAGAATTGAAGCGCCATCTGCATTACTTCCCCAAAAACTATTGCTATATAGGTATACCTATAGTAGGTATGTATTATAGTTATAGGATTCTTTCTTCGCGCCACTCGAAAAATACAAACTGTAAAGACTGTAGTAAAACTTTTAAAAGAAAATTGAGCATAATGAACAACTTTCTTTTAAAAGTTTTACTATGGTTTTTACAGTTTGTATTTTTCGAGCGACGATAACAAAAAGAGGACAAAAACTTGAAAAAGAAACGACATTGTTCACTTATTATAAGTTGTTTATTTCGATAAGTTAAACAAATGCATACAGCACATGATCAGCATAGTCATTCATAAAAAATACAAGTATACATTTTATTATTTTCTGTTTTTGTATTGTTTCCTCTTATTATAATATACTTGCGCTGTCAATTTGGTCTCGTCATCACCCTGGTAATTAATTCTTCCACTCAAAATTCTATTTACTGACTTGCACCAATTATAAATAATTAAATGTACAGTTGTTTTAACAAAATGTTAATAAAAACAATCAGTGTGATAAGAACAAGAACACACAGGAGGCAGTTACAAATAATTTTACAACAAAGTATATTTCCTGATATATTACTTTTGGTAAAAAAAAAATTTAACGTTATGTGAGTAATATTTTGCATATCACGGAAGCAATTTTCTAGTAGAGTACTTGGATAACATAACCAATTTTTATATTCTTTTGATTTTATAAATGTATTATGTAGGTTCTCTCCATTTTTATCTTGCGATATATTGCTGCATGCATTGCATTTCGCCTTTTTCAAATATTTTCTTAATGCCCATCCACATACATAGTTAATTTGACCGGCGTCACTATTCTCATTAGAGCCCATTATAATATTTTAATTAATAAATATTTCACTATCATTTTTGGGAATATCAGTAGTTTTTTAAATTTCCTGTTAAAAAAATTATGTTTTGTAGACATTGATTATAATCTGCCTCACAGTTTATTTTGAGTGAATGAGGCGTGTTGAAATATTTAATAGCAATGATTTATACGCTCCTTCAAATCCAACAGTGTTAGGAGCTATGTTTCTAACTCCTGATATTCCCAAAGAAGTTTTCAATGGGGTCTTGATTTAAATTGTTAGTCAACAAACAATCTAACCTATAGTTTTGATACAAAACCTTCCAAATTGCCTCCATGTTTTCAATTGTTTTTATAAAATTTTTGGATGAAGGAATTACACTTTCTGTTGCAATGACTTGACCAGCAATATTTTGTTTTTTTTTTATGAGTTTTACACTATGCAAAATTTTTTTTGCTCTAGTCCATAACTCGTGATGGGTGAGATTCGCTTTACCGGACCTTTATAAATTTTTCCATTGGGAATGTTTAGCGTGTTGATATTTAGACTGTCAAATAAATCATCAATTAATAATGTTATGTTCACCAGTTGACGACACTCTTCTTGCAAATCTCCTCGCGCCGTAAGGTGCTCAGCAACTACAGCAATACTGTGACTGAATACTTGTGTTGCTAATTTCACTCTCATTTTATTATTTTTTTCAGGATCAATGTGTTCCTCCGTTAGTTTATTTAATAATCTTAATTCTCCATAGCATTTATCTGCCGCATAAACTTTTTGGTAATATAATCAGCAACTGTAAAATAAAAAAGAAACCTTTTGTGTACTGTTTATAATAAAGGTCCATGATAATAGTTTTTAAAATTATTTACTATAACTGTTTAAATTAAATACCTTGTGGAGGTGCGTTCTTTTAGATCTGCTACACGAACTATAGTTATGTTCCCTGATGATATCTTCTACATAAGGGATGTACTGAGAGTCAACTGAAAATTAAAGATATATCTATATTATTAATACCAAAAAATAATCTATGTCTTCAACTAGTATTTGAGAACGAAATCAATTATTTATATCAGAAATGATTGTAGTATCTACTTCTATTTAGTAATTTTTTCTCGCTCTTACATTTTCCACAGAAAACTACTGACTATATATATGTTTAGTAGTATAACTTGTAGTCTTTAGTTGTATAACTATATAATCTTCATAAATTAGATTATAATCTTTGTATCAATTTTTAGAGATTATAATAAAATTGTAATTAAACATTGCTAAATATATAAAATAATGGTTATATTAATTACTTGGTATACAAATTAAACTTAATGAGAAAAAAAACTTTATTTGAGTGATATATAGAATGATGGTTATATTAACAAAAATTAAAACAGGTGAACTTTATATAAGTGCTAAATGAATTGTTTTTAGGCGTCTTGAATATTATATATGTTGATATAAAAAAAAATGAATATTACTTAATACAAGTCTTATTTTAAACAAAATTCGACCTCCGTAGGCGAGTGGTTCGCACGCCGGTTTCAAGGTGTCGCCATCTCTGAGGTCCCGGGTTCGTTTCCCGGTCGGGTCAATGTAGAAAATGAACTTTTCTTTATTGACTCGGGTCTGGGTGTTGTGGTACCTTCGTTGTCTCAGATACTCCATAATACGGGGGCTTTAGCTACTCATCTTGGAATCTGAGCAATGTATGTGATGTTGTTAAATATTTATTTATTTATATATTCATTCACCTCCACCTAATATAAGATCACACTGAGCTAATTAAATGTCTTGTTAATGTCAGTCAGTAAATGTCAATAGTCATTATTTCAAATGTACATTTTATAATAATAAAATTATTGATATGAAATTATATAAAAAGTTATTATAATAATTAAGCATACCCAGTATACTAGTGTGTATTAATAATTATTTATTTACCTGAAGAGGACATTTGGGAAGATTGCAATTTATCATGAGATTGGTTGCCATACTTTGAAGAATACAAACTTTCCTCTGTCATTGTTGGAAACAAACCTGTAATAAAAATGAACAATTATGTAATTTCTTCCATAAAAAATAGATTATTAAAATCTTTATTTTAAATTTAATTCAAATTTATAGTTCCAAGTTAAATTTACCTGAACTTCTTGACAATTGACTATTTTCTTCATTAGGAGCAACTGGGAGCTCCTCAAGAATTCCCCTTGAACCTGGAAATTATAAAAATACTCTTTTGAGTTTTACTAAAACAATAACTATACATGTCACTGGTTGGTTGGATATGTAATGGTTATTGGTGGTAATTTTTATATACAGTAGAAATTAGAAAACATCATGTGATTGATCAATATATTAAATTGAATCATTACAAATCTAGCTGTGCTCGTGACTTTTAGGAAAGTGTATGTATAGAATTTAGTAATATTATAATTTGTCCTGTTACTATTACTAAGCCAACATAGATTTGGAGTTTTTTTTTTGTTTTGTTTATTTGGGTCAACAAACAGTTTTACAATAGCATTCCAATTTATGATATGATGTACACAGTTTTATAATTGCAAAAGCAACGTTAACTACAAGTTACTATGAGTAGTTGAAAGTTGCATATGTTATCAGCTTAAACACTTACTAAGAAAAATGAACACTACACAAACAAAACTGTTACAAATATGATAATATATATTACTTTATGATGATATGGCATTGCAATTTAGTTCACTTATTCTTTCTTAACTAACTCTTTGAATTTTGTTTTGTTTAAATTGAATATGTCGATTTCATGTAAACCATTGTTATAAAATTTTGCTACTCAATGCACTGGAGATCTCTTGCCTGTATTTGTACAAAATCTAAATATAGCAAACAGTTAGTGTTTACGCAGGGAGCTCGTTTGCGCCCGCTTAGGTACTAAATAATTAATTTTATTTATTAATTCAGTACAGTCATACTCACTGTGACATATATTAAATAAGCCAACCGCTTTCAGGTATTGCCGTCTAGATTTTAAATCTGTCAATCGGGGCCATACTAATTAATGTTCACATGACACACAAGCACATCTGCACCTATATGGAGTTTGTCAAAACATAGCCCATCCTTTTTTTATTCCCATTGTTTCATAATGTTTGTTTCATTACACATTTTTATGTTATTCCCAAGATTTGTGCCTAAGCGATTTCTAAACTTTTACTGTATTTCAAAATAAACATACATACCCTGTTAATGCACTGATGGGACAGCCAAAGCATTCAAACGTCTAAAACGACTTGTATGTCTGTGTATAAAATGAATATCGCAAACTTTTTCCTTCTGTTTCCAGTTTTCCACCAACCAATGTAACCCAAGCTTTGAAACATTCAGGAAACTTCAGGGTTTGGGAATGAGTGCATAGTGACATCTGAAACAGGAAGTCATGGCAATATTATAGACATTAAAGATATAGCCATTATATAGTTATTATCTCATTCTTTCCACTTTATACGGTGTGTTATAGAAACTTATTGGTTATTTTTGTTTCGTTAGTGTGTTGATAAGAAAATAAGAAGGAAAATAAATAATTGATAACCTCATTGTTAAAGTCTAGATTTTAAATCTGTCAATCGGGGCCATACTAATTAATGTTCACATGACACACAAGCACATCTGCACCTATATGGAGTTTGTCAAAACATAGCCCATCCTTTTTTTATTCCCATTGTTTCATAATGTTTGTTTCATTACACATTTTTATGTTATTCCTAAGATTTGTGCCTAAAGCGATTTCTAAACTTTTACTGTATTTCAAAATAAACATACATACCCTGTTAATTCTCTGATGGGACAGCCAAAGCATTCAAACGTCTAAAACGACTTGTATGTCTGTGTATAAAATGAATATCGCAAACTTTTTCCTTCTGTTTCCAGTTTTCCACCAACCAATGTAACCCAAGCTTTGAAACGTTCAGGAAACTTCAGGGTTTGGGAATGAGTGCATAGTGACATCTGAAACAGGAAGTCATGGCAATATTATAGACATTAAAGATATAGTCATTATATAGTTATTATCTCATTCTTTCCACTTTATACGGTGTGTTATAGAAACTTATTGGTTATTTTTGTTTCGTTAGTGTGTTGATAAGAAAATAAGAAGGAAAATAAATAATTGATAACCTCATTGTTAAAGTCTAGATTTTAAATCTGTCAATCGGGGCCATACTAATTAATGTTCACATGACACACAAGCACATCTGCACCTATATGGAGTTTGTCAAAACATAGCCCATCCTTTTTTTATTCCCATTGTTTCATAATGTTTGTTTCATTACACATTTTTATGTTATTCCTAAGATTTGTGCCTAAAGCGATTTCTAAACTTTTACTGTATTTCAAAATAAACATACATACCCTGTTAATTCTCTGATGGGACAGCCAAAGCATTCAAACGTCTAAAACGACTTGTATGTCTGTGTATAAAATGAATATCGCAAACTTTTTCCTTCTGTTTCCAGTTTTCCACCAACCAATGTAACCCAAGCTTTGAAACATTCAGGAAACTTCAGGGTTTGGGAATGAGTGCATAGTGACATCTGAAACAGGAAGTCATGGCAATATTATAGACATTAAAGATATAGCCATTATATAGTTATTATCTCATTCTTTCCACTTTATACGGTGTGTTATAGAAACTTATTGGTTATTTTTGTTTCGTTAGTGTGTTGATAAGAAGGAAAATAAATAATTGATAACCTCATTGTTAAAGACAATTAAAAACATGATGTGAGTTAGCTGCATTGAAGTTTAATAGATTATTATTATGCTTACCACTAGGTGTCGTCCGAAAGAAAAAAGTCGGGGCATTACGACAATAATAATCTTAACACAAAACAAACTTAAATAAGCGTCCTGTCGCGATAAAGTTCTGAAACTACAGAAATCCACAGCACAAATACACGGTAAGGTGGAGAAGAATAAATCTCAACTCGACACACTTAACTTGAGGTTTTGTAGCCACTAGAACAAAATGACGAAGACAAAATACAAATATATGAACGCAAGAGCACAGTAATCGCCATATTGATTTTGACAAATTGATCCAAATAAGTAAAAAATTTCGTCTTTTCGAGAGTGCGTGTAGCGTCATCTAGTATTGTTTATGCACACCTGGTAGTACTCATAATAGTTTTGGGGAAATAAAATGGATGTCGCTACTATCTTTGCAAAATTATGGCTACATTATTTTGTTTCTAGTTTGTTTTTCTAATTTAGGATTATTGTTGTTGTGTCTTGAGATATCTTATTTATCAAAAAAAGCAAAATGCCGAGTGAAATGATCACTTTGCAACTCGGCCAATGTGGCAATCAAAGTAATTTCAAAACGTTTTGACGATCTGTGTATTTATAAAACGACAAAAGTTATTATTTTATATCATTCCTTGCAGTTGGATTTGAATTTTGGAAACAGTTGTGTATAGAACATGGTATATCTCCAGAAGGTATATTGGAAGAATTTGCTTCGGCTGGTTCCGATCGTAAGGACGTATTTTTCTATCAAGCTGATGATGACCATTACATCCCAAGGGCAGTCCTACTGGACTTAGAACCTCGAGTCATACATACTATTATGAATTCGCCCTATGCTAAGGTAATTGATTAATTTTATAAGAAACATCGTCTTATGATGAGCACTTATGTCTAATATGCAATTATTTATTTTTCAGTTGTATAATCCTGAAAACGTCTATTTATCCAAACACGGAGGAGGAGCAGGAAATAACTGGGCTTCTGGATTTGCTCAGGGAGAAAAACTCAATGAAGAAGTTTTTGATATAATAAACAGAGAAGCAGATGGAAGTGATAATTTGGAAGTAATTTACTGTCATTAATCAATCATATTCAATAATAATAAAACAATATAGCATTATATAATGAAATAAAGGACAATCTTATCACTGAAAAGTGTTCTCCTTTAGGCAACCACTTCAATTTACCTCTACCTATTGGGAGATTTTCATAATGGTTTATGTATTCTCAATTATTATAATGTAACACAGAAAAAAATATAATTGTCTTTTTCCATTGTCTAGGGGTTTGTCCTGTGTCATTCAATAGCAGGTGGAACTGGATCTGGTATGGGGTCTTACATCCTGGAGCATCTATCAGATAGATTCCCTAAAAAACTAGTACAGACTTATAGTGTCTTTCCCAATTTGGATGAAATAAGGTAAAAAATATTACTACCTTGTGGCAGAAAGTTGCTTTGGTGAACTTTAACTTGTGTTATCAAATTATTGGTCAATTATATTTAACATCTTTTATTCAAACATTGATATATCTATGAATATAAACAAAACTGTATCATTAACTCATTGTTTTCAAAATGTTGTTCACAAACTTTCTGCCCTGAAGTATTGATATATTTGCAATATCTGATTAGTCTTATCAATACTATTTAATGTTATTTGTTGTTTTCAGTGATGTGGTTGTTCAGCCTTACAATTCACTGTTGACTCTTAAAAGGCTAACAGAGAGTGCAGACTGTGTAATGGTGTTAGACAATACTGCACTTAACCGGATAGCTAGTGACCGTCTTCATATACAAAATCCTTCATTTGCACAGATCAACACACTAGTCTCCACTATTATGAGTGCTAGTACTGCTACATTGAGGTAATATAAAATAAAGCAGAAAGTTTGTTTTACTGAACACTTTTTTGATAAATCTAGTTAATCAAATCACTTCTAGTTTTTAGTGAATTTGAATCTACATTTGTTCAAAGTAATTTTAAAATCAAGTTGATATTTAAACATCCTTTATAAGGACGTGATCTGGAGGGTATTAACAACTGTAACTGCACCCGGGACCAACGGCTTAATGTACCACGGAGTAGCTCATCATATATATATTTTTTTGTTACCCATCCTAAGTCGGTCCCTTGCGAAAGTTGCTTAACCACAACAATTTCGAGCCGCGGCGCTTATCGACCTCGCCAAGTAGTTACACAAACCACCATTTTGGACACCCATAAAAATTTACACAAAACAATTTTGCACACTGAAGTATATTTCACCATCATTATTTATTTGGAATTTATATTGACAGAAATCTCTAATGTCTAATATTTGTAACCAAGCAATATTTATTTAAGATTTTATTTCTTTACAGATATCCTTCATATATGAACAATGACCTAATCAGCTTAGTTGCACCGCTCATTCCCACACCGAGACTTCATTTTCTTATGACTGGATATACTCCTCTTACTGCAGATCATGAATTAAATACAGTAAGCACACTAATCTTGATTACCTTTTTTATTAGTATATGTAAAATAATTTAACACTAAATATTATTGTGCAGGCACCAAAAATACGCAAGACCACAGTTTTAGACGTGATGCAAAGGCTACTGCAACCAAAGAATATGATGGTTTCATTAAGTCCAGATAGAACAAATCAACACTGTTACATATCAATATTAAATATCATACAGGTAAATTATTTCATGTCAGAAGAGTGAAACACTTTTAGCATTTTATATATATTACTTACAAATTATTGTCTTATAATTACCATTTCATTACATTTAAATTAGTTTGGTAACATATCAAGTAGTTTTTTTACCCTAAAGAAATAAAAAACAGAATAGGACTGATGACTAATTTTTGTTGATTAGTTGTCATCCCTATTCTAGGCCTCGTCCTCGAGATTAGTATTTTTTTAATTATATTACAATGTAGTAACGCTTAGTGATACCACTTCCTGCACTATATTTAAAAAAAAAAAAAAAAAACAAATCATATGAGGGTAGTCGAGCCTACTACTGTGCCAGCCCGGTTTCTCTTCCTCATTCGCAATTTAGTGCTCGACCACTTCGCACTTTCAAAATGTCTAAAAGACATAGCGATAATATAGTGAACGTTTTGTCAAAAAAGTTAAAGAAATTAGAAAAAGAAATTAAGTATATCAGACGCGCGCCACGGCGACGCGTTCCGTTAAGTGAAACATCATCATCGAGTTCATCGCGGAGCTCTAGTGTATCGAATGCATCGGCAAGGGACTCCACGCCGACTCCGGATAAACTACAAGGTTAGTAAGTGATAAATATCAGTGTCGTACGTAATACATTTTTGAAAAATCAATATTACATTATTATGGGTACCTACAAGTTACGCAATCAGAATAGTCTGCGGGACTACTTCGCTGCGTTTAACTTGAGGATCTGTCTGCGCCTTAGGCTCCTTAGATTCATAACACATATTATGCAAGCAGAGCAATCTGAGGGATTGTCTCATCGCATAAAAATTCGTTAATACTCAGAATAGTCTGTGGGGCTATATCGTCATTAACGAATCGGTATGTTGTCGCTTACAGACCGAGATGCTTTGGAGCCCACGTCGAATACGACACCAACACAAGATACCTACGACGTAACCGCCGCCCAGACGGCGCCTGCGTCCGCGTCCGCTACCGTCGACGCAGCCACAGAGTCGCCGCACGCGCAGTCAACGACGCAGGCTACGGAACGCGGGGACGAAGAGCTGGATCCCGATATTTTAGATATTCTCGGAACAGATCCGGCCGCTATACAAAAATACGGACCCGATATTAATAAAGATCTAGCTCATCGTCTATGTCATATAGCGACCACAGGTTTAGATAAGGAGACCAGAAAGACTCTTATAGAAAAATATCTCGTTCCGGCAAACTGCTCACAAGTAGGCGCTCCTCAACTCAACGCGGAGATTAAAGCCGCGGTTCCCGATACCGTCCTAAAGAGAGACAAAGCCATGGAGGTTCGGCAGAACGAAATAGCCACCGCTATTTCATGCCTGAGTCAAACTATATCGACTCTTCTTAAGGACAAAGACAAATATCACGAGTTATTAAAACAGCTCATGGATACAGCTCGTATTTTGTGCGACATACAATACAGTGAATCCGTATCGAGAAAAAATTTCGCGCTTTATTCATTAAAAAAAGACATGAAAGAACAGTTGTCTAGCGCCAAGATAGACAACTTTCTATTCGGTGAAGACCTAGCTGGGACTCTTCGAACCGCGAAAGCAGTTACAAAATCCAGCTGCGACCTAAAGATTGATGCACCCAAGAAGAAACCTGTCAATCCAAACATGTCTAGACATTTAAACTGGAAGTCGGGACCCGGGAACCGCAGGGCGGCGCCGGGCCCCTCTCGCCGCCCCCTGCCGCCGCCGCCGCCGCCGTCGGCCGACAGCAGCAGACAGCGGCCTGTCAGCTCGTCGCGCACCTCATCGCATCGAAACAAGCAGACACGCAGACGCTGACTACGCCAGCGGGACCCGCGTCCTCCGCTGAATCACCAACGGTACGATATGCTGGTAGACTTAGCACTTATTTTGATAAATGGTCGCTAATTACTCGTGATCGATCCTTGTTATCGTGGATAAAAGGCTACAACATATGTTTTACAAACCCGGTTCATCAGTTAGACACACCTATCACGAAGATCCGTACTGACTCCGAAAGAAGAGATTATAGCAATGCTATTAATAAATTGCTATTGATAGGTGCCATTTCTAAGTGTAATCCTACTGCTGGACAATTTTTGTCGCGAGTTTTTTTGATACCAAAGTCGAATGGTGAAACGAGATTCATTTTAAATTTAAAAACTCTTAATGAATTCATAGACACTCAACATTTCAAGTTAGAAGACATACGTACAGTTCTTAAGCTCATCAGTAAAGACTGTTTTTCGGCTACCTTAGACTTGAAAGATGCATACTTTTTGATAAAGATACATCCTGATTCTCGTAAATACCTTAGATTTATATTAAAAGACGACAATAATACACAGATGTATCAGTTTAACGTCTTGCCATTCGGACTTTGTACAGCACCCTTTATATTCACAAAGTTAATGAAACCTGTCATGAAATTACTAAGATCATGTGGTTTTATATCTTCTATTTACTTAGACGACTTATATTTAGTTGGTAACTCTTATTCTGAATGCCGGGATAATGTTGATGTCACCTGTAAAGTTTTAAAATCTCTCGGATTTATTATTAACGATAGAAAAAGTAATTTCATCCCTTCTAAATGCTGTCAGTACCTAGGCCTTATAATAGACACACAAACATGGCAAGTAAGATTGCCTGCTGAAAAAAGGAATCGCATTAAGAAAGAAATTCAAATATTCTTACACATCAAACGGTGTACTATCAGGAGATTTTCTCAATTAGTAGGACTCTTAGTATCAGCGTGTCCGGCAATCGAGTATGGATGGCTCTATGTAAAAGAATTGGAACGGTGTAAATACCTTAACTTACAAGGTCACGATGACTACGACAGATTCATGACTATTCCCAATTCCCTATTTCCGGACTTAAATTGGTGGATAAATGCCATTAATACTTCTGGTCACAGAATAAGAAGTGACGTTTACTCCCTTGAAATATATTCTGACGCCTCAACAACGGGGTGGGGGGCTGTGTGTAACGGAAAAACGGCCTCCGGGCAATGGTCCGATAGGGAAAAAGATTTTCATATAAATTATCTTGAACTTTTAGCTGCTTATTTTGCCATTAAGATATTTTCAAGAGGGTACAGGGATTGTTTAATATTGTTAAGGGTTGACAATACCACTGCAATGAGTTATATAAACCGCATGGGTGGAGTTCAATTCCCGCATCTGAATAAAATTACTAAAGATATTTGGCAATGGTGTGAGGCTCGTAGAATACTTATTACAGCCTCATATATAAAGTCATCTGATAATTGCATTGCAGACTATGAATCTAGACGGTCACATCCGGATGTGGAATGGGAACTGTCTGAGGAAGGTTTTCAGCTCTTAAAAAATAGATTTGGGAACCCTCAGATTGATCTTTTTGCAAGCCGTCTTAATAATAAATGCGATAAGTATGTATCTTGGCATCGGGACCCCGAGGCATATGTTGTAGACGCGTTTACAATGAGTTGGGCAAATATTTATTTCTATGCATTCCCACCTGTAGCAGTCATAATTAAAACTCTCAGAAAAATAATATCTGAGAAAGCTGAAGGCATCGTAATCGTACCGGCGTGGCCGTCACAGCCATGGTACCCCTTATTTACTAGACTAGCTATATCTAATGTTATCACATTAAAATCAAGCCACTTAATTTTTCCACATTACAGCAGCAGGAATATACACGCCAACATTACCCTGGTGGGAGCAGTATTGTCCGGACGGCATTACTCCGAAGGGACACACCTGCATCTGCCATAGACATCATGCTAGCATCCTTATCGAGGAACACTATGAAACAATACAACGTTTGTTTCAAAAAATGGTTTATGTACTGTACTGTAAATAATATAGACATATTTCAACCATCTATTCCAGTAATAATAGAATTTCTCACCCAAGTCTTTAACAGTGGCAGTCAATTTGGCACGGTAAACTGCTATAGAGCCGCGATCGCTCTACTTGTGGGTCCTCTGGCTCAAGATGATCGACTCACTCGTTTTTTTAAGGGAGTGTATAGACTTAGACCTCCTCTTCCACGTTATGATGAGATATGGGATACAAATAAATTATTAGAATATCTAGCCTCATTATATCCTCACGATACATTGTCGTTTGAACAACTGACAAAAAAATGTGCTACTTTACTTGCCATCGTTACAGCACATAGGGTGCAGACTCTCACTAAAATTAATGTACTTAATATAAATATTTCCACTGAACAAATTGTTATTAAAATTCCAGAATTAATAAAAACATCTAAAATAGGTAAAAATCAACCTACTTTATACTTACCATATTTTAAAGATCGAATAGAAGTATGTCCCGCGAGTACTTTAATTTCATATATAGATAGATCTAAAGAAATTAGAAAGAGTGAACAATTATTTATTGGCTTAAGAAAACCTTATAACCGCGTTACTTCGCAGACTATTAGCAGGTGGATCAAAACCACTCTCAAAGATAGTGGAATTGATAGTTCAATCTTTACTGCTCATAGCACACGGCACGCTGCCACATCAAAGGCATTTAAACAAGGTGTGAATTTGGATTTGATTTTTAAAACCGCGGGTTGGACAGGTAATTCCACGACCTTTGCACGTTTTTATAATAGACCAATTATCCATAACAATGATGATCATACAGCTTTAGCTAGAACAATAATTGATTCCTGATTGTTTTCTATTGTAAGGTTGATTTGGCTAGTTTAATTAAAAATAAATGGAAAATATTATTGTTTCATAAACTATGTTGTGCCTAATTCTGTTATAAACATTATACTGAAAAGAAATATATGACTTCTTTAATTTCAACAAAACGTTGTGATATTTTTGTTCTCTCAACATCTACATTGTAATATAATTAAAAAAATACTAATCTCGAGGACGAGGCACGAGTATAATTAATGATTAAATGAACTTACCTGTACGTGAAGTTCAATCATAATTATACGAAGTGCCTCGTCCGAAGAGATTAGTATCTAAAACCCTCCCTCCCTACAGCTTTTTCCCTTTCTGGAAATAAGCCCATCTTCAAAAATATCTTTATCTGGTGATGGTCTCTAAACTAAATGAGGAAGAGAAACCGGGCTGGCACAGTAGTAGGCTCGACTACCCTCATATGATTTGTTTTTTTTTTTTTTTTTTTTAAATATAGTGCAGGAAGTGGTATCACTAAGCGTTACTACATTGTAATATAATTAAAAAAATACTAATCTCTTCGGACGAGGCACTTCGTATAATTATGATTGAACTTCACGTACAGGTAAGTTCATTTAATCGAAGAATATTTTATACATATTTTTTTAATTTGTGCGTAGTCAATAAATTACGGCGTATCGTCGTAATTGAGTTAAAACGTGGCATTACGTGACGTTTTGTACATTTTCTACAAAACTGTGACGTAGCGAGCCCCCACTCCTCAACTTTAATGCCTATTATCTAAGCCATTTTTTGTTTGAATTGAAGCAGAAAAATACGTCTCTAATATTTTGATATTATCTGACTGACGGACTAAATAGAATTTCTTTTTTTTTACCCAGTCATCATCCCTATTCACTTTCCTTGTCAGAGTTTGTTTCGCCAGTTCTTCTCAGGCAAGACTCCCAAAGGAACTGGTGGTAGAGTACAACCAGGGGTAAATAAATAAGTCAAATGTATTTTTAAAATACGTTGGACTTATTTAATGATTAATTCAAGAAGACCGTGGGAGAGCCACGCTTCGGCATGAATGGGCCGGCTCAACCGGAGTGATACCACGGCCTCACAGAAAACCGACGTGAAGCAACACTTACGTTGTGTTTCGTCGTGTGAGTGAGGGTACCGGAGGCCCAAACCCTCCCCATTCCCTTCCCTCTACCCCTCAACCCTTCCTTCCAAGGCCGGCAGCGCGCTTGTAGCCCCTCTGGTGATGCAGGTGTCCATGGGCGACGGTAATCACTTACCATCAGGTGATCCGTCTGCTCGTCTGCCCCCTATTCCATAAAAAAATAAAAAAGAAATTGTTAATCATACCTATCAATAACTTTCATAAAAAATATACATCAAGAAACCTGGTTTAGTATAATATGCCTAAGCAACATATTTTACCACTTAAAATATGTGATATAATATACCTATTCTAATTGACATTCCAGTGCCAGTTTACGTTGTTCCAACGCTGGTTTTGAACACTGTATTTATATTTGAATAATGAATATCACTTTAATGGTTTTAAGGTTGTGTAATAATTTATTCTTGCACAGGGAGAAGTGGATCCATCTCAGGTGCACAAGTCACTTCAACGCATTAGGGAGCGCAAACTGGCGTCGTTTATACCGTGGGGTCCGGCCTCTATACAAGTGGCGCTCTCCCGGCGCTCGCCCTATGTACACGCCTCGCACAAAGTCTCTGGGCTGCTGCTTGCTAATCACACAAACATTTCTTCGGTAAATATGCTGTAATCAGTTTTCTTTTTCAATCAACCAATATGATAATATCAAGATAAAGTAACATGGGTATTTCATTTTCAGAATTAAAAAGTTTGTTATAGTCAGTTGTGTATTGGTAACAATACATGGCATTTGTTTTGAGATTAGGTTCGTAATGTGTAGACTCTTATTCAGCGTAAAGGAGGCAGGAGAAACGAATTTAAGAATTTTAATACTACAACAATTCTATGATTCGCGCAGATTTCTAATCTTATAATTATAAAGAATGTTTTTGTGTTGATTTTCCTTTTTTTAGTAATAAATGTATGGGAAGTTTTTGACGAAATAGTCTTAGTCCCTACATGAAGTATGCTCGATTGCTATATTTTTTTGGTATTTTAACATTCATCGGTTCAGAATATATTAAACAAAACGTTATGGAAGGTACTTGCCCTAGCTAGCCCTTCTCAAAAATTTACTCTGTTTAGCAATGACATACCGTGACCGGCGATACGCGAAGCATTTTTTCACATATGAACCGAAGTTGTTCTTATGTGTGTAAAGTGCAATTTTAAAATAGTTTTTCTCAAGGAATCAAAGGGTATGTTCCGATATACACTGCGAGCACTGCGCAGTGGTCTTACTGCTGAAAAATCCGTTCCGTTATGGACTGCCAGTACACTGCTACAGTACCCTAGGGAAATTCATGACGTCATAAATTGCCGCCATATTTGTACTGTGAGCACTGGAGATTTCGAGGTAAGGTGCTCGCAGTGCTTTTGATCACGTGATCAGTCGAAACAGAATCAGAAAATGATAAGTTTCTAAATAAACAAAAAAAAAAATACTTACGTTTATTATAAGATGGAATAATCATTTTTTTATACAATTTTCCAATTTTATACTATTTTCTTTTGAAAAGAGGGAATCTTTATATTTATATTCACCTTGCATTAACAAATTTGAAAATGACGCCAAAAAATAGGATTAAAAGTATACTGGACTGCGTTTCGTTTTAAAAAGTCACCAGTATAACTAGCTATAAAGGAACGGGCTTCCAGTATACTAAATTGACGTCATACTGTTCAGTGGTCGCAGTGTATATCGGAACATACCCTAAGTTTTAATTATAATTATTAATCTTTATATTTGGAGTAATTGTTTCCATTTCTTAGCTTTTCGACAGATGTCTGCAACAATTCGATAAGCTGCGTAAACGTGAGGCCTTCTTGGAAGTGTTCCGTAAGGAGCCAATGTTCAAGGAGTCATTAGAAGAGTTCGACGAGTCACGGAGCGTGGTCGATGATCTAGTGCAAGAGTATCAGGCTGCCGCCACGCCAGACTATGTGCATTGGAATCCCGGTAAACAATAACATTATTCAATCCCCCATAGTGAGTAATGCTAAACTTCGACCTAACAGAATGATGGAAGTTATGACGTCATCATGCGATCCATCATTAACCACGCGCCCGACTCCCGCTGAGTATGATTGAGACTGTGACATCTAATACGTGTATTTTACAACTTATGATTATTGATATAGGACTCAGTATAAGTTTAATTCTTACGTTCGATCATCATCGGAGTTGATAGAACTGCTCTGTTCGTGAGATTCACCATGCGCTATGTTAGATGGAACTTACTGTAGTATTATCCCCTGGTTTATGGAGCCAACGCGATGCCATACCATTATAGCATATAGAACCAGAATTTCAAATAAGTAAATAATTCTTACTATCACCCGTATGTATTCATCATCATCAGCCCTTTTACGTCCCCAGTGCAGGGGCTCAGGCCTTCCTTATGAATAGTTAAGGAGGATAGGCCATGACACTGGCCTAATGCGGATTGGAGAGTATAAACGACTGCAAATGCACCGGGACCAACGGCTTAACGTGCCTTCCGAAGCACGGAGTAGCTCGAGATGATAATTTTTTGGTCACCCATCCCGTAACCGATCCTTGCGAAAGTTGCTTAACGACAACGACATCGAGCCGCGGCGCCTAGCCATTGCCCCACCGAGCTACTACGTAGTGTATTATGTAGTACTATAATTTCTGGTATACACTACACGCAACAGCAACATTAACATGTTTTTACTATTTTGTGTTCAGTTCATAAATTCTATATCAAATTTATTAGAAAATTATGAAACAAAACACAAGAGTCTGTTTCCGCCTCGCACTTAATAATAAAATATTCTAATAAATCTATGAAAAATATTGTTTCAGAGAGCAGTCATATATAACAATCGGTGGATGAGGATTTCGAATAAAGCCGTGAATTTGAGGAAGACCAGTTGATAAAATGAAGTGATTCAGAGGATCTGAGCTCTTATAATTATGTATTATTTATAACTAAGTGCCATCTGTTATTTTACCTATAATGTTGTTATGTGAAGTAGGTACCGTTATTTAGAACACTAAGGAAGTATTAATAAAAAGCATTTTCTTTTTATCAAGAATTTATTATATAATCTTATTCTCTCCCACATTCTTTACTTCCTAACACATATCATCCCCTATGTCAACATTTACAAATGGCGGTTTGTACAATCCCTCGCGTGCTTTATAAGTACTACATACCGATTTAAAAAGCAGTTATATGAAAATAAATTAGTGTCTTTCATGATTGTGTATTAAGAAGACAATTTGACAGTCATTTCAAGAGGTCGTTGTTCAAATCAAAGCCGAAAAGAATTAACTGAAAATCGCATGTCTATCACAATATCTAACATGCATGGGGAAATAGGAAATGCAGATCTACTGGAGTACATATCATAGAAAAAATTATTGAATGATTTTAGGTGTTTTTTGGATATGAGTATGTACAAAGTCAAGTTCTTATAAAAATAAAGGTCATTTATTTATTAGAATTAGGAGTACATGAAAATGTATGTACCTCTTATACTTTCGTTCCCATACAATTCGACATTCAAACATGGCATAAGAATGACATTTGGCAGCCATAATTAATGCTATGCTATATACAGAAAGTTAAAAATGTCTTTAATGTAGGCGCATAATGGTAATGTGATTTTAATATAATGAATTAGGAACACACAACATCTAGAATTGAAAAAATCAGAAGAATTATTTTCTTGAGTTCAATTGATGTTACTGTGATTTTAACGACAAGTGTTCTTACCTAAATGTCTCCTCTACCTATCTAACAGCTAGTGAAATAATTAATTTTTAACAACATAATTGTTTCTCACATTCAATATTATCATTTAATAACAGTTGTTCTTAAAGATGTTTCTTAAACTTCAACAAATTCAAAGCGAAATAATACAAATTCATGAAGGTGAAAAACTGTGATATGAGAGTAACTTTAAGACAATTAATATGCCACTAATAATGGTGATCACAAAAAATATTAACAATGCTCAAGTGCAAGGCATTAGCAAAACCAATTTTCGTATAATTGTTAGTGATGTGGCATATTGCCTACAGCAGATAAGGCTAGGAATTTTGGCTTGAAGACTGGAACTTGGGTTGGATGATTGATGTTTTACGCACAGGCACTGTCTCTGGAGTAGGAATGGCATCACCAGTAGGCAGTTTGGGTGGAACAGCAGGAGCTTTGAATGGAGCTGCCAGATTACCAGGCCTTTGCTTTGCCATTTGATAATCACCCGAATCAAAGAACTTTTGCTGAAATAAATTGACATGTGCACAATTATTACACATTATATATACTTAGAAATTGTCATTACATTACCCAATTGGATATAAAAAAAAAACTGATATGAACTTTTACTCTTTTATAAGTTGGTACAATTTTAATAATTAATATCTTGAAAACTACTAAACCTATATTGATATAACTTATAATGTTCTTTAGGTTGAACTCTTAGCAATTAATTAAAAAAATAATAATTGCAATCTGCTGTATAGTTAGCGAGAAATAGGACAAACACAGACATGTCATACATAACATAAAGATAAATCTTCCTATCTACAGCCTGTTTCTGTTGGTATACACAATCTAGCCTAAATTAATTTTAATCCTCTCAAACTGCATATTAAATTCAGCAATATCAACCATCAGATGTTTAGCTATATGGTTGACTTAAAATTGTAATATTGCAAAAATTGCAGTAAATATTGCTTGTTAAGAAGCTACATTAGAGAAGTAGTTCCTAACCTTTCTTATTTGTTACCCTTATCACCTATTAGGAAAACTTATTATATGCCAACCTTAAACTTTAAGACTCATTCGTTTTCTTGCTTAAAGCAAATCATAAAACGACATTGAGATAGATATTTATAAAATTTGGTCGAATTCTTAGGTTCTCTGTTACCATCTAAGGATGACCGACTTACCCTGGTTACAAATCACTGTTTTAGACCCTTATTTAAATGGATTTATTTCTTACCCCTTTTGCTAATCTTTTTTGAAGGAAAGCTGAGTGCCCACTTGGTCCTCTTCCCAACATGGCATTAGGAAATTTAGCTTTAAGTTTTGCTTCCTCAAGCTTCTCCAACTCTTTAGGCTGAAATATTTAAAATATCAAATTAGTTTATAGAAAAAAAATCACAATGGTATTAATACAGCAAAGTATTTCTAAAAAAAAAAAATTCAGACTTACATCTTTTGGTGGGTCATTTTGATCTGGTGAATCACTCATGATGACTTTCTGAAAACAGTATAAATATACAAGGTTTTAGTTTAAAACTACATTTATCGAAATATTAAAAACTGCATAGCAATACTTCGGGTAATTTGGTTGTAAACATTATCTCCCTTATATCAACATAACCTTGTGAATTTTTTTAAGGATTTATAGGTAATAAAATTTCTTTAATTGCTCAGTGTATAAGACAATAACAGATTTAGAAAATAACAAACATGACCAAGCTATGAAGAGAAGACAAAAAGCTCAAGGGATATAGTGATGTTAATTACAGTTTACGTCATTGAAATCTTGTTAAACAAAAGTGTTTTGTTTACCCTCGTTCAGACAACGTGATCATAAACCATGGTCAAAATTTCTAAATGATTAATATTTAATAACAGACTAAAAACACGGCAACTTAGCATAATAATTTAACCAGATTTAAAACCGGGACACCAACTACTGAAAGCTGAATTTAATTTTATTATGTTGAAAGAAATAAAAGCAGTCTACCTTGAAAATTAATGTTATTTGTAAGAACGATCCTATGGAAATAAGTTAAACTATCGCTATGTACGTGACAGTAACTTTCCGTAATTATTCTTTCGAAGAATCTAAAACTATTGAAGAACTCGACTAATTATTTTCACAACTTACAAAAAACTGAAAATGGCGTTTTGATTTTTTTTAATGTTTTAACGGCACCGGGATCTTGCTCTTTTTGCTAACCTATTATCAAAGAGTAATGTATATAAAAATTATCTTATATCACTCTTGTGCCAGCTCGGTCATCTAAAAGAGCACTCGTTCGTTTAGTGAACTAGTTCAGTATAATAGTTCTATTGGTTCTAATTGGTTAATGGAACAAAAACTCGTTTGAAATGATTTAAACGTACGGTCACACATTGAACTTTATAAGGATGATAGATTATTTTTTTGTCTGTGTGTCAGGTGGATTATTGAACAATATTAAATTATTATCAATTTATCTCCCTTAAATAGCAATAAATTATGACCTTAATGACACGGCTTTTCAGCGAACTTACAAATATATCTAAAAATATATGTCCGTGTGTCTATTTCTTTTTATGTACATAAAACTATGTTTAAAATATAAGTAATTTAAAAAAACGGCGTAACCGGCTATTCTGATGACGTGACATCATTTGTGGGTTTTTTTTTAATAAACGCTTTACCCCACTTTTGAGCAGGCCCTTTTTATTCTATTGTTCTCATTCATTCCAGTTCTACACTTATGCCTCTCGTACTTTCATACCTCATACGACTCTTCCATCCATCACCTTTCACACTTATGCGGGGGCATACCCGCCTATTTCTACTATCCTATCTATTATTTTATTTATTTATTTTCAGGGATTTGTGGGTTAGTAGAAGGGATTTAAGTGAAAATAAAATGAATTATCGTTTTTAGTACCCATATTCAATTGTTGTTTCATTAAACGTGAGACACAGAACACAATTATATATTTTTGTTTATTAATTTAAAAATAGAATTAATTTATCGCCCGACTATTTCAATGAAATGTTCTAGTCTCATATTATAACGCGATCAAAGCTAAAATCGGAATAATTACGAATCAAAGTTAAATGTAAATCGCCTGCCTTATTATGGTATAAGTGTGTATTTGCTATAATTTTATCACCAAGAATGTTTCGTTCTGCTGTATGGACTTGATACAAGACAGCGGTCAAATAAAGTCATTATATATATATTCAAATAATGTTTATTTGTATGTAGCTATTCTTTTTCTACTAGAATTCCCAATAATTAAAAAATAAGACACGCTCTTTAAAAGAATGACCAAAACTATATATTTAAATTGACCGTAATTCAGTGGTTTGAATTTGCTCTGTCAACCACTTAGTGAGATTGTGTTGATATTTTTCGACTAAAAAGTAATAATAATTATTATAATAATTTATTTGCTTTTAAATGAGGTAGACTGTCTGAAATATAATTTGAGTTCAGCCCATTTAGCTAACAGCAATAGCATGCAAATATTGATTAAGTTACAAACTCATATAGACAATGTCATTTATTAAATTGTAAGTATTATTGTTTCATCAAACTATTATTGAATACAATTATTATTCCCACTTGCAAAATATCAAACAAATTAAAATTCTAAAATCAGTACAAATATTATAATAGAACGTCAGGAGATCTATCACTTTAGATTCCTAAAAGAGTTATTTCTATCAAATCCTTTTTAGAAAGTAACCTTTAAATATTTTGATGGAAAATTGTAAAGTAATGATTCCATTTATCATTAAAAATACAAACAAATTTGATGATTGTTCAGGAATCTCATCAATGTTACATTTTTTTTGTTTTAGACAAAAATAATACGGTATTGTGTCTTTTTAATAATTTTACGTTGATTTTGACTATTTGATAAAATATTTTTACAACACAATTGATTCTATATTTTAAATTATTTCATATTTCAACAATATTGTTTAAGAACATTTGCTAATATTTAAGGAAAATTTCTATATTTAATATAAAACAAATTTTCATTCATCGACGACAATCATTGAGGACTTGTTTTTAAATATATAGGATTTCAACAATTTATCAGTCTTTATGAAATGTCAAATATTATAATAGGGTATTTGACACTATCGAAAATAAGTTGCATTTTGTGGTCATCCTGATAGATAATTATCTAATAAAGCTTATTTCTTAACATCCGCAGAAAAAACATGCTTAGATTTAGTAAAATAACGTAAAGAAAATACAATATTTTTAAGAATTTATTCAACGACGAAAACGTCCTATAATTGGTCGTCGTCACAACCAATCACGATTCTATTTACTGGCCTGTGACGTCATCAGCTGTCATGTCAAAGTAGTGATAGAAAGCTACATAAAATATCGATGCCTGTAGGTATCGTGTACTTTATAGTAATTAACTGATAACAGAATACTTTGCCGCTTCTGTTGAAAAGAACTGCCAAAAAGAAATTCAGAAAGAAAGAAAATTTACTAAGATTTTTAAAAAATCCAAGAAATTGGGAAAACGCCTTGTAAATAATATAAAATTACAAAGTGGATTTTGATGATATGTACTGTTCTCTAAGTTAAAAACTAATGAAAAATATCATCAGGTCTGATGTATAATTATCAAGTGCCATGCATTTAGTGGGCAGACTTACTACATACATTTATAAAAAAATAGTACATTCTTTTTCGTACTAATGTCTCATCCATCCGTAAGTAGACTGGCTGTAAAATGCGAGCCCTGTCAACAAATATAAATGATTCGTAATATTTTTATGCTATATAAAAAAACAAAAAGGAAACCTTCAAATATATCGATATGAAATAAAAAAGTTTCAATACTTTACCTAATTTTATCATCCATCTCTACTCTATATAGCTACTAATCTATTTTTTTCTAGACTCGAAGTTTGTTTGTTATTTATAGAAGTATTCGTATATTGTGGCACTACGCACCACTTAAGACAGTTGTGACTTATCGATTTGACATATTTACTGGCCTGTGACGTCACAATCAGCGCCATTACATAGAGGAGCGTTTTTCGCGCGATTTTAGCTATTTAAAATTTAACAATTATTTTCACCAAAAATAGAAAAGATTCATATGAAATATAATGACAGTAGTTTTCGAAAAAGTGTCAAATACCCCATTTCTTACAATAAGATCAAGTTCTGAATATTTAAGCGATTATTATATTGTACACTTAACAAGAATATTTCACATTTTTTAAATTACACAATGTATTACACAGATTTGTTATTATTTCTGTTAGAGGGAGATTAAACAGCGGTTTCTATGAACTAATAACGTTTTATTATATAAGTATAAATATTCATATTTTAATTTAATGACACCACAAATCGACAGACGTTTTCAATTCATACTACACTATGGTATATATTAGCGATGATCTACGGAGGTCGAATATCATGCCTTGCTGGTTGACTACCAACACTCCTCCTCAGAAAGCAGGATAGAGGATAGTTTCTCCTCCTATGGCTTTTATTCACTGAGCCCAATCATCGCTCTCAGACGGAAAATTCTCGGCCCTGGTAAACTTTTGGTCAAAGGGTCAGCTTCGTTTTCTTCAGTCCTTATGAATTTAAGCTCTATCTTCTTCTCGGAAACACAGTCTCTTATAAATGAACCTTCATATCAATGTGCTTCGATTTCGAGCTTACCATTGGATTTGTTCCAAGTTTTATGGCTGCTTGATTATCGCAATGTATTGTTATGGGCTTCTCTTGCCGTAAATGCAAGCTTTTGTGAATTAAACCCAAGTGAATTGCCTCTTTAGCAGCTTCCGTTAATGAGACATATTCGGCTTCAGCCGTAGATAGTGCTACTGCACGCTGTTTTCGAGATGCCAGCTGATTGCTGCTCCCGCGTATTTAAAAATATATCCTGAAAAAGGATTTCCTATCTTCTTTGCAAGCAGCCCAATCGGCGTCGGCCATTCCGAACAAATCTGTATTCGTCTTTTGGTATAGCAGTCCCATGCTCTTAGTCCCTTTTAAGTACCTTAGTACTCTTTTGGCACATTTAAAATGCTCCTCTCCGTAACAATCATTATATTGCGATAGATAACTGACCGCAAACATTATATCTGGTCTTGTAGCAATTGCAAGATACATAAGTTTACCGATTAGATTTTTATACGGTAGATTATCCCCCTCTTTCTTGGGATTCTTCATGAGACAGATACCAGGTTCTATTGGCGTCTTTGATGCTTTGCATTCAGCCATGCTAAATATTTTGAGTGTTTTCTCAATATATGCCTCTTGGCATAGTTTGATACCTTCGTCATTGTATATGAAATCAATTCCGAGCAGTCTTTTGGGTTTGCCCATATCTTTTAACTCAAACTGTTTTGACAACAACCTTTTTATATGTTTAGCAGTCTCAGGATTTGAGTAAGCCATCAAAATGTCATCTACGTAGATCGTAATGACTGTTTTATCTCCTCCTTTAATTGATATGTACAGACATGGATCAGCAGATGAAGTTTCGAAGCCAATCCTTCTAAGTTCAGTGTCTAGTCTTTTAAACCACTGACGTCCTGACTGCTTTAATCCATATAGCGCTCTTTCTAGTAAACAGGCTTTGTCACCTTTTATACCTTTCAGATCTTCAAGCATTTTTCTAGCTTTATTATATACAGTCAGATCTTCTTTATCTATTTCATCTACCATCACCTCTGATACATATTCTTCTAGACATTCTGGAACTTTCATTGTAATTCTTTCATCTAGGTCACCATTTAGATATGCTGTAGTTACATCCATTTGACATAAATGTAAGTCTTCTTCTAATGCCATTCCTACAACTGTTCTTATGGAACTCAATTTTACAACAGGTGCAAAAGTTTCATTATAGTCTATCCCAGGTTTTTGGGTAAAGCCTTGTGCGACTAGTCTGGCCTTTTTAATTTCATTGTTTGGGCCAATTTTCTTTTTTAAAATAATTTTGTATCCGATTAGTCTCGTATCTTTCCCTTTAGGAACTATCCGCCATGTACCATTTTTGATATGAGCTCTGATTTCAGATTTTATAGCATCATGGTAATCTTCGTCATCACCATCTTCACATTTGTGTGATTGTTCTGCTATGTTTATGTCATAATATTCATCAATTTCACAATCATTATCATTAATTTGTACATAGTCATTCATCCTTATCGGCGGTCTTCGTTCTCTTTGAGGTCGTACAACCGGATGTATCTCATTTTCATCTGTATTTACATCTGAATTAGGGTTATTTACAACATCTGTAATATCAAGTTGCTGTACAGTTAAGTCATCATTCATTCTTGTTTCGAATTGTATATTTGTGACTTCTGCTTTGCTATCTTTTTCTTTATTTTCATTTTCAATAAGACTTTTATAAGTATCATTTTTGCTTTCGTAATACATTTCATTTATAACCTTCACGTCTCTGCTTATCATTATATCATTTTTCTCTGGTATGAATATCCGATAACTTTTTGCATTTGACGCATAGCCCATAAATACACCTTTGATAGATTTAGGAGTTAGCTTTCCTCGGCGTGTCTTTTTGAGGACAAAAGCTTTGCTTCCAAATACATGGAGATGATTCCCCGATGCTGGTCTGCCTACCCACATCTCATATGGTATACTACCCTTTAGTAGTTTAGTTGGACTTCTATTACAAGGTAATTTACAGTATTTACAGCTTCGGCCCAAAGAATCTTGGGCGCGTTTGAATCTATCATCAAACAACGAGCTTTGTCTAATAAAGACCTGTTCTTGCGTTCAGCAACACCATTTTGTTGGGGTGTGTAAGGTGCGGTAAGTCGTCGCTTTATCCCGTTCTCCCTTAAAAACTGATCGAACTCTTTGTTTCTGTATTCAGTGCCGTTGTCAGATTGTAGATTCTGTATTTTAAGTTTGTGAAAATTCTCCACTTCTTTTTTAAATTCTTTGAATAGTTTGAACACTTCATTTTTGTTCTTCATAAAGTAGACGTAGCTGTATCTTGTATAATCGTCGATGAATGAGACGTAATACTTTGACCCGGCCAAAGTTTCTATTTCGAATGGGCCACAGACATCAGTATGAATGATTTCTAATGGTTGGTTGCTATTTATAGAATCATTTTTGGGAAATGGTAATCGTGTCATTTTACCTTTGATGCATGATTCGCAGGTATCGAGTTTATCTTCCTTAAAAATAAGTCCTCTTAACTTCTTGTCTTTAGCCATTTGTTTTAGGTCTCTCTCATTAATGTGGCCTAGCTTCTTATGCCACGTCATCATCTCTGATTCGACAGTTACTGACTTTGCTATATCTTCGGATTCACGACATATGTAGTATAAGCCATCCTTTCTCTTTGCTTTTAGTGATATGACACCGTTAGGTTCAACAACATAAGCTTTATCTTTCTCGAACACAACTTTATTGTCTCTGTCCGTGATCTTCCCAATTGAAAGTAAGTTTGTCGAGAGATTTGGCACATAAAGAGTTTCATGTAATTTGCATGAGTATTCGTTCAGACTTACTTGTACCGTGCCTTTTCCTCTGACGGGTGTCGAGTGGTCATTTGAAGCTAATTTTACCGAGCCATTGTCTTCGGAAATATTTAAAAATATTTGTTTATTATTCGTCATATGTGACGTGCATCCACTGTCTAAACACCATGACATTTTTGACATATTTACATTATTTAAATTTAAACAAGTATTGAAACTTTTCTGTTGTTTGTTGTCTTTGCCCTTTGAAACTTTCATAAAAGTTTTGCCTTGTTTCTTGTTGGACCAGCATGATTCCGTACTATGCGAGTTTTTCTTACAGAATGTACAGAACTTCTTCCTTTTGGAAATTAAAGCTTCAGTTTTCTCTTCAGACTCTGGTTTCTCTGCATTGCTCCTCGCCTGTGATTCTTCAAAGATTTTAACTTTTAAATCTTCAGGATTAGGCAGTGTATCTCTTGATTCTATTGCGATGCGGAAATTCTCGTAAGAAGTTGGCAAGCTGTATAAAATCATGACACTGAGCAGTTCCTTAGGGATTTTGATGTCCATGTCCTCGAGTTTATCTACTATGTCCATAAAGTTATTTAAATGGTCGCGGATGTCTTCGTTAGTGCTCATTCTCTTAAGTACTAGCTGCTTTAGTAGGGTGGCCATTCTAGCTGGCCCGGTGCTTTGATAAGTTGCCTTTAGCTTATCCCATACCGACTTTGACGTTGTGCAGCTTTTAATTTGTTTTAATTCTGACGGGGATAGCAACAAAATGATCTCTGCTTTGGCTTTGAGGTCTTCTTTGTTGAATGCCGTCCTGGCTATAGCGTCAGCATTCGGCTGTAGTATTTTCGCACCGCTTACTATATCCCACAGTTCATTTTTTATGAGAACAGCTTGTGCTTGAAGGCACCAGGTGTCGTAATTGGATTTCGTTAATGCTTCTATAGAAATTCGATTGTTTGTAGCTGTTGCCATTTCTGCAATTTTATTTACAGTACTCCCGTAAACGATAACCACGCTCTGCTACCACTTGTTAGAGGGAGATTAAACAGCGGTTTCTATGAACTAATAACGTTTTATTATATAAGTATAAATATTCATATTTTAATTTAATGACACCACAAATCGACAGACGTTTTCAATTCATACTACACTATGGTATATATTAGCGATGATCTACGGAGGTCGAATATCATGCCTTGCTGGTTGACTACCAACAATTTCGTATGAATTCTTATCATCACTACCTATAAATAAAACAAAATGTCGTCCTCCGTCAAAGAAGTACTCAAGTTCTCGACACTTTTTAATATTTCGGAGCTTGGCGTAATGTTTTCACTATACCTGATAACTTTAATGTCATTTCAATTTCCATATCTATTTTCTATTAATTGTTCTGTCAATGCTCGGACTAATTTTGTTGCCAATGAGGAAGAATTTAAAAAAAAATAGTTCCCGAAACCTAACTAGATGTCGCCGCGGTACGTTCTTGATTTCTCCATGACAACCTTTCCGGTTTTCTTTCAAGTTTAAAAGTAAATTAGTTTTCAAAACTCAATAAACAAATCATATTATATTTGTACTTTTTGTATTTGTATTGATACCTAAGTTTCGAACTTTTCAAATTTCAGTTTTTTAATATGTTAGTTAATAGGAACAGAAATGACTGTCTTTGGTGCATTCGTTTCCTGCAAAAATCAACTTTTGCTAGAGTCGCCATCTAGTGAAAGTGCTTTATTAGTGCTTTCGTTTTTTTAAATACTTCCTCATTTAATGAATAGTATGTTTTGATTTGCATTCTTCACGCCTTTGTGGTTGTCCACATGACGGGTAGGTTAACGATTTATTTTCGGTCCTTTGCTTCGGAGTACTCGAGTCAAGGTGATTTAGCTGCCCAATTCTAGATGGCGTGACGCAAGAAGTTTGATCCAACAGATTATTGTCAAATTTATTTTCATTACATTACACAGCGGAAAGCTCAAAACTCTCATATTCTATATATTCTTTTTCATATTTATATCTAAGTTTCGAAGCTTACAAATTTTAGTTTTTTAATATGATAGTTAAAGGTAAGGTACATCGTTCCGAACGATGTACGATTAATGAATAATTCGTTCATGAACTACAAAAGACTATAATACCTACTAAGTCTGTGACTATGAGATTAGGCATGTCGATTCACTTGAAAAAAATTCATTCTACGATTCGAATCAAATCGAACATTCTAGAATCGATTCTCGATTAAATCGAGCATTAAAAGATCGATATTGAATTATCGCGAAACTTTCAATCAAAGCTGCCTAATATAGTCACAGAGCATTATTGATGATAATTTATCATTAATACAAGTAATGTAGGAATTGTAGGAGACTAAACAGGCAGTCTATTATAATAAACTGGCGATATATAGGTGATTCCATGGCCTAGAATATAACAGTGACAGTAGTGACAACTATACTCTATACTGACATTCGAATGCATTTATAAATATTTATTTCATGCATACAAATTATCAATGCGTCCGACAACAGCAAAATATTAAAAACTAAAAATATCGTAGCCAATTTAGTAATTTTATATTGCTAGTTCTTGAAATGAATTGAACCGGTTCGATTCGAGGGGTTCATGCATCGATTCAAGATTTGATTTTACATTCCAAATCGATTTGAAAATTGATTATTTTACTTTAATTATTCGATTTTTAGATTAATCGATTTCAGATCGACATGCCTATATCAGATGAGTTGAGTGAGTGATGGTTTTGTGCACGAAATTGGCGCAAAATTTAGTTTTTTATTTAAGCAATTTGGTAGTATTGTGGTGACGCAAAGTGCCATTAAAGTTAAGAAGAAGAATTAAATGATGGAAGAAGAATTAATAGATGAAGATATCGATGGATCTATTCATAGTATACATGTTCGAAATTTTTTTTGTCATGAAAATTTAGAAGTAAACCTCAACCGTAACGTTAATTTCATTGTTGGTCGTAATGGTAGCGGCAAAAGTGCTATTTTAACAGCTTTGGTGGTTGGTTTAGGTGGCAGAGCTTCTGCTACGAACCGGGGAAGTAATCTTCACTGTAAGTTTTACTTATAAAATCTGTATTTTTTTTTTGTTATAAACGTGTGAATTATGTCTTTGGTACTTTTGAATATTAATTATTAATAAGTACTTAACCGTCCTCAACCTGAAAGTGGTAATTATCACAAAAAAAAAAATAGGAATATTAATGTTTTCTAAAATTAACTGTCCCATCATTCAAGGTCTGCATCCTCAAAACTAGAGAAAGAAAAATAAAGAATATAACTTTATTTGATGGAATACATAGTCAGTTTTTTTATCTTCCTATGTTATTACTGTCTTATACTTTTAATTAAATTTAAAAAAAAATAACAAACCAATATAGTTCCAAAACCAGCACCTGAATTGCTTTCATTTTTTAATAAATGGATATATTGGATGTTATTGTTAGCATTGCTAAAACTAAATTTATATGAGAATATTTGAAGAATTGAATTAATTTCTTTTTGTGCCTCTTTGGATTAATACTTTTTTATGTTTGATATCATTTGTTTACCAGATGTGGGACATCAATCTCTTTTTAAACTTAACTTATTTCATTTATAATTATTGAATGCTTTAAATATGTTTTCAGCTTTTATAAAAAAAGGTGCCAACTCTGCAACCATTGAAATTAAAATAAAGAATAGTAGCCCTAAAGCCTATAAGCCTAATGAGTATGGAGATTTTATCACAATTATCAGAAACATCACTGCTTCAGGAAGCTCTAGTTACAAAGTGAAATCTGCAACTGGTAATTATGTATAATTATTTCTTGTTTTATATTTACTATCACAATTTTTCAAATAGAGAAAAATATGTATCATTATATATTATTACAGTAAACTCCTGTTTATCTGAAATGACTGCAAAATATGTTCAGAATGCTAACGTTTGTGAATACACTTAATTCCATGTTTTTGAGAAAAAATATTTTTCAGATCTTCTACATTTTTTTTTTATTTATATCAATATAATTTATAATTTTACAGACAATATCAATAGATAGCTTGGTAGCGCAACAAATAAGCGTCGCTGCATGTGATTGTTGTTGTTAAGCAATTTTCGCTTTATTCATGGGATGGGTGACCGAAAAATTAAAGAAAGTCAGCTACACTGCGTGTGGATGTAAAAGAGCTGACAATAAAATTTTTATAAAGCAATTCATTTCGTAGCAATTTTGGCTAACACAGGACTTTAAATTGATACAACTTTTTTATTTATGAACCAATTGGAATAAACTTACACTAAATGTTAACAATAGTAAAAACTGCACAACCAGTTTAGTTGTATCTGAGATTAGTGTGCACAAATGCACAGTCAAAAAGACAAGAAACTTAAAAATCATTGTTTTGTGTTCTATTTAGTTAATGGATTTTTTTTTCATATATCTTCAATATAAAGACATCAATTAGTTACACTTTTATTATTATTTAAAAAGTATAATTCCCTATGAAAACCCCAAAAGTAGTTTGTATGAAGTGTATTTCTGATAAATGGGAGTTTATCTAGCTAGTGTATTTAGTTGTCATGAAATTACAAAGAGATAGTTTCTAACTATTATTACTTATCTAAACACATATAAAAGGAGATGTCCTGACTTACTGACTGACAGACAACACACCCTGGGCACAGCCGTACTGTAGTTTTTATTTTATAGAGCAGTTTTGGTTTAATTTTAGAGCAAGCCACTTAATTGGACGGATCTTTTACCTGGCCGACTACGACATATCCATTATATACTAACAGTTGAAACTTTTAATTTCCATTTTAACAGCTGTGAGATTAACAGCCAGTTGCACAAACGTTCATTAAAATTTTCATTAGTTTAAAGCGACATTACCCATACATATTTGACATTCATTGGAGCTTAAAGGCGTCATTAAACGTTAATGGACGTTTGTGCAACTGACCGTAAAAGCAATAGTTATTTATATTGTTCTTAGCCTATTTTATTTGATAACAGCCTGGTAATCTATTATTGTAATGTAATAATTATGATGATGTAATGAGTGACAAGGAGAATCGTTTAATTATTCTATATTTATATTATACATGTCAAAGTATTGCAAATATATGTCAGTTACGCTCTCACACCTAACCCACTAAATAGAGTTGACATGAGATAGGACATAAGTTGCTATTATTGTGATAAATAGATTATAAGAAAGTTTGTCATTGTCAAAAATAAAATCATGAAACTTTATTTCAGGTATTTTACATGATATAATGAATAAACATTCGTTTTTGAAAATATACCACGCGGACGAAATCGCAGGCATAAGCTAGTATTAACTATTTGTAAAAATATGTCATAACCTTGTGTATATAGGATATTTTTTGATTTGATTGACTTATAATAACTCATAAATAGTTATAACTAGGTATTACTATATGATTAATTTGTTTCTTTTTTATTAGGTGAGGTAATATCAACAAAATTTGAGGAAGTCAATGCCATCATACTAGCTCATGACATTCAGGTAGACAACCCAATATCAGTGCTCAACCAAGATGATGCTAGGAGCTTTCATGCATCCGATGCCAAGAAGAAGTACTCACTTTTCCGTAAAGCGACAAACTTAGATCAAACTGAAACTAATTATATTAGAGCCCTTGAGAACTGCAACAAAGCCACTAGTATTTGGAACAGGAAGAATGAGGTAATTATCTTTTATTTGTATGTTGATAAATAAATTCTGGAAACATCATATTCATCACTCAGAACTCGAGTAGTAGCTTAACTCTTGTATTATGAAAATATGAAATTAAAGGTACCACCCATGCCAGAAATAAAATATGGAATAGGACCTGGCATATTAAAGTTGACAACACCATACAACAAGTGTGAGCATCGTAGCTCTGGTCACTCACTCACTCATCGTGAAATCTCAGAAACTACAAGTGCTAGGAGTTTCAAATTTTGCATGTGGGTTCTTTTTAGGACGATTTTATGAAATTCAACCCCTAAGGGGGTTAATTAGGTGATTAAAGTTTTTATGGGATTTTTTATTTCTGGACTTAAAACTAGATCACGCAGGCGCAGCCGCTGGTGGAAGGCTAGTATTGTATATGTTGATGGTTTTATTTCATAGTATAAAACTAACTTTTGGTAGGTCTTTTTTCTTTTGTCTTTGGTCAGTCAGTGGTCTAGACTAGGAATGACGAGACTTGGTAAAGACTGCTGCATTTGATTTTTCTTACCAGCTTTTTATTTCAGTAGGATTCATCACAGTCCAACAGAATTTGTTACCTTTTTTCTTTTTCAGGCCAGTTTAGTATTAGAAAAGGAATATAAGAAATGGAAAGCCAGTCATGAACAACTACAATCTCGAGATGAAATCGAAGCCAAAAAGCAGGCTTTGCAGAATGAATATTACTGGAGTGAGATAGCAGATTTTGAACGAGAGGTTGCACTCATACAAACCCAGTACGACAAGCAAAAGGCTAAGATTGACAAACTGGTGGAGAGACTCAGTAAAATGAATCAGCATTATGGCACTAACACTGAAGCTATTGAGTAAGTTATGATACAGAATTTCAAATTGAAAATAAAACAGATGTAATAAAATTAGAAAGGCTACTATGATAGGTAACAATCTGACAGATTTATTAGTTGCATTGTTTTCCTTCTCTTTGCGGCTTTGAAACATCTAAATGAAACCCTAATTTTTCTGCTGTTCCCTTCTATACTCTCATGTCTGCATTCAATATAGAAGAAATAGTGGATTTATTTTTACAAAATGTATGTACCGTCATAACATAATATTTATCCACTTTAGTGCACTGAAAGTCCAGCTAGATGAGAAGACCTTAGAGAGGTCAGCTTTAGAGCAGGAGTTGCGTGCGTTAGAAGCGGAGGTGCGCCGCGAACAGGAGGACTGGCGCTCCCAGCAGCACGCGGGCAGCAAGCAAGCAGACTTGCTTGCCAGAGAGACCAGGAAAATTAATGATTTGGAACGGGAGATCAACAATATCGGGTAAGTCTCATTGGGAAAAGCTATCTGTTTCTGCCAGTCCTTATATTTGTTAGATTTTTCCTTAAACCAAAATTATATTACGTAATAGGGATGACAACTGGGTAAAAAAAAAGAAATTCTCTTTAGTCCATCAGTCAGATAGCTTAGATAGCAGGCATTTCAGTTGAGGAGTGGGGGGCTCGCTACGTCATAGTTTTGTAGAAATTGTAACATAACGTGACGTAATGTGATATGTTATTTAATGATTACGAAAAAACTAAAATACGTGTTTTTTTTCAATATGGCCTTGTTCCGTTATACACGGAAATTTTGCCAACATCCCGTAGTAAGAGAGACACGTGATTCAAGAGACTGAACGGTAGTTATTATTACATATGTACGGTAATTAATCAATTCTTCCTTGAGATTGTTCTTTCTCTACTAAAAATAAACAACACAAGAGCAGATATCACTATAACTACAATAATTTAAATACATAATTAATATTTTTCAATAATCCATCTGACGGACAAACGAACAAAATAGACAGAGTAGATGTCATCCCTATTCCAGCATTGTCAAGCATATGTAAAACTATTTATTAATGGCACGAAATAAATAGTATCTCTAAGAAAATGACAAATGCTGATGGATGTCAGCATAAAAGTTTTTGTCATAACAATGACAAAAACTTTTAATGAATGAATAAAAATTTAAATGGAAATAAAACTTGCTGCAGAGGTTTTTTTTATTGGTGATTATAATGTAAAGTCCCTCTAGAAGGGGGGAGTACCTCAATAGGGAATATGTGTCTGATTAAAAAAAAAGATACAATATTTTGTTACGATAATTATTGCTTTAGAACAAGTGTCAATATTTTTCAACACTGTTTTCGTCGAGAAAATAATTAGTAAAAGGTGCAAATATAATTCGGTACATTCATTTTTTTATTTATTTCGTATTTCAAAATATTCAAACGCAATACTATCCATCGGAGTGGATGTGACGAAAATGTAATATAGTAGTTTCAAAAAGTTAATAATAATTTATCGATGTATTATGTCGCAAAATAATCACCAGATTATAATTTAAATTATATTTTCGGGTTTTATTTATATTTCACCAGTTTGGTAAACTATACAATTATTAAGTTGATTTTATTTAAAAAAAAAGTATTATCGATTTTAGTAAATGAATAATAATCAATTCCTCTATTCTATACCAATATTAATTTAAAATTACTTCGCAGTTATGGCAATGTTTCGCATGTGCCTTGTCTCGCTCTATTATTAGCTCTACAAAATAGCTGCGTTTTTATCATTACGGTTTCGCAAGCAACTGCGAAATGCGTCGTTACACAGACCCACATATTTCGCAGATGTTGCATTGGTGAGTACACTGACGACATCTGCGTTGATGTGTCCCGCGTCCCGATTTTTTATTTATTTTGTTCCATTTTTGATAACTTTTGCTCAACTTAGCGCCTTAGGTATGCCTCCACAGGTTCCGCCGCGATGCCATCCGCATCTTTATAGTATATTCTCCGCACGATATCGCGTCTGCGGTCCAACATGTCCCTATCGTTTCGTCAGACGCCAGGCCAATGCTTAACACCTTTTTTCTACGTCAAAATCAAAATATTCTTGAAAATAATCATAAAATTTAAACTAGGCACACGACTGCCAAAATTGAATTAAACTGAAAAAATAATCCATTAGGCAATCCTAGTCTTTAATTAAAAACTGACCTACATTGGACTAAAGTCCAATTACTTTTGATGACTGTCCGAATGTCATGAATTTTGTTTCTCAAAAGATATTATATCTTAATATTGTGCGCATTCACAAAAGTTTCGCTGATGTTCCGCTTTCGCAAACGAATACGTCGGTGTACTAAGGACGTTAAAGTGCTCGTAGTTGTTACTTAATTTCATAATTTATTTTTGTTAGTAAATTTTGGTTCTACGGTGTCGGGTGTTTTTAAAGTTATAATTATCAAAAATTATCATATAGAAATGTTTTAAATTAAGGCATATTCCAATTGTGACCTGCCCCTTACGTAATCGTGACCGATCGACATTGCAATTACGTCGCTCCGCACTCTTGATCGGTTCACTAGCATACTCTGGCACTAGTATACCCAATAAAGAGTGCGAAACGGCACAATAGGTAACTTTTCTGAAAACTATTTTAAAGATTCTTAGTGAAAAATACTTAAAAAATCCACTCTGTCCCTGGCACTCTGAGATGGGATGGGATGATAACAGGATGGCCTCAACACGCAAATTATTTTCAATAGCGCCAAAAACCCTATCGCATGTCGATCGGTCGCTATTGCGTTCGGGAGTAAGGGCGCAGGTCGTGACGAGGCCAGCGAGGGGATCATAAAATCACGAAAAATGTCTGATGTAATATTCCAATGGATTCTTGCATCCCATCCCAGAAACCCAGAAGTTAAAGTTATCCCAGAAGTAAAGACGTTTAAGCGTCGAAATCATGTCTCCATTTAAACTTTTTAATACAAATGATTAATGGCGCAAATCCAGTGGCGACATTAGTTTTGTGCGTATCAATATGGTGAAATTAGTTGGGTGACAATAGTTTTATCAAACATATGCGTACGGCACAAAACAACCTGTAGTGTCATGAAGTCCAGTGTATTGCGAATATAATACAATGAAACCGATTTCATCGAAAACTTCCCCATAATATAGTAAGAGTGTTGTCTAATAGTTATTTAAGATACGAGTGCGGAAAGTAAGGTTTTACGAATAAGGGCCAAATTTTTTCATTGGCACGAATTCGAAAACCCTTTTACGCTCAAGTTTCTTACATTTTTCAATGCTTTTTGCGAGGAAATAAAACAAATATATAGGTTAATAAAACTAAGTATGTATTAAAGGTAAAAATTATTTGTTAAAATTAAACGTGATATTTGAACATGTTTTCGTGTCATACATTTTTATTTGAAAATATTCGTTCTAGGCTCCTTGAAATACTTTTGCCTCTAAAGTTTGACATATTTTCATCATTTTTTTTTTAATTTCTTTGGTGCTCGGCCAAAAAAGTGCAGTAAAGGATTTCAGTACATTTTTATTTAACACGTGCTTAAAGACTCACTTTCGGTGTTTACAATGGATTAAAAAAATAGCGCTTTATGAGCAACTGCATTAAAAAAAGGTTTTTAACATTGGGATGACATTGAGAACATATTGCGGTGAAACAGTTCAGGTCAGTCGGCACAGCAGCGCGCGGAACTGGAGCGAGCCGCGGCGGCCGCGGAGGCGGCGGCGGCGGCGGCGGAGGCGCGGTACTCGACGCTGCAGAACGACTCGGCGCAGGCGCGCGCCGCCGCCGCGCACGCCGCCGCCGCACACGAGCGCGCCGCCGCCGCCGCCGCCAGCGTGCGGGACACACTGCGTGAGTACTCACTGACATTAACCGAGGCGGCCACCACTCCACGACTCCAGTAGCATTTTCTTGAATAAGTCGCTTTTATACTTATCTCGTATTATTTTGCACATTTTTGAAGTTTGAAGTCGCGTCTATTTTTTTTAAGCTATATATATTTTTTAAATACTATGCTGAAAACCGCATCAAAATCGGTTCAGCCAAATCTGATATACAATGTGGGGCGAAAATAATTGTAAATGACCTCCCTTACGACCCCTTAAAAGGATCCAGTCTAATTACCCATAACCCTGTATACATTTTCTATGTAGTTAATTTGAAATTAAATATTTAGTCGTTAAATCCATCCAAAGAACCTGTTTAGAGTCGTCGTATTAGCGTTTTTTTCCTGTCGAGCCAATTTTTGTAATTTATTTTTATTTTGCGAATATTCTACCATATGTTCTTAGGGATCAGAAGTAGTTCAAGGTTGCTCAATGAAATCCTGCGTGTAATTCTTCAAACTCTCGATTTTATTAGCGAATATACCTTAAATCATTTATAAGTAAATTCTAAGATGCTGAGTCTATGCCGGACTCGATCAGAAAGAAAGATTATCAATTATCGAAAAACGACAACTCGAATTCGAACGCGGAAATTCAAATTCTTCCATGCTTGGGAAAAGCAAGCATAAATCGGTTTAGTCTCGACTGCGATTGCAATCAAAATCGAAAAATCAAGTTTTCTAGAAGAACAAACTATCACAAAAACCATGGATGGAAATGAGTTATTTTATGGAGACACTTTAATTCTTGATGAAAAATGCTTATAAACTCCACCAGCCCCAGGAACTCTGGGATACGAATCGAATATTTTCCAAGATAGCATTGTGATGAAAAGTTAATCGAAAGTTTAAAATATTTGTAAACATATTTCTTTTGGCTGTTCGGGAGGATTGCCTGGACATTGACGAAAAGATGCTCTTGCTAAAAGTAACAAGTGCTTGAAAAATTCATCAGTCCTCGTAGGTCCTGGGTAGCTCAGTGGTTAAAGCAGTCGCCCGCCGATTACGAAAGGTCGTTGGTTCGATTCCCGTCTTAGAGTATCTGGGGTGGGATTTTATAAGCATTTTGCATCAAGAATATTTTCCAAGATAGTATTGTGAATGCAAAATTAATCAAACGTAATAATTAGACACATTTATTTAAATATGTGACTAAAGTCGTTTACCCTTGCTCTTTGTTGTGCTTAGGCAGTATATAAGCGGCGATATTAATATTATGGTGGGATTTAGGACACCTAAAACAGCAACTGCGCGAGCTGGAGTCTCGTGGGAACGACTCGTTGGCGGTATACGGCGGCAACATGGTGGAGTTGTGCCAGAGAGTGAAGCAGGCCGCCGCCAGAGGAGAGTTTAGTGCACTCCCGAGGGGTCCGGTCGGTGAGTAATACGGGTGTAGACAGTAAACAAAAATAAATACATATTTTTTTTTCTGGTAGTGTTTAATATATTAATACCGATAATCACACTTATGCTTATTATATTTATAATATTGCTTAAACTGGTTATGAAAAAACAAATGTTTTATACTCGTTGTCACGTGACCGAAAACAGCGCGTGACGTCACTCATGTTAGAACTTAGAGAACACATATAGAACGGTATTCGTTTCAGAGTGCCGGGACGCGATGAAAGAAGTGATGTTTTCGCGGGAAAATTAAATTGATTTTTAGATTTTACTTATTATATGAATGCTTTTTTTTGTTATATTTCGTGTATATCTATAAAATGAAAAAGTTACTTTTAACAGACTGGCGGATGGACATATAGACGTATAGAATAGTTTTTTATGGGGTCCATTTTATGCTTTGAGGAAACCTAAGAGAGCTTCAAAATTGTTTATTTGTGTAAACAGGTGCTTATTTGAAGGTGAAAGAAAAGAAATGGGGTGGCGCTATTGAACATATTATTGGCGGTTCCATGATGTCATTTTGCGTGAACTGTCCAGAGGACTCCAGGAAACTTTTCGAAATTATGGGGAAAGTAAGTGTTAAGAGAGTTAAACAAACTTCTAGTGATTGTAAGTTTTATGAACTTACCACTATGCTACTCTTTTTCGGCGCTCATTTTTGTGCGATTTTAGTCCAATTTTTTTTTATATATCGCTAATATTAACTAAAAAAAAACCTTTTTTTAATATGTACTAGATTTTTACAAAACCATGTCATTACTAGTATCAATAGATTATGAATAGAGAAAAAAAACTATGATCTTATAATAACGTTTCTTACTTCATTGAAATTCTTGTTTATTTAGTAATAATATATGCTTAAGTTGTGACATTATTCTCGAGCATTTACTTCTCTCGGCTATAGATAAGAGTGTATGACTATAAATAAAACACCAGGTGTACGGCAAGTCGTCGAAGCCGAGCGTGACCTGCAGCAAGTTTCTGTCGCAGCAGCACGACGTGAGGCGGAACAAGGTGCGCGCGGGCGCGTTCATATCCGCTCTAGACTCCATAGACGTCAGCGATCCGGTCATAGCCAACTTCCTCATAGACAACATGAGGTTAGAGGGCGTATTGCTTGTGCCCGAACACGGTAAGAATTAATTAATCTTTTTAATTATATTAAGTATCAGGCAGTTGCGCAAACGTCCATTAAAATTGTCATTATTACAAGTGGCATTGCCCATACAAATTTGACATTCATTAGAGTTTAAGGGCGTCATTAAACCTTAATGGACGTTTTTGTGCAACTGACAGTATATCTCTTATCTTATTCCTCAATTATATATCAACGTGTCCCAAAATTCAACGATAAGCGGGCGCCAAGAGGCAGACCTGCTCATGTGTACTTATGGAAAAATAAGAAAAAAATTATATCTTATTAATCTTTTTTATTATAAAATAAAATTCGAAAATTTACACCTTTTGTGATATTTTCAACTACCACGGCCACAACTTCTCAATTATGTTCAATCTTTTTTTGGTATTGGATACCTAAGTAGTACTAATATTCGCTACAACTGTTAAAAACCCCAAAATGCCCACAGTATTTACACAAAAAACAATCAAAATGTATTTTTTTCCTTAAATTTTCATAGATTTTTACGTTCCGTAATCTTTGACTCAGTCATGTAGAAAAAAAGTATGGACACTACTGCGGCAAGTTGTTTTTAAAATTGACGCAGCTCATGAAGATTCCATAATGGCATAATACTTCATGATAACTAGCAACAAACTAAAAATCATACCATTTAGAATCAAGAACCAAAGTTGTGAGTAATAAATTGTACTGTTCCGAAATGTTTTAATATTTTAAAAAAATATTGAAATAAAACAATAGTGAGTTTTAGTCTCATTCATTTATTAATAATTAACATTACATTAAATGTTCAAATTATTTTCCACCGGCATTAATACATGCACGACATCGCCTTAAAAAAGAGCGTTTTATTTTTCGTGCATACCTTTTAGCATTGATATGTGACGCAGCCTGACTAATTTTTTGCCGAAGCTCGTCCAATGTCGTAATGGGTATTTCATAGATTTTGTCTTTGAGACAACCCCAATAGAAAAAGTCCAGGGGGTTTAGGTCGGGTGATCGGGGTGGCCATAAGATAGGACCAAGTCGCCCAATCCAACGCCCGGAATACTCTTGGTCCAAGTATTGTCTCACAGGACGAGCGTAGTGAGCTGGGCAACCATCATTTTGAAACCACATATTTTGTAGATCTCTTAAGGGGACGTCTTCAAGCAATTCTGGCAAATCATTTTGTAAAAAGTTCAAATAACTGTCACCATCCAAGTTTCCTTGTAGTTCAAAAGGCCCGATCAATTTTCCATTTAATATGCCCGTCCATAGGTTAACCTTCAACTGATATTGGGATTTTTCCTGTCTCATTAGGTGTGGATTTTCATTGCTCCAGCTGTGTCGGTTGTGGAGGTTTAAATATCCATCTTTCTTGCATGTTGTTTCGTCCGACCATAGTACTTGGTCCAAAAATTGAGGATCTTCCCGGTGCTTTTGAAGCATAATACGGCAAAATGTGATCCGTAGTGGATAGTCCCGTGGTAGCAATGTTTGCACACGTCTGTAGTGGTATGGGTGAAGCCTGTGACATTTTAAAATTCGATGAGCCGTACTTTTTGGGATTCCCGTAGCTGCTTCTATGGCGCGTGCTGAAGTAGTTGAGTCAATGTTTATTTCATTGAGAACTTCTTCATCGTATTCCGATCTAGGTCTTCCAGCGTTGCTTCTGGCTGATGGCAAACGACCCTCCGAGAACGCTCGATGCACATTCATAAATACTCGGTAATCTGGGTATCTTTGGGCGTTCGGGTATCTTTCCCGATACAATCTGCTAGCAGCGTTAGCATTGCACCGACATTCTCCATAAATGAGGTGCATATTAGCGTATTCCATCGGCGTGTATGGTAGCGGCATGATAACGCTAAACAATCCAAAATACGACGAAAGTCCAATTCACAAAACACTATCACAGTCCAAATTAATGCCAGGTTAGTTCAGTTTGTTTACAAATGGTGTGCATATTTTTTTACTGTGACTAGTTATCTTAGATTAATATACCATTATGGAATCTTCATGAGCTGCGTCAATTTTAAAAACAACTTGCCGCAGTAGTATCCATACTTTTTTTGTAACATGACTGTGAGTCAAAGATTACGGAACGTAAAAATCTGTGAAAATTTAAGGAAAAATATACATTTTGATTGTTTTTTGTGTAAATACTGTGGGCATTTTGGGGTTTTTAACAGTTGTAGCGAATATTAGTACTATTTAGGTATCCGATACCAAAAAAGATTGAACATAATTGAGAAGTTGTGGCCGTGGTAGTTGAAAATATCATAAAAGGTGTAAATTTTCGAAGATTTTCGAATTTAATTTTATAATAAAAAAGATCAATAAGATATAATTTTTTTCTTATTTTTCCATAAGTACACATGAGCAGGTCTACCTCTTGGCGCCCGCTTATCGTTGAATTTTGGGACACGTTGTATATTGCTACATAATAAGTAAGAACAAACACTATGTTAAAGCGAAACTTGTATGTGCGTTCTATTCATTAAAGTCTCTATGAAATTTTGACTTAAGTTTTTGAGGTTAATGAATTAAGATTTTGTACTTTTCTCAATGAGGAAGTATTAAAAAAAAACATTAGTTCCCGAAATCAAACTAGATGTCGCTACGGTACGTTCTTGATTTCTCCATGACAACCCTTCCGGTTTTCTTTCAAGTTTAAAAGTAAATTAGTTTTCAAAACTCAATAAACAACTCATATTCTATTTGTACTTTTTCGCATTTGTATTGATATCTAAGTTTCGAACTTTTCAAATTTCAGTTTTTAATATGTTAGTTAAAAGGAACGGAAATGACTGTCTTTGGTCCATTCGTTTCCTGCAATAATCAATTTTTGCTAGAGTCGCCATCTAGTGGAGGTGCTTTTATAGTGCTTTGGTTTATTTTTAAAATACTTTTTCAATCAGAAACTGGCCGATAGTATTACACGCCACGGTTTTATAGCCTACATGAGACTGTCTCCACTCCGATCCGTAAATGCACCGAACCATAAGCCTGCAAAAACGCCTCTGAAAGGTTACGTTAATAAAAAAAGTAATCAATGTTTTAAGCTCACGTATGATTGCAGGCAGGGATCTTATCGTTTGACATCTGTATACATATGCGTAGATGACGCGGTCCGTCTGTCCGACACTGTTGAGAACGTGCCAGTGAACTGCGCTCGCGTGGTCACCCTGGACGGCAGCGAGTACCACCCCGCGCCCAACTACAGGAGTTACGGCGGCGCTGCACAATCCAGCAAGTATCTGCAAGTCAGCACCGCTGAAAGGAAGAGGTATGCCATTCATCATAATACGGGTGTAGACAGTAAACGAAAATAAATACATATTATATTCTTAATGCAAAATTGATCAAATATGATAATTTTTTTTTTCTGGTAGTTTCCCGGTCATTAACCATTCCGGTTTTAAAGAAGTCGTTTTATTGTATGAGGTGTCCATACATTGTCCCTTGTCTGTTTTCTATGGTTTATGGGATATATCAATGTACTGAATGTTTAATTGCATTGGGTTCAACCCGATATATTAATCTTATTACATATGTGATCTAACAATCCAATGTCAACCAATGTAGTACACGGCAGACCTTGCTGTCTCTTTTCGTTGATGATTCCCATCACTCGATAATTCAATCGATTATTGTTCCGTGCAGATAATATTTTTCATCCTTATCCAATAGCACTACATAAGCCCTACACTACTTATTATTTTTTTTGGGTATGTAGACTACCAATATTGCCTCGAATACGTGTTTCTTGTTACTTAACGTTTTCTTAATCGTCGTTGCTTTCATTATTTTTATAAGTAAAACAATAATATAATTGCTACAGTCTTACATGTTATCGTATACATAAAAAAAATCCTGGTAAATAGTCATATATACATACATACAAAATAATATTTAGAAAATCGGCAATATAAGTTATTTTCTTTATTCAACAACGTAGTGTTGGTGCCTGAGCTTGGTGGAATGTTAAATGATAAAATTGATTACGAAAATTATGTTATATTTATTAAATGTTCACAAAATGTTATGTTAATGTTAACGTTAAAATGATATGAATATTTATGAGTGCATCCGATTGTATGAACGGTAAAAAATACACTGATTTACGTAAACGATTTGATGACAGTATAGCGCGGGCAATGACCTACTTTAAATACATTGATATTAATCGTAGGTATACAAAATGCAACTATTCTGTTATATTCTGCTACATGTTCGGTTATGCACCGAACAACGTAGTAAAATCTAAACTATAAATCAAAATTTATTTGGTGTAAAAGACAATTTTTATATACAAGACTCCTGGACGATGAAGTTTTTAGGGCAGTTCCGTTCGGTTAAATAAAAAGATTTTCCTGTCTATAGGCAAGTGCAAGTCGAGATACAGGAGACGGAAACGAAACTGAGAGCGCTCGAAGCGAAAGCGGAGGAGTTGAATCAAGAGTTGCGTGCGGCGCGCGACAACGAGCGTGTGACGTCACGCGCGCTGCAGGCGCTGGTGGGGGAGCGGCACGAGCGCGCCGGGGCCGCCCGCAGCGCGCGCGCCGCGCTCGACGCCCACCACGCGCCGCACCACGCCGTGCTGGTGAGTGTACTATGGCACAGTAGCCGCAGCGGGCGTGTGACGTCACGCGCCGCGCTCGACGCCCACCACGCGCCGCACCACGCCGTGCTGGTGAGTGTACTATGGCACAGTAGCCGCAGCGGGCGTGTGACGTCACGCGCCGCGCTCGACGCCCACCACGCGCCGCACCACGCCGTGCTGGTGAGTGTACTATGGCACAGTAGCCGCAGCGGGCGTGTGACGTCACGCGCCGCGCTCGACGCCCACCACGCGCCGCACCACGCCGTGCTGGTGAGTGTACTATGGCACAGTAGCCGCAGCGGGCGTGTGACGTCACGCGCCGCGCTCGACGCCCACCACGCGCCGCACCACGCCGTGCTGGTGAGTGTACTATGGCACAGTAGCCGCAGCGGGCGTGTGACGTCACGCGCCGCGCTCGACGCCCACCACGCGCCGCACCACGCCGTGCTGGTGAGTGTACTATGGCACAGTAGCCGCAGCGGGCGTGTGACGTCACGCGCCGCGCTCGACGCCCACCACGCGCCGCACCACGCCGTGCTGGTGAGTGTACTATGGCACAGTAGCCGCAGCGGGCGTGTGACGTCACGCGCCGCGCTCGACGCCCACCACGCGCCGCACCACGCCGTGCTGGTGAGTGTACTATGGCACAGTAGCCGCAGCGGGCGTGTGACGTCACGCGCCGCGCTCGACGCCCACCACGCGCCGCACCACGCCGTGCTGGTGAGTGTACTATGGCACAGTAGCCGCAGCGGGCGTGTGACGTCACGCGCCGCGCTCGACGCCCACCACGCGCCGCACCACGCCGTGCTGGTGAGTGTACTATGGCACAGTAGCCGCAGCGGGCGTGTGACGTCACGCGCCGCGCTCGACGCCCACCACGCGCCGCACCACGCCGTGCTGGTGAGTGTACTATGGCACAGTAGCCGCAGCGGGCGTGTGACGTCACGCGCCGCGCTCGACGCCCACCACGCGCCGCACCACGCCGTGCTGGTGAGTGTACTATGGCACAGTAGCCGCAGCGGGCGTGTGACGTCACGCGCCGCGCTCGACGCCCACCACGCGCCGCACCACGCCGTGCTGGTGAGTGTACTATGGCACAGTAGCCGCAGCGGGCGTGTGACGTCACGCGCCGCGCTCGACGCCCACCACGCGCCGCACCACGCCGTGCTGGTGAGTGTACTATGGCACAGTAGCCGCAGCGGGCGTGTGACGTCACGCGCCGCGCTCGACGCCCACCACGCGCCGCACCACGCCGTGCTGGTGAGTGTACTATGGCACAGTAGCCGCAGCGGGCGTGTGACGTCACGCGCCGCGCTCGACGCCCACCACGCGCCGCACCACGCCGTGCTGGTGAGTGTACTATGGCACAGTAGCCGCAGCGGGCGTGTGACGTCACGCGCCGCGCTCGACGCCCACCACGCGCCGCACCACGCCGTGCTGGTGAGTGTACTATGGCACAGTAGCCGCAGCGGGCGTGTGACGTCACGCGCCGCGCTCGACGCCCACCACGCGCCGCACCACGCCGTGCTTTTATTTATAAACGGAGAACTCATGGCGAAAATGACAGACAAGAGCTTTCTGCAGCATATTTCAGGATATTGAAGTATTAAGTTTACGTGCCCAGTGCGGAGTTTTAGTGCCAGAACACCCAGTAGCGGCGGCACGACACACTTCCAGCGATTGCTGAATATGTTTGAACTACTAGCAATTTACTAATAAATTAATTACGAAACCTCTATGAAACTTTTTCTGAGCTCATTGTATGCAACTAAGTGACTTAAATAAATTAAAGGCAAAACTTATTTTTTTACTAAATTTTTACATTTTTAATAAATGTTGGGAATTGGGACTCTCTTTGACAGGGGCCCCTTCCGGCAGGGTTCCGTGGCACTTTGCCGAATTGCCACCCTGTAGTTAAACCACTGTTCCGTATAGAAAAGATAAAACGTGACTATTACTAAGACTCCACTGTCCATCTGTCTGTCACCAAACTGTATCACACGAACCGTAATAATTAGTTGAGATTTTTCACAGATAAAGTATTTCTGTTGCCGCTATAACATGAAATACTAAACAGAATATAATTATTTGATAATTTTGTGCTCGTTTCCGATACCGAACCATTAATGAGTTCCACCTTCACTTAACCGCTTTTTAATCGATGGAAATTGAGTTCCGCATACACCACTTCCTCAACACGATTGGGCCAGCTTAACTGGGACTCTCCCCTGCCCGACCTCACAAAGGATCACACAAACAGCAGAGGCATACCCGCTAAAACCTATGGAAAGTTTCTTTAATGCCCAAGATAGTTCGTAGACCACTTGCCTGCCGCTCTCTGCGATTGAGAGTAGGAATCGGGAACATTTAGATAAATAGATAAATTCTTTATTTGCATCATGCATACACAAAATTTCACAATTAAAATTTTACAAAATTTTCCATAACTAAAACAAGTCAATATGTGTACCGCAGCGATGCAAATGGGCGAAAACTCAGTGAGTATTTACTCAAGGAGCAAAGCACTGATTTTCAGTTTTAACCCTAATTACTAGGTGGCACTGTAAATATAAATATTTGAGGAATTTGCAAAGAAATTGATAATAGAACTACAATACTAACCAGACACTACAATAATTCTAATAAATACTTACTAAATAAAATATGTAATAAATGTACGAGGGCGGGATGATAAATAGCTAGTCTAGCATATAAAAACTTGAATTAGTGTGTTAAAAGTATATTTATTTTTCGACATAGTCTCCTTGAAGCGATAAGCACTTCATCCATCTATGCTCTAAAACCTTGATGCCATCCCTGAAGTGGTTTTCTTCAAGCCCTTCAAAATAACTGTCTTCGCTATTGTTTTCAAATCTTTGTCCACCTAAAAAATTTTTGAGCTTAAGGAATAGATGAAAGTCAGATGGTGCCAGATCAGGAGAATAAGCTGGGTGTGTAATTTATCCAGTAGATCAGGATAATATTCGCCATTTATGTTTTGTCCTTTTGGAAGGTAATCAATCATCAATAATCCCAAAATACTGACGCCATGACTTTCCCTGCTGATTTCACGGCTTTTGCTTTCTTTAGAGCCGGGGATCCTTTTTCCGTCCATTGTTTAGACTGAATTTTTGATTCAGGTATATAGTGGTGAACCCAAGTCTCGTCTGTAGTAACAAACCGTCGCAGAAAATCAGTTGTATTGCTCTTAAAGCGGTCCAAACATTCTTGTGAAATTTGCATACGAACGCGTTTTTGGTCATCAACTGTAAGCAGTCGCGGCACCCACCTTGCGGATAATTTTTTCATACATAATTCTTGAGCCAAAATATAATGAGCCCGTTCTTTAGAGATGCCTACAGTATCAGCTATCTCGGAAAGTTTCAATCTTTGGTCAACTAAAACTGCTATATATATAAATTTTGATCACAATTTCTGGAGTAGTGGCATTTTTTGGACGTCCTGGACGATGTTCATCTTGGGTGCTGGTACGGCCACGTTTAAATTCAGCCACCCATTTTTTTATGGTGGCATATGAAGGAGCATTTTCTCCCAAAACATCCTTCATCTCCGAAAAAATCTCTCCACCTTTTAATCCTTTTAAATGCAAAAACTTTATCACAGCTCGTAGTTCAATTTTATCCATTTTGCAGAAAAAACAAAAGAATGCTTTTTGAAATGTCAATATTTAAAAGAAAAACTATACGATCGATTTGAAATTTGGAACACTGGCAGCTAATGAATCAACGAGTAAAATACTAAGGAGATTTTATATCGTTATTATACAAAATATGGGTTGGTTGATATATAGATTAATAAAATAAAGTAAATAGATAATAATAAATTATTCAGAGTCACATTTGTAAGAAAATATAAAAAAGAGTAACCGTTAATATAACTACCACCACCATCACCATCAAGCGACTAATTGACGGGAACTTGATTTTATAGCAACCTATTTAGTTGAAGATACATAATATTGACTTTGAATTTGATTATGATTCCATCTAAGAAAAGTCGGTGTCCATTTAATAGCCTGAAGACGATTATAACATATCTAACTCCACAGCTGGAAGAATTGAACGTGTCAAAAGAGAAAGTGCGCACGTTGAACGAACAGATGGCGGTTTTCAAGGAAAGGGAGCAAGAGTACAAGCGGAAGGTGGACGCGAACGAAACTAACATGAGGAGGGTGAAGGGGAAACTTAGTCATCTCACCGCCGCCTGCAGGACACTCAGTGTGAGTGATTAATACTATTATAGTACCTTAGGTTTTATTATTCATTAAAGCCCGTATCTAGAGTCTAGTAAATGAAATAACCTAAATAAAAGTAATTCATTTAGAATCTGATTTTTCATCATTATTGGGCTTCGCTTTTTGTAAATTGCGCTTAATTTTTTTTTATTAAACCTAAAATTGCGGATAACAATTTTCAGAAAATACGCAATAATCTACACAAATTAAATAAATATAGAATGTTATCCCTAATACAGTAGTATAATTTGTGGCGGCTTTGAAAATTTGAAATATCTTTAAAATCTTATTATAAGCCACAAAACTTCGGAAATAGCTTTAAGTATTGAGAACTTTAGTGTGCGCAATTCTACGAAAACTAACGCCGTCTAGCGCTGCATTGTTACTAGCAGTAACACTATTTTATTATTATGGACACAGGAGGAGATAGAGGCGGAGCAGCTGAAGCTAGAGCAGGGCGTGTCTGAGCGCGCCGCGTGCGAGCAGAAGCTGCGCGAGGAGCGCGACAAGCTCGCGCACGTCCACGCGCTGCTCCACGAGAAGAACGGACAAGTAGACAAGCTCACGCAGGAGGCATTGCTGTTGTGCTCGAGAGTCGACAACCCTAGGTGATTACAACTCATTTCTTACGACAATCGAATAGTTTGATAGTTTTGTTTGAGAATGCATCGACTCTGATATTCTATTTTACAGTTTCGAGTTTTTCTCACTTTATATTAACTTATTTATTTATTTATTAAGATATAAAACAGTATATTATTAATACAAAGCATAACTTGTTATTCATCTTGCAAAATCCAATTATACCCAATAATATGTATCTCTAGCATGATTAAAGTGGAGCAGCATTTAAACTAATGATATTAATTTTAAATAGAAAAGCAGTGTGATACAGATATGTTAATGCTGATTATGATGACATAATCGTTGAATTAAGTAGTGACATTACTTTCTTTTCGAATAAATATCTATTTACGTCGAATATAGCTGTCTTTATTAATATAAATACAAATTTAACAAGCAACTTAATAGTTGCTTGTTAAATTTCATAATTCTAGTCGACTCATGGGCATACCTAGAAATGTTTTCGATGATTCCCTTCCCTTTTCTGTCGTCATAAATATGAGATAGATATGTTGTACTTTGAGATTTTCGTTAGCATGATTAAAAAAACTAGAAACGCCATCGAGTGATGAAGGGCTAAAACATTAAGTACTCCACGCACTTAACGGGCGGACATGCGATGGTCTGTTGTAGTTGTTCCTAGATGGCAGCACTTTTCGCTCCGTAACAATAACAACTCTTAACAACCGACTAAGAGTTGTTCTACGATAGTTTAATATATACATACATATATCTATGTACAGAGATTTTATCATAGATAATAGAACAAGTTATATGTTCGTATAAAACAAGTACCACATAGTCTAATTGTATACACAGAGACCGGGCGATAGTGACGAACGAACTGAAGAAGACTCAGCTGAAACTGAGTTCGCTGCGCGTGGACGGCATGAGCAAGGCTCAGGTGGCGGAGAAACTGCTCGCGGTAGAGAAACAGTACCGACGGACCATGCTCACACTGGAAAGGCTCAAAAAGCTTATAGACGAGGTAAGTATCATAATATAACACATGCATAATAATTGATTATATGTATTTTTTTTATTTCAATTTAACAAGAAATAGCTTAGATAATAGGCATTAAAGTTGAGGAGTGTGGGCTCGCTACGTCAGTTTCGTTGAAAATTTACAAAAGCGTGACGTCATCTAACATTTTTACTCAATGTATCGTCGTAGTTTTATAAACAACCTGACGGAAAAACAAACAAAACTTTTACCATTTTTAACTGCTGGGGCACAGATCTTCCCTATGGATGGAATCGAATGGTGATATTGGGCCATGATCGATCACTCGAGCCTAGTGAGGATTGGTGGGTGTTAATGACTATAGGTGCAGCTCGCAACTTCAAATTCAACAAACATTTAAACTCCGTGTCAACGGAGTTTTAAAAATATCTGTTTTTGACACGCCTTTTTTTACTGTGACCATTATTTCTCAATTACAGCTCAACAGAATAGACTTAAAAATCATATTTATTTGATATCTTTTTTGTTTCAGATCAAAAACACGACAGACAAACATCTCAACTTCTGTCACAGAGTACAGACTTATATCGCCAGAAGAGTACAATATTGTTTTCAGTCTATATTAACGCTACGTGGTTATTCGGTAAGTCGTTTGCATATCATTTTATATTATACGCCATTTATTATATTATTAATCAAAACGTCAAATTTTAATTAGATATTTAATTTATCATTATACCATTATTAGAGTAATAATAAGTGTTGGCGCACATGTATTACTTATGGTTATAATTCATAAGGAAATCCTAACACTCACTACGCAGGCGATGTGTGCACTGTTATTTACTATTTGAGTGTGTAACATTATAAAAGAGCCATTATTTGTTATCCTGTCTCCGCTTCGTGTATATCAAAGAATAAAAATGGACTTAGCAGAGTATAATATAATGCCGTTAGATGCTTGATGGCGCTCGATGGTAGTTAACGCGTTCGGCCTGCGATATGAAAGTAAAGGAATGGTCATAGGATGGGTGATCAAAAAGTTTATTATCTCGAGCACCTACTGCTGTATCTGTAGTCGTTAACTACTATATCCACGGTTACCATATCTTAGGATTTGTCCTGAGATTTTTTATGAAATATAGTATATACAAACTAACAAAACTCCCTTACTTTCTGATGTGCAATAAGTGACCATGATCCCCGAGATCCACAGTGTATAAAAACGATAATAATTCGACTTTTGAAAATTGTTACGTACGTTTGCGAGAAAAATCTCAACTGTATCGAAATCTCAGGATTTTTAAAGTAAATCAGGTCTATTCTCCGGACTTTTGATTTTTTCATCTGGTTACCCTATACCAATCCGCACTGGGCTATTATAGTATTTTTCACATAGCATGGCTACGGTGACGTTTGGGATCTGAAGCTTTTAGTGATGTGGTAATTAAGAAACTATATATAAAAATTACAGTATAGAGTTTATTTCTAATAGAGATAATGGGTTTTGAGATCAATGTAAGAAACAGAATTTAATAAAAATATTTATTCATCAACAATTTGAACCAGAGTCAGCAAAATTACTTGATTCTTCACATAAATTAAATTACTTAAGAGTCTGTACTGTCTATTTTATTAACCCTCTACATGTCAGATAAAATAAGGCATTTTGATATTCCTATTTTTTAATCAAATTTTTTAATCACTTGATGTTGCTTGTTAAATTAAAAATCGGCCGTTTGTGTTTTTAAATTTTAAAGTCGCTATTTATTAATAAAGGAGAGTCAGGCAGGGCGACACGTTTTCCTCTAACCTTTTCACTCTTGTATTAGAAGACATATTAATGCTTATCATATTAGACATTGTTCTCATACACAGTAGTGGCCGACAAAACGTTAGATATGAATCTGAAAAATCCCTAAATTTTTATAAATTAAATCAACGTGCCTTTCAGTAATAGCAAATCGTAAAAATAACAAGATTTTATAACAAAATTAGAATGATTAAATGGAAACCTATTACTAGCGCTTAGAAAAGTAATCAAAATAATATCGCGAAAAATATGTTCAAACGATACACCGGCCAAAATAGTCCATTTACGTAAATGCTACTCTTTTGACGATTTTTAAAATTTGATCAGGTTGCGATAAAAAGTATCTCTCAAAACCGTAACACACATGAATTTTACTTAATAGATACTAATATCTTATGCGTACAACACAAGTTTTGACCTGCGGTGTTTGTATGGCGAATAAGCTGTAAGAAGTGCCTTACAGTCGCATCGGTGCCTCCGCCACCGTCGCTAACTAGAACTTTATAGTAGTTCTGTTTTTTTTTTGATAGATGGCACTTTTACTAGTTTAACCAAAATATGATTACAGAGTGAATACTCGTTTCGGGCTAAAGTATCATTTTGGGAAGATTTAGTTTGGTTTTATGGGTAGGGTATGATGCAGTGCTTATTTACATGTATGGTGTGCACGACATTGAGGACATATAGCCCGAAAGAGTAACTTACGGTGCAGGGCTATTCTCGAGTCTCCACTCATTTTATGTCTCCACGGTCTCCATCGTGGAGACATACAACACCAGTAGGGGTACTGCAGATAAATAAGATCGTCGTAAGATCATCCATAAGGTGGCGGGCAAAAATTGGATACTAACGGTCTAAAATAGAACAGAGTGGAGGAGTTTGAAGGAGGCCTACACCATATTGGTTGAATAAAGCTCATGATGATGATAATGATGATACTAAAATGGAAATCAAAACACAAAAATTCTTGATTGTGAATGCAAAATTGATCAAATATAATGGTCAAAATATAAATGTTATTTAAAATTTTATTTCAGATAAATTCAATTGTATGGTAACAATAAGTAATTAAAATTAAAAATATGCATTACGATTAAAACCATTTTACAGTTTAAGTTTAAAATTTCACAATCAAACTATCCTCTATAAGGACGGTTTTTAATCATTTGGAAATACAAATTGCGTGAAATGGATTTGTTAACAAACGTCACTGTGCCAATGTTATATGCTAGTGGTGTATGTGTGCTGTAGGGTCGCATGGAGATAGACAACGCGCGCGGCTCCCTCGAGATAGTGTGCACGGGCCGGGAGGGCGGCGGCAAGCGGCACGCGGCCACCACCTCCTCGCTGTCGGGCGGCGAGCGGTCGTACTCGACGGTCGCGTTCATCATGGCGCTGTGGGAGTGCGTCGAGCTGCCGTTCTACTTCATGGACGAGTTCGACGTGTTTATGGTAACATATTTGTTTCATTTTACTGACCGTTCCTAGATTTTTTTTTGACTCGGAACGCTAATAGGCATAATGACTGCGTAAAGAAAACAAAATTCTATTTAGTTAGTCAGATAATTCAAAATATATTAGATACGTATTTTTTTTGCTTCAATTTAACAAGATAGCTGAGAAACAGCAACACCCATGCGGTAAGGAGCGGTGGCTTGCTACGTCACAACTATGTAGAAAATTTGCAAAGGTGTGACGTCATGCGACATTTCAACGTGATGTATCGCTGTAATTTATTGATTTCGCAGAAAATTAAGTAAAGTGACAATATTTTGAATATCACATTCTTGGTATATTTTTACATTGTAGTTTACTACAAGCCTATATAGCCAGGATTACGATAATTTTGATAGCTGAAGAAATCACCTTGTAGTTTGAATCCCCCGCTTTCGCGCGACAAGAGCGCTCACGTGCCGCAACGCCTGCACTTCTGCCCGAATTCAATCGTTATTATATGTAGTTATAGAGTTTTTTCTACGGAGCCCTAGGGTTCCGCGGACGACCTTTCGGGAATCACTGTCTAGTTGACGTGTATATCTTTTGGTCTAAGTATGAATTTTTATACAATAGTCCCATTTGGATTGGTTATATCCTAATTCGGTAGTTGGTCCCGCGAAGTCCGTGAAGCAGTAGCATTGTTTTATAAAAATATCCTATTAATATTATAAAGGCGAAAGTTTGTAAGTATGGATGTATGGATGTTTGTTACTCTTTCACGAAAAAACTACTGGACGGATTTGGATAAAACTTTACAGCAATATAGGTTATACATCAGAATAACACATAGGGTACTTTTTACTGGGAAAACTTCTCACTCCCACGGGATACCGACTTCCACGCGGACGAAGTCGCGGGCGTCCACTAGTATTGTAATAAAACATTGAATGAAGATGCTGATACGTCCGTTTCGCGATGTCATCATCCCTGAGATCCCAGATTTTCTATTACAGCGTGGCTACGGTAAATCCGTTGTCTTCTTATTATGAGGCGCTTCTTCCTTAACTCTCCAAAACCTATGAGACGTTTAATATAATATTAAGCTCGTGTTACGTCTAAATACTCCATTTTTATGGATTATTTTGTTACAGGATAACGTGAACCGTAAGATTGTGATGGAGTTGCTGATTGATCATGCACTGAAGAACACCAACAGACAGTTCGTGTTTCTCACACCGCAGGACGCCTCCGCAGTCACCGCCGGCCCTCAGATCAGCATACATTTGTGAGAATTATATTATATGAATTTTTATATATCTACACGTGTTCCTTAGTACATGGCACCACGTTTTTGGGTTTCGAAACCACCACAGTTGGGAGTTCTTTTTATGTAATAAATGGTTAATGTTAACAACCTGTGTCCCAAACGTTTACTACCGGGGCAGAAAGTTGATATTGCGCACACACACGCCCCTATTTTTGCAACGTAAGCTTTTTAACTGTTGTAATTATATTAACATTATTTTGGCGCCCCCGACACTGGCGTCCGGGGTCCCGTTTGCTCCCCTAGATCCGGCCCTGTATCATTTATCATAAATTTCGTATTTCGTCACTCCTAATAAAATAAGATTTGACAAGTCTAGAATTAAATCACTTATTATCAATGCTATATACCTACTCTTAATTGATTTATGTAAATTGTTTTCTATTTCGTTACAGAATGGCTGATCCACGCCCTTAGTTTACAAGAAACGATATTTTCGAAGAGTTTTGTTACTGTTGATTTTTGTCAAAGCCTAAAGTTATTTATGCATTCCGCGTATCGTGGTATTCGAAGTATTAAGTAAGATAATGTTATCTTTGTTATTTTTATTTTTGTAATAAAACACAAAATACAATCAACACCATATTTTATTTAATACTATATCCTTGAAACATTCATACATCGAAAAATATGCACATAAATGATCTATGCATATTTATTGCACTAGGGACGAACATAACTCCGAACAGATTGGTTATGGCTTTCTGTTGAACTGTCTATGAGATCACACACACTCAGTAATGGAAATACAATTCAAAATACCTACTAAATTAAGTTTTTCTTTATATTAGTTCTGAAACAATTGATATAAAATTACTTAAATCTAAAAGCGCACTGTTAAATGAATAAAGTTCTATCAATTCGTTTAATTAAGTTTAACAAATCTAAAGTCTTATTTATAAGGCTAAGCGCCCTAAGATATAAGCGTAATCGTTTGCCTTAATTCTAAAATGAATTCACTAAAATGCGCCTTGTATAGGCTACGCTCAATGGTTAGCTAATTAATGGAAATTGACTGACTTTTTCTACATTAAATTAATTTTATCGAGTTAATAAGATTGCAGCTGATTCGCATTCTGGCAGTCTTTGAACGAAAAGTGCGTTTCGGATAAAGCGAGAAGTACATAGCAACAGACATAAACAGTGATGCGTGAATTTGGATGAATTAATGGTTGGAGATATATGATCGAAATTTGGTATTGACATTATAATTTTTTTTTCAGCTACAATAATTGTAGTGACGATTTTTGAATTTTTTTTTATGTTAACAAATAAACTTCATATTTATAAAATCCTTAAGTAGCAAGTCTTAATGCTTGCACTATTTTTCATAAATGTAAAAGTAGCATAGAAAAAGTTACACATTAAAGAAAAATACGTATTATGTATATATTTTTTTTACTCAAATCATACTGAACTTATGTCTTTAACACTATTGTTGAATTATATACATAATATTTTATACTCTGTTGCTTTGCTGCAAGCAAGCAGTATTATGTCATTGTGAGCAATACAGGCATGCATATTACAGATAATAAATAGTTGTATATAAATTTATCTACGGCAACATTTCCCGGTTGCGTTATGTTGTTTTTAGTCTAATTTTATACTAAACAACACCTTTCAATTAAAGGATATGTCTTTGGTTAAAAGGATATTCGGCAAAATTTATTTGAGTTTTGCAATTATATGAAAAATAAATTAAATCCAACACAGATATCAATCAGTCTCGTGAACGCAAGTTGTTCATTTATCAATTAGCACAATGCTATAAATTACCATAACTTTAATTTATATTTACACAAAGATTTTTAAGAAAATTCAAACTAAACCACTACAATGTATTTTTCTAATAAGATAATAAAAATATGTTAGATTAGTGTTAAACTTTGATACTTCGCATACATGTTTCTATTAATTGATTTAAAAAAAAACAAGGCTTTTTTTCCTTACAATCAGATTCTGTTAAAATATTACATTAATAGTATCAGAGAAGCTAAATCATACTAAGAAAATAAGCAAGAGCTTATGGAGTAAAATATGTTGTATATAAAAGATTAACTTATTACATGTTATATTAGATTTACGGTGTTTAATGAAGATACAATTAAATGAAACAATTATACTTGTGCTAAATCAAACAGATTTTATATTACTGATTAAATAAGTAGATACATATTTTGATGTTTCGTGTCTTAACTCATTAAAATATATATATCTATATATAATAGACGATTAGTGATTCTTTAGGTGCGCAATGCATTCATACTTTTATATACAGAAAGCAAATACTATGAGAGTTATAATAACACAAGTTTTAATTTTACACAAATATTCATATAGTATAAACTGAACGCGTTACAGTAAGATACAACTGATGCGGCTAAAAAATTTTCTAAGCGTAGCATATGTTAGCCAATCAGAATGAGTGAAGTGTCAAGCCGTCAGGCAATCCATCAATATCCACACGCCTGTTCCCCTCTAAGTGCGAGTGAGACAGATATCTGATATTAGTATTTTACACCTTAAAGTAACTGAAACAAGGCTCTATACATATACACTTAACCATACGTATGGTCATCGTTGGTGTTACTTTGCGCGACCAAAGTATCACAATGTGCCACATTAGTTGGAGCTTACTGTAAATCTCAATAGGTTTTAATTACTAATAGTATTTTTTACAAAAATGTACAACTTTGAGCTTGGAATGTTTACTCAATTATTATATTTTTGTCTGCTTGGTCAACTCCAGTCACAACTTACTAACAAAAATATTCCTATAGCAATACTAGGAACAATAAATGTGCATATTTGAGGTTTTATATAACTCAAACTGTAATCAATAACAACCTTCAATCTTCAGTCTTAGAAACTGCATAACTAAAAAGTAAGGCTCAAATTATAAAGTTCATGCTGTGGTATTTTGTGGAATTTGAAATTTATGGGGTTTTTATACAATACAATGAACTTGAGGTTAAAATTTATTCAATTTCTATTATGTTTATGACAAAGAAACTTCATAGTACATCATCGAGTCAACCATGTAATATTCTCTTAAATATAATCAGGTTAAAATTCCTTACGGCAAGGAAAATCGATACCAGTCAGAATTTTATGAATTTTTACAACTAAACCTTTTTAGGTTAGATTTTTTTTTTTAATTCATATATCAGTGTCTCAATATTATTTTACCGCGACTATATTTATGTTAAAAATATATAAATTATTTTAATGACGATCTAAACCTAATCCGAATCAAGAGAATGTTTTAAATCGAAATAATAAAATTACCATAAATCAAGAATAAAAATGTAATTTCATCAAGTTTCTCCAGCTTGTGCCATTAAATTAGTATAATTAGTTTGCATGCAACATAAACAGCTGTTAGCCCAAATTTAGTGTGTCAAAAGCTGCTAGTTAATTTAAAATCAGTTTTAATGAATATGTTATACACTCAATTAGTAACAATTAGGACAGCTGGAATAATACGAGAATCTCGAAATACGAGATAAAACGTGTAAATATGTCGAATCAGCTCCGATTTATGGAGAAGCCAAAAGTTGCTATTTTTTTTATGAAATTAGATTTATTTTTTTCTTTAATATGGACTTGTTCCGTTATACACAGAAATTTTGCCAACATCCCGTTCGACATCAAATTCATATGACATTCAAGTGTTGACCCAAGACAATCGCGTTCCATTTTGCATCCTTAGCACGAAAATTATGGGTAGTGAATTGAATTCATATAGAGTACATATAAAATCTTTGTATTAACATTTGCATAGCACCACTTATCTCCTTATATGAAACTAAGATTTCCAAAACAAAAAATCTGTCATTTGTGCTTGATACGAATTCTTTTAGTAATCGAAGATTTTCGTGCTAAGTATACTTACTGTTCTCAGGCCTAGTTTTCAGTTCCCTAAACATAAATTCATTTAAACCTGAATATGATCTACTTAAGTAATCGAGCCTTACTTTTTATTATCTGAATCCAATCAAACTGCATAATCAATAAAATTATGCAAAACAACGACCAATTAAGTCGATTTTAACGTCACTACTTATTTTAGTATTATACCCTGAACCGAACATCACTATGGGCTGAGCCATTAATTTCTGTTGTATCTGTGTATGAAAATAGTTTGGATACCCGGCCTCGGGGTGTAGCGGTCAGATGTAACGCCAGAATCGAGACCATCGACAAAAATGAGGTATATCACTTACAGAACAGAGGTGTACTTCGACACATCTGATCATTCTATTTCGGTGGTGTATTCTATGTCGGCGTGCCTGGTGGATGGTGTTTTGGTAGCAGGGGTTTTAGGGCTCTTTTGTCCGGACTGAGGCGGCGTCGGCGGGTACACGTGATGCGGCTCTTGAGACGTGCCTGCACTCTCACTCTGCGATGTGGACTGTTCTTCCAACATGAGCTGGTATACTTTATCCTGTTGACATTAAAACTTTTATTAACGATATGCAATGGACGGTTTGTAGTAGCGCAAGTAGCTCGGTGGAGTAGTGGATAAGCGCCGCGGCCCGCGATCGTAGTCGTATAGCAACTTTCGCAAGGGTCAGTCACGGGATGGGTGACCAAAAAATTATTATCTCGAGCTACTCCGTGCTTCGGAAGGCACGTTAAGCCGTTGGTCCCGGCTGCATTTGCAGTCGTCAATACCCTCCAATCCGCATTGGGCCAGCGTGGAGGGTCATGGCCTATCCACCTTAACCATCAATAAGGAAGGCCTGAGCCCCTGCAGTGGGGACGTAAAAGGGCTGGTGGTGGTGATGTGGTGAAGTTGTTATTGAATGTATTATGTAGAGTTCAGTTCTACATTAGTACTCAAACTAGGAAATACTGAATCAATTTTAAAAAATTCTTTCACCAATGTAAAGATACATGATCAGTTTATAACAGCCTGTATTTTATAAAAAAAAACAGCGGACAGTTAGTCGTGTTAGTTATTATAAAATGAAATATTGGAAAGCAGCTTCATGGTGCAGTAGTTAGCGTTGCAGCCTATAATACTTCGGTTAATAAGCAATGTTTACGAGCGCCGGTATAAAGGAGTGATTAAAAATGTATTATCTAGTAGCTCTCCTATGGGCTTCGGAAGGCAAGTTAAACCGTTGCCAACAGCTGCACCACCAATCCGCAATGGGTTTCGCGTGTAGTCATGGCTATTCTGGTTTGAGTAGATAACACTCTACTCATGCACTCATGTCAACAATGTTCTTGTATATGGTGTACCATCTATATATATAAGTCCCCCTTATTTGTCCCATACATTCCACATATTTTTATATGGCAGGCACAATTCAAAAATATTTCTTTGACTAATTTTCACAATTTTTTCTTTCTGTTAACAGCAAAGACATTAATGATCATTCAGCCTTATTTGTTATTTATCTATTCTACTCTCTCTTTTATTATAATTTTATTATTCCATTGTTATTTTTATATTTCCTTGCATTTATTATGTAGTATATTTAATATTATTTTTTATTATTTTAATGTGCTATCAGGAAACCAGCGCGATTGCAATATCATAATTGTTGCAAAAAAAAAAAAATACTGAGACACGAGTTGGCCTCGTGGTGTACACAAGGAGTGAATTGTGACTTGTATCCTTTTTTGTTCTCTCTTTTCTTTTCATTCACAGATTTTTGTGTACCGATTGTAGTGAGTCAATAAAAATGTTTTTTTCTTCCTATACGATACCCTTAATAGCATAGTGAAATTTCAACTCACATACATGTCCAGGAAACGTTGGGCAACTGTATGCGGTAACTCTCGTCCAGGTTTCTCTCTCTCTATTCAATATCATTAATAGTATGTTGAAAATTCAACTCACAAACATGTCCAGGGAGACATTGGGCAACTGTATGCGGTAGCTCTCGTCCAGGTTTCTTTCTCCCTATTTGATACTTTTAATAGTACGTTGAAAATTCAACTCACAAACAGCGAGACGTTGTGCGACTGTAAGCTGTGGTTCTCGTCCAGGTTTCTCTTTCCTTATAAGATATCATAAATAATAAAGTGAAAATTAAACTCACAAACATGTCCAGCGAGACGTTGTGCGACTGTATGCGGTGGCTCTCGTCCAGGTTGAGGTCGGGGCATATGAGGTGGAGGCCGGCGGCGTGCTGCACGAACTCGCCGTCGCCGCCGCGGACCACGCTCACGCCCCCCTCCGCCACCACCACGCGCACGAACGGGGCCAGCCACGAGTGGCACTCCGCGATACTGTCCCAGCTGTAACCTGTTCACGGGGGACCATTCGTTACAATGGGGATGGTGGCTGATCTTTGTTCGTCCGTCAGGTAGATTTTTTTTTTGCGTAAGCAATAAATTACTGTGATATATATTAAGTTGAAATGTCGCACGACTCTTCAACTTTAATGCTTATTATCCAAGCCTTTTTTTTATTTGAAGCAAAAAAATACGTATCTAATATTTTTCTATTATCTAACTGAGGGACTAAATAGTTTTTTTTAAGTCATCGATTCTACTAAATTTTCAAATTAAAACAGTAAAAAAACAGTACATGTTGTAAATAAAATATACGATTGTACACAACACTAAATGAATAGTTCGAAGGCGTAGTGTGTTAGTGTACCGCCCGCGATCGTGGTGATAAGCAACTTTCGCACGGGATGGGTGGCCAAAAATTATTATCTCGAGCTATTACCTACTTCGGAAGGTACTTTAAGCCGTCGGTCGTTATCGCTAGAGATTTTGAAATATAAATTTATTTTTAGATTTTAAGTTATCATATGATTTTTTTTTTGTAAAAGTTATGTATATCTATAAAATAAAATTATTTTTATATAGTGTATTTTAATATTTTGATTGCGCCATATATTAAAGGGCACTGAAAGGGGCAAACAAGAATTTGTTAAACTATCTTGATTTTTTTTTTATAGGAGAAAATTGGTAAATACGAGTATATATCGGAATGTTTACAATAATCGTAAATATTTGCAAATAATTAATTGATAATAGTTTTTGATACACTATACGCCATTCCCTGTAGGGGCAACGAGTTAACACCGCGAGTAACTCGATATAAAACCGTGACAAAATTTAATTAATTACCTGACACTCTGATAGCTAATTCCTTAGAGAAAGAATGAGCTATCGCTGCGGCGGCGACTACGCTGTACGAGAATGTGTTGACGTCCACGTGGAGAACAGCCAAGTCGATCAGCTGGCCGCACACCACAAATTCCAACGAAGAGTACTGGGGGAACACGAAAGTGTACCCCCTCAGTGCATTAGCACCGACATCGCTCTCGCCGACCAGCCTACGTTTCGCGCTGCGCCCTTCACTAGCGAGTTGCATATAAATATTCAGCCAGCTGTTGATCGTGATCGGAGTTAGGCTCCACGATAAAATCTTCAAGATGAGCAACTCCTGTTCTAGTATTTCTTCACTGGTGCACGCACCGTCCGTCACGTATGCGAACTCCCCTATTTTCGGAGGGTACACCTCTTCTACTTTAGCAGCTATAAATAGGCAAGTAATACCTGAAAAGATTTCGATATTTTAAAAAACAATCCTCTTTTTTAGACTTAAAAATCGAAAAGTACGTTATTCTTTGTTTGAAGAGTATTCATTCTATTAATTTACGATTTGTAGATTTTTCAAAATTCTTTTATTTTTATTTGAAACCATATAGCACCGAGGTGTTCCCATACAAATCCATTATTTTATAGAAATGGAAGCATTCTGCCTAACAACAAAAAAAATCGCGTATTTTGCTTTCTTATGATTTTTCTAATGCACAAACGCCAAAATATTAAATTCTTATCACCAAAAATATATTTTTTAAAATAAATAATTTCAATTAATCAAATGATGCATACTGGGAATTAACTGTGTTGAAATCATTGATATCGTGGTGCGTAAACCGTGTTATCGATTGAATGGGCACTCATTGCAAACTTGATAAAGTTTTGCATACAAGTGATAAGTCGACGTAACAGTAGAAATATTACTTAATTTAATTATAATCCAATTAATACATCATAAGATTTAACGAATAAAATTAATATGTATGATAAATAAATTGTATGAAGCATATAATTATATCCAGAAGAAGCATATATAGATAAGGATATATGGATAAGATAGTGATGGGACGGAACTTGTCTCTATTCCATTTTATTTGATAAGGTACCATTAAAAAGCCATCCACGAGTTATCGCATAAATATAGTCTAAACACCTAACTACAGAGAAGAGATGTGCAACCCTGACAGCTGACTGACTAACATGTCATATGTAATTTAAACTCACCAATAAGCTGCAGCCGACTTTTCTGCAAATCTTCTGTGTCCGTCAAGTACCGGTCTATATAATCGACTGTTAAGTGAAATGTTTCTCTATGCAGTTTGTACACCTCGCATACCTGAGAACAATAAATTAATAACACTAAACCAGAGCTTCACAACCTGTGGTTCGCGTATCAGCGACCGCAGTATTATTGACACGACGAATGTGCGACAGCATAATCATTAGTTCATTTTATTTCAGAAGGTAACAATATTATAGAAATGGGTACTAAAAAACTTTTTATTAAGGCATTCATATGAATACATACTAAGCTTTTTTTTTATCAAAGGGATCTCTTGTACTTGATTTCCTAGGACAGAGGTCGGCAACCCGCGGCTCTTTCGTACCTAAGAACTCTCTACCCTTACGAGTATTATAGGTAGAGAGATTGAGTTTACTGACTAAAGACCGGTTTCTGAATCGAGAAGAGTACCATAACTAATTATTCTTAATAACTTAAGCTTTTTACGTTTCACATGGCAAAAAGTCCTAGTTTTATCAAACTGCTATCAACTGATCATTAAGAAAAGCCGTTTAAGACCGGTTTGAGTTGTGCTTAACTTTAAATTCTCAATTCAGAAACCGGGTGTATGACTTAGAGATAAATATTCAAATTGAAATATCCTATAATAATACAAATGAAACCTTAGTAGTTTTATAAAAAACTGTGACATTTTTAAAATCAATTATTATGAAAAATCGTAGATCCTGCTGTTGCAAGCATATTCCAACTTAGAGTATAATTTATTGGCCAATGAATTAATGGAATGTTTATTTGGTAAACTGCGATTTTGTTTTGTGGCAAATGTTATTTAAATATTCTGGTACTGATATACCTTCATGTATAAATGATACTTCATAAACTCCTTGATAACCCGGTAGATTTAACATAGAGACGGAAGGATGCAAGCCCTTTATAGGTACAGTTTATTTTATAATGAGACTGTTTCAGCACAAAAGCACATGTTTTATAAATATGGTAGCTTATTAGCAGGCTACAGAGATTATTGCGATATTTTGAAAATCGCAAACAAAAATGGTTAAATTCATAACAAAATTAGGTATCTGTCGTACCCGTCTTAGTGGCGGACTAAGGGGTTGCGGGGTGCAGGGGCGCGGAGGGGGTCAAATGGCTGCAGCTATGCGCCAAAATCATAATAATTTTAAAAATGATGCTGATTCTGCCACGGTTGGAAAAAGTTGTCGATTCGGGTCTATTGCCGCCCCGGGCCTCCGATGAGGTTAGTCCTTCCGTATTCGAAGCGTTTACTAAGTAGCTTTTATCTACGGTTTTGTTTTATTCTATAAATAAAATAATTTATCTTTACGCAATATGTATATTAATAGGAACTATGAAAACAATGAATGTAATTAAGTTAGTTACATCCTATATTTCATTCGGTTTTCTTTCTGACAAAAAGAGTGAACACAATGAAAACATTTTACATAATATATTAGATAACCTCTACGGCGTAGTGGTTGGCGTGCTCGGTTTTGCGATACGGTTGTTAAGCAACTTTTGTAATGGCCTCTCATAAGATGGGTGACCAAAAATTTCGAGCTCCTTTGTGTTTCGGAAGGCACGTTAAGACATCGGTCCCGACTGCATCCACCAATTCGCACTAAGCCCACGTGGTGGGTCATGGCCCATTCTCCCTATTACATACGAGACAACATGGCACACATTCCTCAGACCAAATGTACCAAATAGGGTTTTAGCACCAACATGTGATGAGATTAAAACAAGATGGTATAATAAAACGGTTGTTGCCTTCCATCGTGATAACGTTAAGCCACAAATTATTTTAGCCACTCGGTAAAATATTAAGTTTAGCTGGGAGGTGTTAATGCATCTGCCATATAGCTCCGGCCTACCACCGTAAGAACTCAATTTGTACCGGTCTTTTCACAATAGTTTCGGTAATGTCAAGTTAACATTACGAGAGGATGGATGTGTTGGGGAAAACTACTAAGGGATTTTTTTTTAAAGTCAAATTTCTTCAACTACATTTGAAATCAATTGAAAGAATAAAAACCCCGCGCGCTGGAGCTACGCGCAAACATTAAGCATAGACTTGTAAGTTTTCCTCTTAAAAGAGGCTGTGATGTTAAAAATTCATGTATATACGAAGGTCTAACTAAAAGTTCTTATAAATTTACAAAACGGAGAAAAGCAGTAAATCATTAGTTTAATTATATCTTTTCAAAATAACGTCCAATTAACGACTCCTCTAAAGCAGTCGCCCGGATTGTGAAAGTTCAGGCCGAGGCCCATCTCAGTGTGCCAAGGACAAAGTGGATCTTTAAGCATTTTTCATCAAGAATATTGTTCAGTATAGCAATTGAATCCAAAATTGATCAAATATGTCCAATTACATAAATACAACGCTGCATTGGATGGAGCCACTGCTTTTCGGCACCGTATTCCTCGAAGATTTTCTTTTATATTCGGGAATAAATAAAAATCGTAATCGGGGCTATACAAATGTGTACTCCTCAATAGAGGTCTAGACAACTTTTTGAATATTTTTATTTTAGAGATATACATGAAATATATCTAAAAATAATATCATTCATATAATAAATAAAAATCTAAAAATAAATTTAATTTAAAAAATTTCACGCGAAACGCCTTTTCTGTCATGGTGTCACGACACTCTGCAACGAACATCGTTCTATGTATGCATAGTGATGAACTCTCCAAGTTCTGATATGAGTAAGAAAGTCGTGACGTCACGCGCTGTTTGCGGTCACGTGACAAAGCATAAAATATTTGCTTTTCAAAATTAGTTTAAGCAATATTGTAATAAGCATGAAAGTGTGATTATCTGACATAGTATATTAAAACTACCAGAAAAAAATATATGTAAATCTATTAGTTTACTGTCTACACCCGTATTCAATAGGAGGTAGAGTAAAGTATCTGGGCAAAACTTCATAAAATCGGGATTGCTCGGGAGAAAAACCGATATTCCTCCTTCGCCTTGGAAAAATATTGATAATGGAATTATTTCTAGATCATTTCTGTCCATACCGAGCGAATAATTGATCGATTTAGACATTTACTTCTTTTGGGACTCTAAACGTCCTCCGAAAATTCGTGACAATTCAGACCAATCCCAATAATCTGGCAACCCTAAGTAAGCCTCAAGTTTTAGAGACAATCAGCTGTTACAGACAGACAAACGATCCTATGACGGTCCCGCTCTTCCTTTTATGGTAGGAACCCTAAAAATAAATCCCGGGATTTCAAACAAGAAAATCAAGACACTTCCCTATTTTAGTTGAATACCAAACGAGCGAAGCAGCTCACAAAAGTCAGTGTCATAAAAACAAACTAGCCGAGATTGAAAGTTAGAAAACAATTAACATTTTTGGTTGTAAACATAATTAACATATCCCATATGACGATTGTGGAGAACACACATAACCTTTTATCTCATATCTAATTTCGCAATATAAGATGGACATAATTGGGTCAGCATTTTAAAAGTGGCAACGTAAACTTGACAGATCTGATTATTGTCTCATTTTTTTTTTTATAGAACTTCTAAATTTATGTATATATTTTTAGAGTGTGTATGATCGTACCGGCAGTTGCTATTATCAGATTTAGCCTCGTTAAATGAAGTTCTACATTTCATCCAACTAAAAGAATAATGAATGATATAAAATTTTATTTTCTTGAGAAATTTTTAGGCGTAATGGATACAAATTATTAAAAAACCGGCCACGGTCGAGTCGGACAGCCGCACGAAGGGTTCCGTACATCCACTAAAATAATTAAAAAGAAATTACCTTTGTTGTTTTCTATGGAGTTTGTATTATCGATTTAAATAAAATTGGTTGAGTATCACTCGTAAACTTGTAAAACCAACTTAAGTGTGATATTTTCCTTTTAACTTCGTTGTTATATAGGTAAAGTTTGAATTTTTACCAACAACCATTTTGTTGGTGGGAGGGGGACACCTGACTTACTGAAATTAGCTCTATGAAAAGCTTCATAGAGTCATAAACGGTTTACTAAATCGAAAAACGAGAAAGACACATATCCAACGATGCATACTATGGAGAAAACCAAATAAATATCATCCCCACTTTACATGTAGGGGAGGTACCATATTTTTTTGCGAAAAATGACTACCACTTTGTCGGCGTCATTAACGTGTATACTCATGACAAATTAAAACTTTCTAGTACCAATAGTTTTTGAGCTTAACCGGGGACGGACGGATATGGCGAAACAATTAGGGTGCCTTGTTTACTACGGAACTGTAAAAATAAAATAAAAATTGACGAGTTACGTCTTATTTTTGCAAAAACACGACCGTAATACTAATACTTAATTACTTGTGAAAATGCAATACATACTTAAGCAAGTATCTGAAACCAATTAATAGACGAGAATTTTAATGATATAAACCTGTTAATAGCTAATAGTACGGGTATTCTTACCATTAACAGTCCTTACTTCATTCAAATTCTTGTTAATTGTTTAAAATATTAGCTTAAGTAATTACTTTTACTCTACTATACATACGGGTGTATTGCTTCTACACAAAAATTACGTAATTAATATTTTACAATTAGTTTTTTCTTTAATTTATAGATAACTAACTAGCTTTCCGCCAGCGGCTTTGTCCGCGTAATCCTGTATTACACATGTACATAATCTTCATATTGATGAAAACAGCGAGGGCACAGACAGCGGAAGCTACTTTGTTTCATACTATGTATGGTATCTACGTATAGACGGTACGGAATCCTAATGAAAGCTCCTCCTCTACCTACGTAGTTTTTCTATTTATTCTATTCACTTCTATTTCTTTAGTTTTTGGAGTAAAAATTATAAAATTACAATACATATTATAGCGACGTTCTAGCCATGAAAAACGATTCAATACCAGACAAAAGGCAACCGCGATAAATTTGAATATTCAAAATAATGTTTACTTTTCTATTTCTTATATCACTTGTTGCCGGTGAGAACGCAAGCATACATAGTCGGCTAATCTAATTTGTCTTTACGTCTAATGATAGGTAAATTAAATTTCTTTTACCTTTTGATTAAAACCCATAAAAACCTATGGGGATCGGTAAAAATCTACAATTATGTCATTTAACAATGTTTTGCTTAGATTATACAATAAATTACAAGGCTTAAACAATATAGAGCTACAGCTGGTCCTTTTTATTTAGTCCTTTACATTCTTTTTATTTAGCAAATCATAAAAAGTTGATGAATAGACAAATAATTTACCTAGTCATTTGATCTCGTATTACAATACGAGGTTCGAGAATATAAGCTACATACCGCGAACAAGCTGAAAACTTATTTGCGTAAGGAGGAAACAAAAACTGTTATATTTAAAAAGAAAATAATGAAAAAAAAAACAAGGAGAATTGACAAAAAATAATGATGCGATTTAATATTCCATGCACATTACACGACTAGTAGTCTAACGGCTACTGAGCCTGCAAAGAATCCGAAGCATCAAAAAACGCAATAGAATATATAAACTACACGCAGAAAATTCTTTATACACGTTTAAAAAAGTTTTAATAAAAGTAAAAATTGTTAGACGGTGCAAAAGTACTTTGAGTAAGTTTAAATTTGAATAGATATTATGAGCCGTTTTCCCGCGACTTTGCCTCCTTAAATTTTAGCCTATATCAACCGTAGGTGAAATAATTGTTTAAATCGGTCCAGCAGTTTCGAAGCGAAATTAAATCTTTCTTCTTTAGAATATTAGTACACAAAAGGATATTAACCCAGTGTGAGTAAATTGTGTAAATACGACCTAAAGATGTACAATGTGCATAAATATATAATATTGGGAGTCTGATCGAGAGCCAACTGAATAGTTATCTGAATGTATTCAAATCGATAAAGCACTGAGGCCCGTACGGGGCGCATACTAAGAAACACGGAGACGTGAATAAAAAACGTCAGCAGCACTAATGATATCCTAAAAATAACGGTCACTGTAGTTTCAGGTTCACTAAAGATGACGTAAAAATTGTTACAAGCAACTACCTAACTAAACTTGTTTTTAAATAACGAAATCTGATAAGGAATAGATAGTGCTGTGTGGACAAGTTTCAATAATGGGAATATTAGTTAAACCATTAACTTTCCATTACATTATTGAGTAATTATTCATAAAATCTATAATTATACTAATAATTAATATTAATAAAATCGGAATTACTAATATGAATGCTATTTTGTAAAGTGAAAGTCAAGGCATAGTCGCCAGTTTAACTAATGACGCCATGTTTTAAAATTAACTTCTAATTAATTAATGAGAATGTCATTAGGTGTAGAACAAACAACAACAATTACATTTGCCAAACATAAGGATTAAATGTAAAAAGAAGGTAGTGAATTTGCAGCTTAATCAAACGCGTTGGCTTTGGTGGGGGTCATTGAACACAGTAAAAAAGAGGTCAATAACCTTCTATTACATCACTTAACAATATGTAATAATCACTGCAGGATAAAAAGGTCTAGATATGTAGTATTTCAATTAATTACTTACTTTCAGCTCAAACAAACTTACCTCAGTTTCTAAGGAGCAGCATGTAAAGTAATAGAATACCATTAGTTTAGATATAATTTATGAAAAAATCGTCAAACCAATAGATTAAATAAGTTTAAGTTTAATTACTACTATTTCTTTAATAACAGAATAAAATAATTTTTACTAATGACAAACTTACCTCATTTAGCCAATCTAAAAGGATTGCTCTCATTCGGGGTTGAAGATTGGGGTGTTTATCAAACATATTAGGGTTCTTCTTAGCCTTCGACTTGGCATCACAATCACACAGGCTTTTCCAAACATCTGAAGGATCAGCCCATGATAGTCCTGGGAGAGGACATTTACGTTTTGGTGGTAGAGGGCATTCTGGTTTATTTGTACTGGAATAAAGTTATTGTTATAAATAAACATTCAAAAGGCAGGGTGATTAATGTTAATAACAAATGACAAGCAATGTTTATTATTAATTACGTAATGCACCAAATACTTATAGTTATTAACTTATTAGAATTACATTATCTTTTAGCTAATTAAGAAATGTATAGGCCCATTGTTCAATAAAAATAATAATGATTTTATATGGCGTAGTCATATAGTATGGAATGTTAATGTATGCATATTATGATAATATAGACAATTTACCTAGGCCTCTTGTTGGAGTGTGGGGTAGACTCTCCTCTGGCCACATTTTCTAAGGGACTCAATACACAACTAGATAATTCAGTTATGCTTTGTGGACTTAAGAAACTGTCAGCATTATATTCCAAGTCTGTGTATACACTCTGAGGTTGTTCAATGTTTTCATACTGAGAGCCTTCATCATCACTAGAGCAAGACGAGGATTCTACTACAACATTGTGTGCTGGTTGGTCATAGAGTTCTTCTTCTAATGTAGATGGTATTTTATGTGGTGGCACATTCTCTACCTAGAAATGAGGAAAGTAAGTAAATAATGTTCATTTAACTCCTCACAAGAATTAATGGATTAAAGGATACCAACCTCATCATCACAAGAGGTCCTCTTCCGTTTTAGGTTCATACGTCTTTCATTGTCTTCACTGGAAGAGGAGTAAGATATAACTAATATGATAACTATGTAAACAAAATTGATCAAGGTCGTAATGTTAGTGTGAGTAGAATCAGCTGGTTACATACCCAGTTTGTGCCATTGTAGGTGGGACAAATTTGCTGGCCCCTTATCTCCAGTGCCTAAAAAAACGACGCATAATAAGTAGACATTACAATTTTCATAATTAACATTATAGTTTTTGGTAATAATGTCCTAAAATTACCGCATGTCATGTTCGTATTGCAATTAGGGTTATGTCACTTGACAACCGTATTTGAAGTACATTTATCAAAATCATCATTATATTAAATTTTCTATTCTATATAGGGGCTGTGTACGAGCAACTTTCGTAGTATTATAATCTAATAAACATATAAATACAGCTACAGAAAAAGAAAGAACACGAAGCGTGCCCCCTGCTGCTTGGCGGGAGATTTTTTTTGTAGAGCTCTTTCAGTAGCCACAAAATGCCATAATCCGTTCAAAAATATTTTTAATAATCAATTCAATAATCTAAGAAACATTAACTACTAAATAAATGAACTATTAACGTTAGTCAGCTGTCTAAAAAATGCCACGAATCCGTCACAATCGCGCGCGAAATACTCCGTCAGCGCCATTAGACACGTCGATAGCTTGGGTTTCTCAGCCCATCCACTTTTGGATATTGTTATAAATAGCATTAAGATGATACGCTATCTTCAAAATTATTAAGAACATTCGAAATAGTACAACTCTTTTCGAAAAAAAGGCACCATAAGAGATACAACGGTTGATACTATAATTGGCTTCCCTTATCGTCCCCCTAAGCTTTATAACCTATTTTTTTGTGTAGTATATTTTTTTTTGCACATTATTACAACACAACGTAAACTTCATTTACTGAAGACTAAAACTGTAAAACTTAATCATACCTGGTCATTCAATATTCAGTTCCAAATCCAAAAGCAAAAATTTCATATGCACTAGATACGGCAGCTGATGTTTCAATATAACTATCACGATATTTATTGCCTTTCAGACACTCGTGGTATTAATTATACATGTAATCAATAAAAATATTACACAAAATGTATTTTTTTCAATTTGCACATTTCTTTTGGCTTTTCACGGCTCGATAACGCCCGGCTTTCCGCGCGAAAATGTCGCGGTAAAACTTCGGTACCTCTACAAGTGGACTAACGACTAACTTCACTGTTATTTTCTAATGAACCTAATGTCATCTGCCAACATTGTCCGATTTACGCAGAATCAAAATCGATATGAAATATTATACCCAAGAATAGTATTATTAATATATATTTGTAAATTATGCATTCAATATAAAATAGCTACCGAAATAAATATTTCTCTAAATAAATATTGTTATTAGTAAAATTTGATCTCACGTAAGGAGATTGATAGATATCTTGCATTATAATAAAATATTATATATTTTGTATGTTTAATGATCATGTATTTAAGAATACTAAGTTGTTTCTGAAAAATTATTTACCAATTCTTGAAAATGGTTTCGTAAAATGAAACTTTTACTCGAGGTAATGCTTACTTGTGATTGGTTGGCTGCAAATGATGCGCCATATTTTGAATCTCTAATGTCGAAATGTAGCGCAGCTAACTTCATTTTGCTTTACAGCTGGGCGCCAGCTGATAGTAAATCAGCGGAAAAGTCAATAATAAACGTACTGCTGCGCCTGTGCTTTTAATAAAACGATAACGTGAATGCAGCGAATATTATCTTTTAGCACTTTAACTACAATTGTATTCCTTCTAATAAAAAGAAATGGCAGTACATAATATAGCTGTTAAATTATGTGGAATATTACAAGCACAAACAGAAGAAGGTAAAACATACTTATTAATCAATATTGTTAGTTGCTATTAAAAATAAAACAAATTCACCATAGTTTGATGTCTTATTTTAGATATAACAGCACGTGAGTGGCGATTAGTAGGACAGGAACAAGATGGATCACAGATGTTAACCTGGAAATCTACTCACAAAAATGGCGATGATGTTTTAAATCTTGGAATATATACTAATAAGACTAAGACTTTAACTACCCTTCACACATTCAGTGAGAATTTGAATATAATACAGGCATCTGTTAACAGTACTCACAGTCTTTTGGTATATGTTGTTAAAGAACTTCCAACTGAAGAAAATGATGTCACAGAACCTCTTTATTGTCCTTATTTGATTTGTCTTTTGGAAGAACAAGATAAAACACCTGTAGAAGTGGAAGAGAAATCAAAGAAACAGATAATGGTCCAATATGTTTATGGCAAAAGTAATAAGTACAGCCCTGGTATTAGGAATGATCGTTTCCTGCTCTTCAAACATCTAGAGTGTAAGTATTGTATAGATAGAGATTTTACGATAACAATATTGTGGTCACATTTATCGTTAAAATGAATTAACCCTAGTTGTCTGTACCTTTCATGTCAAAACAACTTGTCCAATTTTGATGAAATTTGATACAGAGACACAGTCAACCTTCAGAAAGAGCATAGGTTTCCTTTTATCACAAATAAAAGGGGTAGAAGTTGTTGAAATATGGGTTGGTCATTGTTAAAGTTATAATAATGAATCTTAATTTTTACTACTGAATAAAAATTAGTGAATTGACTGGTTCAGCATTTGGTGGAAATTTAAAGCTAGTTAAGGAAAGGTAAGGAAGGTCTTAGTTGTGTGGCTATATCTTATATTTAAACAATATTAGTTTCTATCTGTATAATACATTTTTTACTTACTGATTTGAATAAAAGATAAGAAAATATTTAAATTAATAGTTAAACTAATGTAATTTATTGTCAAGGCCACATATGTACACATAATCTACATTAAAGCATGAAATATAAAATCATTTAACAATTGAATTGTAGGTATCAAGATTTACAGAACACCTATGTTCCTGAATGAATGTGATGATGGTTCAGATAAATGGGGTTTTGATGGTATCTACCCAGAACCTGAGACTATTGTCAAAGTCTTTTCATGGGCACAATGGGATTGTGTTAACCAGGTAAAATTTGCTTTGTTAATCTGTTAAGTTCAATAACTAATAAAATTGTGAATATATTATATTTCATACATATTTGATTGCTACAGATATTATACTATATTCATCATCGTCCGCCAACTCAAAGTTTTGCTGAAGGTGAAGAGGTGAAGTCTCCCACAGAAATGACTCCAACTTTATCCGCATTACAGTTCCATGCTGACTTGCCACATGAGACTGTTGTATGTATTATATTAATCAAAATGTAACAAAAGCATAACAAATTTTATAGTTATACAGCCAGTTTCACAAATGTCTATTAAAATTTTCATTAGTTTAAAGCAACATTGACATTCATTAAATCTTAATGGATGTTCTTATATCTGACCATATGTCATAATATTTATTGCTCTGTGTTGGTACATATATTCTTACCTATAAATTATCCTCAACATGTGTTCTGCAAGGACATTGCAACATACATTGCTTCACAAAATTACAATTTATATGTTTCATTTCAATTATAAGTATAAGCATTAAAATTTCAATTACCGCATCCACAATGCTATATTCGTATTTGTCATATAGGAGAGTACTTAATAAATACCCAGTCACACTATCAGGTAAGGGTTTTATTTAAGTATTAAAAAGTTTTTTTTTTATTTTGTTTCATGCAGCTTAACATCCCTTTGAGTTTGCCGCACGTGCCGAGCACAAGCGACGGCGCGGCGTGTGGAGCGTACGAGGACGACCCTGTACCGCTCCGGGTGCATGACTGCAGTATTGACCTGCAGATCCTGTGCGACCAGCGTGGTGTACTTTGTATCTGCCACCACTATCTCTACAAGGTACTTCCTGAAAAAAAATTATCATAGAGTTGTATTAATATTATAAGCCCCTAAGTGAAAGTGTTATTCTTTTCTGAACATCTGAATTAGCAATAGGCGATAATTACTTTTAAAAAAATCGAATTAGTTGATTGTTCAGCTTAGTCGATAAAAGTCGATTACAATCGATGTTATTCGATTGTTGTTAACAATTAAACCTTGCGGCGGCAGCGGGCGGCTATGACACGCTGCGATTATTACTTATTCGATTAATTTCTAGCGCAGTGCCATATTACTATATTACTACTTATGGTGCGGTGCGGTGTGGCGTGCGCTGCGTTCGAATGCAGTTGTTATGTGATTGATGCTAATACGTTATTTAGTTGTCAATCCACGGATTTGAGGGCATATCCATTCGATTGTCGCAATGTAGTTGTTACTTATCTACACTATCGACCGACGAATAATGTTGAATTATCATACAAGCAAACCTTGAAATGAACCATCGCTAACCTACTACATCTTTTTAGTAACTTTTTGTAACAAAGACATCCCTATACGTGTACACTTTCGTCACATCCGCTCTGACAAGTAGCATGGCGTTTTAATAATTTAAAGTTTCCACACTTTTTTTGCACTTTTTAATAATTATTTTCAAGACGATAACGAATTTATATTGAAAAATATTTACATAAACTTTATTTTAAAACAAAAATGGTCGCAATAACCCTTTTTTTAATCAGTCAATCAGAATTCATAATGTTATTGAAAAATCCATATTATAAATTCACTATTTGTTTATATAGAAGTACTATATAATAATACATTATCTGTTTAGTAACTTTTGAATAATATTTCAGCCTCTAGATGATTCTATGACGTCACTGGTACTAGAAGACAGCGCCGACTTAAAGGACTCTGGTGTGAATTTCGCATATTCTATAACTTTGCTGCAGCATGGCTGCGTAGTGCACAGTGTGGTGCCAGATTTGCCGTGGGTTCGCGCCAAGTCTTTAAGACCTTCGTACACTTTGTATGGAGGTAAGTTGCGAAGCATCCCTTGTGGAAATATGAGAGAAATAAAATAAGAGAGTTAGAAGTAGTTGGGATGGAAGAAGAAAAAGTATGAAGAATAAAAGTGAAAGTGGCATGAATGCAGGAACTGGTATGAAAGAGACTAGATTACTACTGAGTGTGCATCGGTAGCATAAAAAAAATTGCGAAGGATTTTCTCTATCCAAAATTAAATATAGCTACTGCACATAGCACCCTATGCTATAATTACATGTTCAATGTAGCTGCGATACTAGATGTCCAAATCTGGGACTTACTAAGACCACTAGTTTCTCTTTGCTGAACTCCTAAACATTTTCTTTTGTCATCTATCTTTCAGTACCTACATATTTACATCTCTTTATATATAACCTGATCCACTTACTTTCACTCTGGTATTATTCATTAATCGGTCTAAATTAAATATATTCTTTTGTAGAATAAACTCCCGTTCGACATTAGGATGTCCATCATCTTTCAAAACAATTTACGCGGTTTTCTTTTGTGAAAGGCAGATTCGTTAAATCGTTAGTCATCTTTAAGGTAAATTCACATCGTCCTCAGTAGTAGGACAGCCCAAGAGGGGATTTCGAGATTCACTAAAGCGCGGCAGATAAATATATAGGGCACCCCTTGTACCCTGTTAAGTACTCTCACAACAGATATATGCCTTATATATATGGTTACCCCAAAGTCGGAATAATCCGTCTCAGTGTAGTTCCAGCCATGATTCCATCTGGTTTGGTCACCATAATGCATATATGGTCACCCCCACCTAAGGATAAAGAATCAGATTAGTAAAAAAAAAATTGATCAACCGAAATTCTTGAGCGTATCAGATTAAGGTAGAGTGAGTAAGTTACATGCTAAAATGTGTGTATTCACAAATCTGACAGGTTCCAGTCTCTCACATTATGTTTAAATTTAAGTATGTATGATTAAAATAATAATTTATAATGTACTATTGTGAAAAGAAAAATAAATGGATGTTATTATTATCAATTTGACAGTGAAGTTACGTAATGAATTGGGTGGGCTACAAAGTTGTAAAAAAGACGTCATCTCAACAATATCGAGATGGCTAATTTTGTTTAGCTCTGAAGGGAATAATTTAAGGATTATGAAAGATATAATCTAACTATTCTCCACAAGCCGAAATAACAAAAAATCATCGACAAAGTCTAATGCGTGCAACCACGTGATGCCTATATTCTCCTCTCCGTTTCTATTCCTCTCTCACTCTGTCGTTCGTCAAAATCGACGGTTTTCACACACCCTCAATGTTTTTGATAGACCTATCTAGCGATGCTCCGCATTTTGGGGAAGACGAAAAAAAATTATCATCTTAAAAATAACTTATATATACCAATCTTGCCTTTTCAATATTTGTCTAGAGTCTAATGCTGTGCGTCTGTAGAATTCTCTTCAAGAGGGTGTCAGGAGGGCTCGATCATTAGGATCCTTTAGCTATGAAGTTAGAAATTATTTTCTTTTCAAATCTTAAAACTATTTTCATATTATCCTTTCACTGTGAAACTATTTCATTCTTATTTATATATTTTTTATTTATATAATATATTAACGCTATTAATATATTTATCCTTCTCAATATTGCACCCACTCCCCATAGTATCTTTATTCGTTATTCAGTTTCAGCATAGGTTGCCTGGAAGAAATTGCTGTTTAGCATTAAGGCCGCCATTTGTTTATTCAGTGTTTTAAATAATAAGCTCCTGTAGACATTGTATCGTATTGAGTGCAATAAAGTATATTTTTATTATTAATTTTCTTAACAGCAAAACTGCAGAACTCAGTCTACTTGACAAGTTATCAATATGAGGATCCCACTGTAGTCGGAAATATAGTGTAATACCAAGGGACTTTGTCGATTCTACCAACTCAACTTTTACACTAACATTTATAAGTGTACTAACATGCCTCACATTAGGCAATTCAAACTTTATGCATTTCGTTTTATTTGAATTGAGCTTTAAATTATTATTATGAAACCACTATACAGCATTGCCGAGAGCATCATTTACATCGTCAAATCAATAATTACCCCTCTTAACTTTAAACACTAAAGAGGTGTCATCTGCAAATAATACTGTCTCGCACAATTCTTCGTAAAGTGAGGAAGATTATTAATGTAAATTAGAAAAAGCAATGGTCCTAATACCAATCCCTGAGGTACGCCCATATTAATGGGTGCCTCTGCAGAAATCGCTTCATTAATTAATACTTTTTGAATTCTAGCAGAAAGATATGATTTTATTAGATTGAGTGAATTTTTCGTTTCATGACGCAGTCGAATGCTTTTAACAGATCGCAAAAAATGCCCATAGCATCTTGTTTATTCTCCCAAGCAATAAGCAAAAGTGCAATTCCAGCGTCTGTGGTACATTTACCTCTGCTCAAACGAAACTGATTTTTGTGAAGTAATTTATTGAACGAAAAGTGTGCAAGCAATTGATTGTAAATAATTTTCTCAAATACTTAGCGTTGGTAGCATATTGGTTTGAAATTACTGAGATCAAACTTGTCGGCTGCCTTAAAAAGTGGGATTATTTTACTAATCTGGCAAAGTTCCTTCATCAATGCACTTATTTTCATTTTTTGGTCATTCTTTTTTGACTGTCTGATAGAAAGATAGATACGAATTCTAAGTCCAATTTTGTACACTTATGCATAAAGTATTTAATAAATAAGAAAAAGGAATTGGTCTCATTAAACTCGACGACATATCAAAAGATTTGGCTGACGGTTTTTGATGTAATTAAAATAGACAGACTGTAAATATTGTTCCAGATAATCATCTCTTAGTCAAAATTCCGATGTTGTTCACACATCTGATCGACATCAGTTTGTACCATGAGCCGTGTTGTCACGTTGTTATACCCCTGGAGGACAACGAGGATGGTCCTAGCCTTGCCCCTCTAGTGGGTTGGGGTCCCCATGTAATGGTGGACTTGAAGACACTGGACGTAGTCACTATGACAGTACAGGACAAGGACTTGGCTGCCACATTTAAGAGTGGCACGGTTGTGGAGAATAAATTGGCAATAATACATTATCTCGTTTTACACGAAAGCAACATGGAATTGGCTGAGGAGGTGAGTACATGATTTTATTAAAATTATGTGTATTCTACCTAGAATTGTTATCGGCGCTGTAAGCTACGAGTGCTGCATCTAGCGAAAGCTGTAAAGGAAATCGAGGAAGGGAATAGGTTTTTTGCGTTCATGTAACCGGCTAACAACTGTCACCGCTGTATTTGAGAAAATGTGTGAAATAATAGCCACCGAAAGACGAAAGACTTTTTAAATGAGGAATTTCGATATTAATATTGTAAATGTTTATTTATAAACAGTTGAAATATTTTGTTTGTTCTGCGAAATATTTTGTTCGTTGCGTTGAACTCGACAATAGGAAAAAGCCAAATATTCCGCCTATTGGTGGAGTGTCATTTCACTCAAACATTTTTCAGTACGTAGTCGTAGTCGATGAACGGGTCAAGATTACGATATTTTATGTACCCGAGAAAATTGACATTTGGGTGTAGACAAAACGTATATAATTCATTACGCGTGTAGAGGTGATTTTGATGTTCTTTATTATTTTCTAAAGCTCAAGAAAACTACAAGTTCTGATTAATATTGACGTTTTTATTTATTGGGCCTGTGAAATTCAAGCCAATGAATAATTAAAGGCATCAATATTGTAGGAGATAATTTAACTCGATCGATTTTGAAGAGTCCAAAAACCAAATTCAAAACTTATAAAACATATTGTAAATGGAAAAGTGTATTTATTAATTGCATCTTTATTAAACGTTACAATCGTCACAAAGGAGGTTTCGGAAGGGCTGGCTAGTGGCATAATGTAAATGTACATACATAAACTTTTGATATATTGGATCAATTTTATATTCACAATGCTATGCTTAAAAATCCACTTTGTCCCTGGTACTCTGAGATGGGTTTCGAATCTGCGACCCGAAAGGCGATTGTAAAAGGTCGTGGGTTTAAATCCCATCACTGAATCATAATTATTATCCTTTTACCACGTGGACGAAATCGTCATTAACAGCTAATAAAATATATCATCATGATCATACCTTTACGTCCCCACTGCTCGGGTCAGGCCTCCTTAACCATCCTTAAGGAATGAAATATATGTATGCTGTAACTGATTATTAACCGACACAACAGAGGGTTACCACAATATGCCAAACTCACATAGTCGGTTTTGAACTCTACGTCTAACGCATTAAAGTTTTAAATCAATCGGAATTTGCCTGTATTGTATAATCTGACGTGTCGTCGTGTACTTGCTTGTGGCAGTTGATCTCGTGGATGTGCGTGAACCAGCGCGACGGTCTGGGCGCGTTCCAGCGAGTGATGCAGGAGTACCTGGTGGGGGCGACGTACGCGCTCACCAGGCGCTCGCTGCCGTCCTCCGCGCTCGCGCTCATGCCGCTGCTGCCGCACACCTTACACGCGAGCTTCGCTGACGTTAAAGTATAAAGGATAGAAGGAGTTTTTTGTTTTGTTTTGTTTAGGTGTAGGTGTAATACCTTCATAAGATTATATTTAGTAATACTTTTTATTAGTGAGTTAATTATACTTATTTTGTTGAAGAGTGAGTATATTTTGTAAGTTTTTTTATAAAAACATATAGAAATGAAAACTATATTTATTGTATGTGTTTTTTGAAATTTACTGATATAAGAGCCATTTGAAATCAAGTAAATTGTAATAGCTGCAGTATTACAAAATTAATCATTAAATACTGATCATTTATAAGTGTTTGATAATCGAGTCAGCTGTCATTTTTCAGGGTTTCGCATATTTTGAGAAATAAGTTAGGTCAGTATGTCGATTTGTGTGTCAGGTGGGCGGCACCGTGGTGTCAGTGAGTCAGGAGCAGCTGTGGGGCGGTGCGGCCGTGGTACTGTCGCCGCGACAGCGCGTGTTGCAGTTCACCGAGGACGTGTGGACGCGCGTGTGGGCCGCGCTGCACGCCCAGCGACCCGACGTGCTCCACCCGCGGCATGTGCTCGACAAACTGCGCGTCAGTCTGCACTGCTACCAGGTACGCACACTCACTATACACACATGCGATAACATGTGCCGCATGCCCCCGAGGACGCGTGGACCTGCGACATGTGCTCGACAAACTGCGCCTACTGCGAGATATTTAATTCCGGATCAGACATAACAACTTACTTTTCTCTCTATGGGTTCCGGGTCACGCTAGGTACGAGGGCAATGAACAAGTGGACAAACTGGCGAAGAAGGGTGCTAAAGACGCCCTTATCGGACCAGAACCGTTCTGTGGCATCCCTTAAAGCCTAACCCAGCTAACCTTGAAAACGTGCTGCCATTATGCAGCTATTCAACTATGGAGAAACACTCCCGGTATGAAACACTCTAAGACCCTGATTAAAGCCTTCAGCAAAACGGCGGCATCAGAACTAGAACTAGAACAGCCTTAAACCTAACCAAAAACAACCTTCGCACACTAGTACGAGCATTCACAGGACACTGGACTGAACCGACACATGTAAACATCGGGATCAGCGTAGTAGTGTGCAGAGGATGCAAGGAGGAGGAAGAAACACCCTTGCACATTTTGACTGATTGCCCGCCGCTAATGCGTCAATATGTCGTAATATCTGTTTGGGGAAGCACATGATGCACCCAGACGATATTAAAGAACTTACGGCCAAGAAAATACTACATTTTCTTGCAGAATGTAATCTTGACCGTGAACTGTAGTATGTGGAGATGACAATAGATCAGCAATGGTCGCAGTGATACTGGGCTACATAAACCCAAGATAATCAGCAACTCGAAACAATACAATACGATATTTTTCTCTAATATTTCGTCTGCCCGTTACACGTGTCATCTAAATCACACTAGTCCTAATCGCACTAGTCGAAAAAACGCGTGCAATATATACGTCGGCAATAAAGCAATGGGGAGGAAAAATACGGGTAGTGTTTTAGAAATTTTCGGAAATGCCGAGGCCAGCGTGTAATGTTCTAGGTTCTAACCTAGAACATACTAGATGTTGGTAAAGTCTATCTCGGCCCCCTACAAATACGCGGTGATTTATCCGTCCTGGCATTCTCTCAGTGACTAGGGAGTTGAATACGAGAGCCAATATTAGCGATACTCGGAGCGAATAACTAGTGCGGTGAACGATCTACTACTATTGTGAAGGGAAATATTGAAGTTGAAGTGTGTATTTTGTCGTAGGATTATTTTTGTGATTTTATTAAGTGAATAAAGTCGGATTGTGAATTCTGAACTCTAGTTAATAACAATATAATATCTCACTCTTGACCAGAAGAAATAAGTGATGAGAGAGATCTATTTTAAATTCTTTTCACGCCGATTTTATTAATTCAGACAGCACCTTTCGATAACAAGCGATCAAAAGTGTACCTTGGTCTTACCGGGCTCAAATCTGCGGTGGCTGTTAGTCGTATTTGTTTCCAGCCGGAAGCGCTATCGCGTTGCAGTACGCCGCTGTCTCCTAGCGGCGGTGGGGGTATAGTGGGCGCGGGCGCGAGTGCCGCGCGCCGCCCCTCCGCGGACTTGCCCTTCTACGAGCTCGACGTCTGCACCGCTAGCAAGCAGGAGCACATCATCGCGGCGGTACGTATAATACGTACCATATCACAATTTATGGACATTACAACTCATATATCAGACTTATGTTTCTTGAGTTTATGTTTAGGATCCTTCTGACGAAGATTAATCGAGAGGTGTAATTACAGTACACACTAAGTCAAGGAAAAGATCGGTGTTTTTCTCGCCTGCTTGTGAATTGAATGAATTTACGAAACTTAAATAATGTGACCAAGTCATTTATTGTTCATAATAATTGTGTTATTTAACTTTTATCTAATATGGAAAAAGAGTGAGCTGTTATGTCGCACGCATAGTTAGATCAGATAGTGTTAAGAAGAAGAAACATTCAGTGGCACATCCAAATACGCTTACAAATTACAGTTTTACCAGTACCAGTATTACTTCCTGCTCCTGTTTTAAAACAGTCGCCTACGTTAGCACCGTCTTTATGATTGCAGTCTTCTCTAATCGACCTTCTACCAAAAAACAGCTTCTATCCGAAGCAATTTCTCGATGTCATATAAATGGAATGTCCGTTGTAAAAACGCTTAGAACTTGCGCGAGGTGAGCGTTCACCTAATGCGGTCGGGCGGCGGGGGCGGCGGGGGCGGGGGCGGCGCGGGGGGCGGCGTGCACGCGGTGGCCACGCGCTGGGCGGCCGCGCAGCTGGACGCGTCGCGCGCGCTCTGTCGCGCGGCAACGAGGGCGGTCGCCGCCACCCCGCCCAACAACCACCAGAGGGGGTTCACGTTCATGTACGCACACGGGACGTTGTCGGACATCACTACTGCCGTACTCGATATCAACACACGATCGTTTCTCACAAACAAGTTTAGTTATATAAATAATCTCTTTAAAAGAATAAAAATAAAATCGTTTTATGTTGTATCGACATCGTCAGCCATTTTACGCCCCCACTGCAGGGGCAAAGGGCGTCCTTATCGACGGTTGAGGAGGATGGATGGGATTTTGGTGCGGGATTCGAATAAACGAATTTTATTTATCAAAATAACAAGAAAAACACTTAAAATATTTCTTTTTAGTATAAATAACTTCTTTTTTGTCATAAATACAGATTGAATGAATGAATGAATGAAATTTTTCCTTATTTTACATGCACCATACAGTAAAAAATTTACAGTTACAGTCTAATAATCAATGTAATCGGCGGCCTTATCGCTTAGGCCTAACAGATTGTGTGTTGATATTGAGCTTAAGCGCTAATCGTTGTTGTTTTTGGACTACATTTATTGGCTTCTGTGCGTTACATGGCGGCGGCAGTTTGTGTTGTAGTCTTTAGTTGTGTGTTTTTTGGTTTTTCCTTGTGTTGGTTGGTTTTCTAGGTTTTTTTTTTGCAAACTTGTGTTTGTTTTGATTTAATGCGTTTGGTTGCTTGGGATGGTCGTATCAATTTATTCACAGAATGGTCGTTTCGGGAATCATTTCTCTCATTAGAAATCCAGCTTAAGAGCGAACCATTTCAAGTCGGTTCGAACGCAGTTGTTTAAGTAGGATTAGCCTGCTTCGACAACTGCTATTCAATCGCATTAAAAAGTTCTTGTGAATAAATAGATTATAGCTTTTTTTAGTAAATATTATGAAAATGTATTGAGTTTATGCGCCATTGTGTTTTTGCTAAGCTGTCGTTGTTAATAGTAACAGCAATAGGGTTGCCAGATTTTTTTTCAGTCTGCAAATGTGCAAAAAAATACGGGATGTAATTTTTATTTTTAAGAAACAAAATTCTTACTTTTTATTATGTTTTCAGAGAAATGAGCATGTTTTAACATGTTTCTGTTGGATTTGACATAATAAAAATTGAATTAATATCAATTATATATGGTCATTAATTTGTCAAGTTGGAGGTTTATTTATTTCGTTCATCACCCGACTTTAACACCATTTGTCAAAACGGTTTGATTTACGTGACAAAGTCGGTCCCGGCTGGACGTTTGAATTTATTCTTGAAATATGGGACGCCTGGCAACACTAAACAGCGCATACGAAATATAATGCCGCTTTGTTTTTTATTAAGTTTGGATTACATTAGATAAATAATTGGCTCCATTCTACAAATCACGCTCACATTAATAATATTTAAGACGACTCATTTACGTTATTTGATAGTTCGAGTAATAGAAATATACTATCTTTTTAAATTACATTCGGTAATAGTATTTTGGGTTTGACTAGAAATGACGTAAAGTCACATGAGTAGGTAAACATGAATAATTGCGTTACAGAGATGAGATGGAGCCCACGCACGCTCTGATCTTGTTCAAAGTGTTGGAGCAGTACTATTTGGCGACGGAATCTGTGGCGTATCCCCTGCCCCAGGGCTTCAGTTCGTTCTTCACGTACCTCGGCTATCGTACTCTGCCGTTCCACGCGTTCGTACAGCACGTGCATAGGAACGTGTTCGAACTGCAGATCGATGTCATGAAGGCGATTATTGCAAGTGAGATGTTATTAAAATGATAAGATTTTTTTTTTTGGTTGCTAATGTTTATTATTATTACTGTATTTATGTATTATCTTCACCGTTGACTTGATAGAAATCGTTAAACTTTGGCGCCATCTCGAGCGAAAGATTAGCGGCGATATTATCGTTGTGCCACGTATTTCTGTATACTCTTTCTGAACGCATTTTCACACGGCGATACGATGAGTGGCAATGTGTGTGGCATACTGGTGGCTCTGACGCCGCAGAACGTGCCATCTTCACAGTGAGCGCGCGACGGACGCGTTTTCAAACGTAGCGTCACTCCAGCGTTGCCTCTCACCAAGCAAGGATATGATATAATCTATCGACAAGCTTTACATATATACAGTACATATGTACAATGTTTAACATCGAAAAGTTTATACTTGAAGTGGGAAAAAGGCCTGCCCTATACGATGTTTTATTTTCCGAGTTACTACTTTTTTTCGCTCTCGTCTGGTACCTAACTGAATTCTTCCAACAAAAAAAAAGAACAACGCATCGTCTAGGACATGCGGCGATTCTGTTAAGAGTCGACGCGGATACGCTGCGATTCCGTCACGAGTCGTGACTATACGCTGGTAGAATAATCGCTCATTCGTGGATATCACTCGACGATACAAGTGCGGACGATACTCGCCGCGTTTCTCTCGCTCGTGGAGACAGCGCCTTAGTGACATTGATGAACTTATGACGTGTCTGCTAAACTATATAATAAGAGTGACTCGAAAATTAATATCAATATATTAATATTTATATTTATTAATAATAGAAAATTAATATTATTAATAATAATAATAAATTATAAATATAAATACAGGAATAATAATATCTTACGTTGAGGTGAAACCCACTTAGTCAAAATATGACTAAAATAAAATTGATTACTGTTATTAAAACTGATTATATGTGATTAATAAATTACTGTTATTTATTAAAAAAAAATGTTATGATCAATCATTATGACAATTAAATTAAATTATTTCGGGTAGAGCAAAACGTCCGGCGTAATACAAGGCCGATTCAATCTTTTTTAATTTTGATGAAAGTTTCTGAAACTCAACAAATCAATTTTAACATCGTACCCTTGCTATAGCATGGTCGCCGAACGGAGAGAATAAAGGTCGTCCTTTGTGCATCCTTTTAGCTATCATAAACAACACAGGTTCATTTTACTATGAAAAAAGCGGCTAGATGTATCTGTGCGCAATAGTATATGATTGCGAACGAGTGAAAAAGATACGTGATATAATGCCGAGTCATAGCACAGAATAGTTTCTGTTCGTCGACCGTGTTATAGCTGGTTTACATGTGATTAAGTAGATAATCAGTAAGTAGATTTTTAGTAGAGAGAAATGAAAGGACCAAAGACAGTAATTTCCGTTCCTTTTAACTAACATATTATAAAACTGAAATTTGAAAAGTTCGAAACTCAATACAAATACGAAAAAGTACAAACAGAATATGACTTGTTTATTGAGTTCTGAAAACTTATTCACTTTTAAACTTGAAAGAAAACCGGAAAGGTTGTCACTGAGAAATCGAGAACGTACCGTAGCGACATCTAGTTTGATTTCGGGAACTAATGTTTTTTTTAAATACTTCCTCATTATGTTGTTAACAAAATTTAAACTTGCTGCTTACAATTTGTTCGTTTACACGTACATAAAAATCTATTTAGTTGTTAATCATGTGTAAACCAGCCATTATGTGGTGTGCGTCGTTCAGGTAAGGGGGAGGACGCGCGCGCGGTGAACAACAAGCTGCGCCTGATCCAGCTGGTGGGGGAGGGGCGCGCGCGGCGGGCGCTGGCCGCGTGGCCGCACCGCGCCGCGCTGGTGCTGCGCGCGCGCGACCACGCGCACACGCTGCTCAGCGGCGCGCCCGCCGCGCGGCACGACCACGCGCGCCACCGCCCCGTGCGCGACACCGGTCAGTACCAGTGCTTTTTTTTTTTTTAATTGCCCGACCTTACATATGTGACCGGGCTTCCTAGCTGCACCCCACTTTTTAGCAGGCCTTTATTTTTCGATATTCTCTTTCATTCCAGTTCTCGCTTTTTGTCACCCTCAGTACCAGTGTTGGAATTTTACATTTTATCGGTTGATATTAAAATATAAGGGTAAAGTCTTAACCCTATAAGGCCCTCAGTAAACACATGTGGGACGACCATTTATATCGTCCTTACAGCAACCAAAAACGTGCAGTGACATCTAATAATATAAGTTACATAGGTTGCTAGTAACATAAGTTGTTAGATTGAGTAATTTTTTCCACTTGAAAAGTAGCTGGAAAAAGCTAAATTTTTCCGTGAAATTAAATACCATTTTACACGATTACTAGAAATCATACGGCGATATTTTATTGAAGACTTTAATATTTATTGCATTTAAAATACAAATAACAATATAAAACGCAAATCATCTTATTAATATTATTTCTAAAAGCTGTGTTATTTCTATAATAGTATGTACTTAATACTATATTTATATTATATAACTACTCAATTGACTATTTAAAAAAGAATCACAATGCTCAATTAAATACTAGAGGAAGATGCAGAAGGTTGTGAATTGTGGGAAGGTAATGATAAATCTGGTGCAGCTGAATTAGCACTAATTGATTTTGAATATTTTTCTACAGTACCCATGTTTTCAAGTAAGGACTTAGGAAGAACGTAGTTGTGGCCACTTTTCCTGACTGTCTCTACTTGCTGGTTTTAACCAACTTTTGAACTCATTTTAAACGGTAAATCCATTTTCAATTGAATATTTTCCTTTACTTAATTGAACCCAAAAGAAACAAACTATAAGAACAGCCAACTGAATCTACTGATGACCAAAAGTTGAATAAAGAAATAAGATATGGAAAAAATTCAATTTGAACCGAAAAGTTGCTAAAAAGTTTAGCTACGAAATTAAAAAAATTGTAGCTGCCTAACATCAAAACAATAGCTAAATCTAGCTATGAAGTAGCTAAGTTGGCTACACTGGTCAGTACACTGACACCACCGCTGACATGCTGATTTCATAATGAACTAAAAAAGCATCTCCACTAGATGGCGGCTCTAGCAAAAGTTGATTTTTGCGGGAAACGATTGGACCAAAGATAGTAATTTTCATTCCTTTTTACTAACATATTAAAAAACTGAAATTTGAAAGTTCGAAACGTATATATCAATACAAATACGAAAAAGTACAAATAGAATATATCAAACTAATTTACTTTTATACTTGCAAGAAAGCCGGAAGGGTTGTCATGGAGAAATCAAGAAAATACCGTAGTGACATCTAGTTTGATTTCGGGAACTATTTTTTTTTTCTAAATACTTCCTCATTACGTTAATTCTTAAATGATGAGTATCACCTGAAGTTTTTGAAATTAATTATAAAGTTCTAGCTGATTGGCGTCAGCATCATAGTTCAAATGTCCGATTTCCGGCAGTGGCGTAACTATACCATCTCGGCCCGTGTCAAGTTCCTATGATGGAGGCCTTGTCAGTAAAAATCCTTACGTTGTACTTAGTTTAATTTTAATGAACCATAACAGTATCCTTAATGAAAAAATGCTTAAAAAATCCACTTTGTCCATGGTACTCTGAGATGGAATAGGAAATATAAAAAACCATATCAGTATTATTTTCAAGAGCATGGGTTTAAATATTTAAATTCATCAGTCGATATAAGTCCCATTGGGCATAGGGCTTGGATTCTTGAAGCTGTCCCAAGCGTACCCCATTCAACGCGACCTGGAGGGTTTGGGCCTGGATGGTTTTAGTGGGTAGTTCGATGTTTTTGCGAGATTCTCACACAACCCTCTGTCGCCCTACGGCAAAGGGTATGCGTAGAGGTATGTTCTATCGAAAAAAGGCCTCCTCTTTAGGCGAGAGGGAATGGACTATAGTCCCCACGCTAGTCCAATGTGGATTGGAGATTTCACAATCATCTTCTATTCACAGTTTTTCGATGCATACATTTACAATGAAATAAAATAACAATTTAATTTCAATAAGATACTTATTAAGAAAAATATTTTTTTCAAGCTTTCTGTTCTGCAAAAGTTTCTCATCATCAAATCATCATCAAAGTTTAAAGATCGGGCTATAGAATTTTCTATAGACAGAATAGTTCAGTTACATGCCCTATCTTGTCCCATAGTTTCTTAAAAAGGGTTTTTATCAATTTTTTTAGTAGCTTTCCGTCAGCGGTTTCGCCCGCGTGTTCCCTAGGGAACTGATTATAGGGATATCGATTAATATCTGGACACCAACCAATACGGATATATTTACAATGTTAAATTGAATAGTAAACAATTGTTACTATGGTAACGTTTTAATTCCCCATACAAACTTCTACTCCCATTTCATCCTTATGTAGTTTTTCGGAATAAAATATAGCCTATGTTCACTGCATATGATGTAGCTTCCCCTAGGTGAAAGACTTTTTAAAATCGGTCCAGTAATAGCTGAGCCTATTCGTTGCAAACAAACAAACAATCGAATCTTCTTTCTTTATAATGTAATTAGACAAAATAAGGGAATTCCCCGATCGTCAGTGCTCACCCGCGCTGCCAACGTACCGCAATATAAAATTTAGAGACCAAAAATATCTATTTTTGAACAGAAAGATGTTGATAAATTATAGAAAGCATCTGCTTTCTATAATTTATCAACATCTTTCTGTTTAGGATGCGTTGAAATGCTTACTTAACGATTAACTTTAAATTATATGGTCTTTACAGTTGAAAGGAGATTTTCGTTGACTTGTTGTTGGTCAAAAATTCATTTCAAAATCTAAGAGGGTGGAGCTGGCAGACTGATGGACAGAATTCATATTTATATTTTTTCTAGAGAGGCGATAAAGTACAGGATCCATCATAAATAAGTTAAATTATGATTGACGAATATCTTGCGTTATTTTCAGGAATAGCGGCATTGCCGTCAGGAGAACGGCTGTCACCTTTAGATACGTTCTTGGATCTCCTGACAGCTAAGGCGAGCCTAAACGAACTGGACTTCAATCTCATTATTGAAGCTACTCTAGCATCAGTGCAGCAAGATGCCGTGGCATAGTCTTAGATATGTTTCCTGTATCACAATTTCAGGTATAAAAACAAAAGCAGAATCTGATTAATAAATACTTTATTTGTATTTAATATTTTCATATTTAAATGAATTTTGATTCAATTATATTTAATAAAACTTATAGTCATACATACAAACATTCCATTTTTATTAGAAATTTGTAATTTGGTAGATATTATTAGGTAAAACCAAAAAGCACAAACATTTTTTGTAATTGGCTAATTTTGTGCAATAGGATGTGATAGTAAATTATTGTTTGCCTTTGTTTATGTTGTAATAAAAAAAAAATATTGAAACTATGCATTTTTATTAATTAACAACATTTACAAACATCAATTATAAAAAGGGTTATATGTCACCCAATGTGCTCTTTGTTGGTCTTTATCATTTTTGTGAGAAGTAAATAATGATTTGTACACTTCACTTGACTGTGGGTCTTTTGCTATACTATAATCTTTCTTTGTCTTTTTATATGATGGGTCTTCAATAAGTTGTGTTGGGTGAGCTCTCTTGCTTGAGCCAAAGTGGCCACGAGTTTGTTTATTTGGATTATACTTTGGCAAAGACAATGGAATTGTATCAATATCATGTTTTGTGACCCGACTGGTACCTGGTTCTGATTCATCCTCTTTTTTTATATCGTTTTCAGTTTTTATTCCTGAGGGTGATGGTTCACTACTTGACGTTGATGGAGTCGCAGCATTTGTTGACTGCACCTCATTTTCAACTTTTTCCAACTTGGTCGCCTTTGATTTCTTACCATTTTTTCTATTTGCAACACGAATTGCCATCTTCTCTCTGAGCTTTTCTAAGTCTTCATCTGTACCATTGAGGACGATGACATCATTGTCCGTAAATGGTTGTTGACACTGAAAATAATACAGCATATATATTGATGGAATTTGTTAGTCCTTATAATAGTATAAATAAACTACTAGTTCGAGTTAACATGACACCTGGCTCGGAACTTGATATACCCGCGCTACACTCCGCCGTCGCCTTTCAGTTAGAGTTTTATACGCGTCTTTGTGCTATTAATTATTAAGCCAGGTAACTCGAACAAATTATACGAGGGTCAAACTGAAAGTTCTTAGAACTGGCCACTTATAAACAATATAATAAAAAAATAATTCTAAAATTTGAAAATATAACTCTTTGCCAATATTACTGAGTATATATTTCATTCATTTGTCATTTGTTTTACGATTTGGCGGCAAATTGAAAATTGTCTGTGTCACGTCATCATGAATTTAACACGAGAAAATTTTCGTGCAATGATTTTTTATGACTTTCGATGTCATTTAAGTCAACAAGAAAGTTATGATAGACTACGATTGGCCTTTCACGATGAAGCCCCATCTCGTGCGACTGTTTACAACTGGTTTAATGAGTTTAAACGTGGTCGCACTAATCTCACTGATGATTTACGTGAGGGACGGCCTTCTACGGCGACGACTGAAGATAACATCTGTGTTGTGCGGCGTATGATAGAGACTGACAAAAGAGTGACCTATCAACAGATTCGGACAAGCTTAGGCATCGGTATGAGTCAAGTGCACAAAATCCTCCACGAACATTTAGCGGTCAGGAAGCTTTGCGCCCGGTGGATACCTCATAATTTGACTGAGGCTCAAAAACTCCATCGTGTGGATTGGTGTCGTAAAATGATTGAAAGATTTAACGGAGGTGACTCAAATGCTGTGTTCGACATACTAACAGGTGACGAAAGCTGGATTTACTGTTATGATCCTAAAACCAAAAGACAATCTGCTCAGTGGGTGTTTCCTTTCGAGGAGTTGCCAACTAAAGTGAAGAGAGATCGAAGTGCGGGAAAAAAAATGGTGGCCTCGTTCTTTGGAAGGATAGGTCATTTTGCAACAATTGTATTAGAGGATCAAAAAACAGTTTCTGCAGAATGGTACACTACCAATTGTTTGCCACTTGTCTTGGAAAAAGTTCGAGAGAAACGACCTCGCAGTAGGATCCTCCTTCACCACGACAACGCCTCGTCGCACACCGCCAAGCGAACGATCGACTATTTGGCGACATCAAACGTTGAATTACTGGGTCACCCGCCGTATAGCCCCGACCTCGCGCCTTGTGATTTTTATTTATTTCCAAAAATTAAAGAAAAACTTAAAGGAAAGCGGTTTATGAATGCTGAAGAAGCGGTGGCTGCGTATCGCGATGCCATTGAAGAGACCCCTAAGGACGAGTGGGCAAAGTGCTTTTCCCAGTGGTTCCATCGCATGCAGCGGTGTATTGACGTGAATGGACAATATTTTGAAAAGATATAATAAAACTAATAACTGGCTAATGTAATCAGTTTTTGATTTTCTAAGAACTTTCAGTTTGACCCTCGTATACATTTCTTTCTATTTTTATTTTTTCCTGAGATCAAGTAATATCATATAAATGTTTAACCGGTTACTAATACTTAATAGTACTGCCACTGGGTGGAATGTAGTGAAAAAGAAACAGTTACTAATTGGCCAGTTTTTGATTTGCAAGTTTAATATTACATGAACTACAGATTATTTTTTTAAATTTAATTAGAGAAACATTGTTGCATGCCCATGATACTCAATTGGAATATACTTGAGCATCACAGAGACCTATTAGGTTGCGAAGCTTAGATGAAAAAAAAAATGTTATAACACAAGGGAACACAATATTCAACTTTTTTTTGTTGCATGGCATTTTATAGCTGTTGTTGATTAATTTGATGTAGCTGATTTCAAAACTACACTCTATTTCTTTGTAACAGCTCTAGTATTTGAGATTCAGCTTTTGGCCATATTTTTGTATTAGGTATGCTTAACTTTTATTGAAAAGTAATTGTTTGTTACAATGGTTTTTATATGAATGCTCTACCTCCACTGCCAGTTTCCTACCTTTAAAAATAGTCTTTAGGAACTATCACCTAGTTCACAAAGACTATTTTCAAACGAAAGTTTTTTTTTTTTTTTAATATTGATTCGTTTTCCCAAATTGCATATTTTTTTCTTGAAAATCAGTTTGTGCAACAAAAATGCTGTTCCCTTGTGTAATATAAAACCTTTCGTCATTGGGACCACAGCGCAGGTAAAATCAGAGTAAAAATGAAAAGTGCAAACTTCATTAAAACAAGGAACATACTTCCCATTTAGAACATCATATAATTATGACATAATACAATGTTAATAATGGGAGAAAATAAAAGAAGTGTTTGGAAGTGTAGATAGATGTAATTTAATGAAAAATTGGACTTGAGCATGGATGATAAACAGAAAAAAATGTCATATAACACAAGGGAATACAATTCAACTCTTGTTGCATGGAATTTTATAGCTGTGTTTACAAATTCAGGAGTGCTCAATTGGAATATACTCGAGCACCACAAGCAGAACAGGAGTAGCTTGGTGATGTAGTGGATAAGCACCGCGGCCCACGATCGTTGTCATTAAGGAACTTGCGCAAGGGTCGGTAATGGGATGGGTGACCAACAAATTATTATCTCAAGCTACTTTATGCTTCGGAAGGCACGTAAAGCCATCGGTCTCTGCTGCATTTGCAGTTGTTAATACCCTCCAATCTGCATTGGGCCAGCGTGGAGGGTCATGGCCCATCTTCCTTAACCATCCATAACGAAGGCCTGAGCCCCTGCAGTGGGTATGTAAAAGGGCTGATGATGATGATGATGTTTACTAATTCAGTATCACTGATTTAAAATCTACTGATTTTGTTTAATGAAATATTACACTTAAGTGTTTATTAAAAATCAAAGCCAAAAATTTCACAACAACAATTTCTTGGGTGCATATCAATGAAAAAATTGTATTTGCAAATAGTGGGAATTTGTAGGGAAACACCAAGTGTAACAGGATGACATTAGGCTCTGTTGCTGTGGTTAAGATTCTCCCCCACCACACTTCACCTTCTTCAATACCTATTTTCATTTTTTGCACAGGGTTTAGTTTCGTGCTTTGCACTGTACTTTATTATATAAATACACACTATACACTTACCATGTGACAAATATTTTGTTTGACTTCTCTTAGTGCTCTTTCAGCAAGTACACAGCCACAATTCCACAGGAAGATAAATCGAAACTTTCCAGTCATCTCTAGGCCACTAATGGGGCAGATGTAGGGAGCACTACCATCACCTACAGAGCCCTCTGTATGTTCTGATGCAACATATGCTGGATTCTTGACGAGTTTCAAATCTTTGATATCCTGTATTAAATACATGAGGTTATATGTTTATAATACAATGTACTTTCAATATTAAAATTTAGTTCATCAAGCATGGTGTTTAGGTTCTACCACATTAGAAAGGTATGTATATTACCTTGAGGTTTTTGATGTGGTTGATTGATTCAGGTTTCGTGTCTTTGTCTAACAAGGCTTCGAGAACTGAACTTTTGGTATAGAGGCGACCAAGTCCGCAGGCAACTATTGGCTCTTGCAAAGGTTGTTGAGACAATGCGCAGTTACGCCATTTAAATGAACGTTCTGCGTCTTTATCTTTCTGTAAATTTAAGGATGTATTATTAATATTAACACTATTCCTAATAGAAAACGATTACATTTATAATTTTATGACAACCAGTGTAAATGTTTGGACATACTTTTATCAAGATAAGAGCTATTTGTAGGTCGTGATTGTTTACCTGTTCGGGCTTCTTCTTTAGTCTGACGAGTTCATCTCGCCGTGGAATAGTACCGCCATCACAACCCATGTTAATGTCGTTTTATTAATGTAATGCTTTCCAATCCGATTGATGCACAAGTAATTAATAAAAAAATGATACACAATACAATCATATAACGTCACTAATCGTCAGACTGTCATCCACAGCCACAGACTTAGACAGAGTCCTTTAAGCCAAAACTTTGTTTGCACTGTCTTCGGTTATTTCATTATTTAAAGTTTTTCAATTGAAGATTTTATATACTTGTATAAAGGCACAAAATATTCAAAATTTTTCAAGTAGTCTTCTAAGCGGCGGGGGACATTATTCACATTTTTACACAGTTCACAAATTTCACTCGCGAACACAAGTCTTTGCATAGAGAACTGACAGCATATAAATATCAAATGTTGAATGTCACAAACTTGGTTGTCGATATTGCAATAGGGACATTCATCTGAAGGTATTATATTTAACCTTCTAAGATGTGATGGTGTTTTATGGTGGCCAAATCTTAATCTATTCATCGTTGTGATGAAATCTCGTCTAGCATCTTTCAGCTTACTGTACCACGGCTTTGACGGTATCTCTTCTTGTATGCTTCCGTACCATTTGCCTTTCACTTCTTGATCTTTCTTCCAATAATTTTTCCATATTATGTACATTTCCTTTCGTATTTCAGGATAGTAATCAGTAAAGGGTACATTCGTAACAGAGCTTACATCTAAAGAGTTTATCCCTTCACGTGCAGTCTTATCAGCTACTTCATTGCCTGATATGCCTTTATGCGAAGGAATCCACATAAAGGAAACTCTTATACCTTTTTGTAGTAAGTTATATACAAGTTCTCTTATATTAAGTAAAATATAATTAGTCTTAAAATGTAGAGTATGGTTATTTAAACTTTTAATTAGACTAAGAGAATCTGTTAAGATCAAAAAATTCTTAAAATTATGTACAGAATAAATACGCTTAAGTGCCTCAAAGACTGCATATGTCTCTGCAGTAAATATGCTACAACTATTATTAAGAACAAAGCTTTGAGAAAATTTTATTTGAGGGTCATAAACAGCACTACAAACTTTAGCATCTACTTTACTGCCATCTGTATAAAGTGTATAAAATTTATTTACATTTAAGAATGCTAACAGATCCTGGTTATTGAGTATTTCTGTTTCAAATATTGAAATTTCATTTAATTGAATTGAAAGTGTTTTTGAATAAATAGGCCATAAACATTGCTTATGTATGTACTTATATTTATTTAACAGATCAAAAAGAATATGTGGCAACTTTGGAAATTTATCATTAAGCAAGTCAGATTCTGCAGTTAATGGTGTCTGAGAAGACAAAGGAAAAGGTAAGATTTTTTTGATTATATGTTCATTATTTGAAGATATTAGTTTGATACAAAATCTTTGTATGAGTTCTAATCTCCGTATGGAAAGTGGCATTATGACAGTCTCAACCTCCATGGCTCTAATGGGAGTAGAACACATGGCTCCTGAGATAATCCTCAAAGCTTTGTTTTGTAATATATCTAATTTATGTACATACTAGTGGACGCCCGCGACTTCGTCCGCGTGGAAGTCGGTATCCCGTGGGAGTGAGAAGTTTTCCCAGTAAAAAGTACCCTATGTGTTATTCTGATGTATAACCTATATTGCTGTAAAGTTTTATCCAAATCCGTCCAGTAGTTTTTTCGTGAAAGAGTAACAAACATCCATACATCCATACTTACAAACTTTCGCCTTTATAATATTAATAGGATTTACAATCTGCATAAGCTAAACAACTATAGTCAAAGTGACTTCTAACTATGGCTTTGTAAAGGGTAGACAATATCAAGGGATCTGCTCCCCAAGACACACCGGCGAGGCATTTGATAATGTTCATGCCTCTTAAAGCATTTTTCAAAATATATTGTATGTGTGTTACAAATGACAAATTGTTATCTATTATTACACCCAGGAATTTATGTTCATAGACTACTGGAATTGGTTGATTATCATACATAATTGCAGTGCTAGGGAAATCTTTACTAAATATCATTGACTCACTTTTGTTTGGGTTAATTTTTAATTTAAGTTTAGAATAATAAGTATATAAGTCATTAAGAGCAATATTTACATTATTAATAGCTGTATCAACATTATAATTAACACTATATATTACAATATCATCAGCAAATTGCAAAATATTTACATTGTTAGTATTTACATATTTACAAATTTCAGATGTATATATATTATATAACAAAGGTGATAATGTTGCACCTTGCATAGTACCTTTATTAGCTATTCTAGGACCTTGTAGAATATTATTATGTTTTACAAAAACAGTTCTATTGTTTAGAAATTCAAATATCCACTTGCATAATAGTCCTGGAATACCTAACCCTGACAATATTTTAGTAAGAATTTCTGGATGAACATTATCAAAAGCTCCCTGAACATCAAGGAAAGCACATGCAACACTTTTATGATTTTTTGCATTTTTCAGATCAGAAATAAGTGAAGTAAAGCTGTCTGCACAACTCCTACCTCGTCTGAAGCCATACTGAATATTTGGAATTATATTATTTGACTCTATAAAATGATCTAAACGAACTTTGACCATATTTTCAAAAATTTTCCCTAAGCAAGATGAAAGTGAAATGGGTCTGTATGAATTGGGATTATCACAAGGTTTATCAGGTTTGAGTATAGGAATAACACATTGTGTTTTCCATGAATTAGGTATTATTTGTTTTTCCCAGAGTGTATTGAGTATAACTAGAAATAATTTTTGTACATTAATGTGAAGGTTTTTTATTAAAATATAAGGAAAGTCATCAAGACCTGGAGCAGTATTTTTGCGTGATTGAAGACTCATTGAAAATTCACACCATGAATAGGAGTCTAATAAATGATTCGTTTCTTTTTTATCATTGTGAAGATCGAAGTAATAATTCAAGTTTTCTGTACTTTCATTGCTATCTGAGATTTTTTGTAGAAATGATTCAATAAACTCATCACAATAATATTTGTTACTTGTTTTAATTCTTTTAAATCTTTTAATATAATTCCAAATAGTTGAAATAGGGGTTGTTCTATTAAAGCTCTGACACAAATTTCTCCAACTATTCTTTTTTTCCTCTTTAATGGTTCTTTTTTTAATTGCATCAAGTTTTTTATATGTTATAAAGTTTGCAATAGTTGGATAACGCCTGTAGAACTTTAATGCCTCTTTTGACTTCATTACACTTTCTTTGCATTTGTCATTCCACCAGGGAGCAGGTAGCTTACTTCTGTAGTCAGACGTTTTAGTGAATTTTGGTACACATGACAATTTTAGTAAATTAAGTTTCTCACAAAATTCATTATATGAAGTAAGGGGGTCATCAGGATTGGGGTAAATATTATCAAAATAAAATTTAGAGAGTTCATTATACTTGTTCCAATCAGTTTTGCTATAAAGAAATTTATCAGTGGGTGGATTAAAATTATATTTATTTATCACAGTCGTAATCCTTGTAATTGTAGGGAAATGATAGCTGCCCATATTATCATCATGGACTGACCAGTTACATAAAGGCGTAATGCATGGACTAGCTAAACTAATATCTATAGCAGATGGATTTCGATTAGGGTAGTTAATAGTAGTGAAATTACCATCATTAAGGATACATAAATCTAAATCATCCAAAATAGTGTACAATTGCTCTCCTCGCCTTTTAGTCGATAAACAACCAAAAGCAAGATGATGAGCATTAAAATCTCCTGACACAAAAACAGGTGAAGGCAGACTTTGTAGAATGTCATGTAGATAGTCAGGTCTAAAATGTGGTGAAGGAGGACAGTAAATACACAAAATAGTAAGATCGCCAGACGAGGTAGATAAAGACAAAGCTATAGTCTGAATGTCTTCATAGAAAATTGTGGGTAAAAGTTTATATTTAAAGAATGGTTTTATTAAGATAGCTACACCACCGTGCTCGTTTGAAGCATTTTTATAATAAATATTATAACCAGGTATATTACAAGGTCTACCTTCTTTCAACCAAGTTTCATTTAATAGACAGATGTCTATATTATTTTCTCGTAAAAAATTTATTAAAAGAGGTACTTTATTATAGATACTTTGAATATTATACTGGGCAATCCTTAATGTGGAAATATCATTTGGGTTACAGTTATCCATAGCTAAGTTAAATTTTTAATTAACATTTCTTTAATTGACAATGAAGTAATTGGAATATCGTCCCCTTTATTAGCTATCGCAACAAGTGTTCGAACTATGGCATTTGTGATTTCAGTATTATTAATTAATTGATTCTTTAGTTCATCTAACGAAAACTTTTTTTGTGGGACAGATTTTACATTGAGAATATTACTTGTACTCTTTGGTATCAAAGTCGGAGATTGAGTAATATAATTATTTTTATTTGCATTTCGTAGAGCTGGAAAATTCTCATCATAAGTTTTTTCTTTTGAGGTGGTAAGAGTAGTGGCGTAAGTAACTTTATTCTTTTTTTCTTGGTTCTTTTTCATTTTAATAGGACATAAATTTGATATTGCTAAGTGTGGTCCACTACAGTTAACACAACAAAGTTCATTAGGCTTGTCGCATTCTTTATAAAAATGTTCGCCGGAGCAAAGACTACAGCGTTGTTTGCCATTACAAACTTTTGCCGAATGATTGAACTTAAAACAACGGTAACATTGCTGCAGAGGAGGGATGTATTCAGAAACTCTGTAGGAAAACAAGTCATACTGCACATTGTCAGGTAATGTACTAGCTAAGAATGTGATGCTAACAGTTTGTAAAGGCACCCTATCCTGACCGACTTTTTTCGTGAATCTACGCACTGCTATAATTTCAAATGTCGATGATAATTTGTAATAAAGTTCCTTATTCGATATATTGGCCGGAACATGTCTGATGACTCCAGTTTTTTCAATTTGGGCAGCCGGGATATATGCTTTCATTTTATACTTGTCTAGAAAAGCCGCGTTCATAAGGAAGTTGTTAGCCGCGTTACATTGCTTAAATATGACTGCAATTTTATTTGCATTCACACGATGAATGGCCACCACACCTTTGACGTCTGTACTAAATATATGGTTTAGATAAATAGGGCTCTTATTGCCCAAACGTTCTTTATTATCACTTTCGACAAAAACTTTAAATTCATAGTTTGAGGAATTTTCAGGATAGAGTCTCTTATAGTTTGGTTTAAAAAATCGAAAAAAGTTCTGACTTTCCTCACCGCCGCCGCTATATGAACTCGAATTTTCATCTTGAAAATCCATTTTTCTAGCCCGTTTGCCCGAAGATGCCGGGTCTGCAGTGGCCGGGGGGATATCACCCCCGGCCTCACAGTTTAACATGCTATCTATTTACAAAGAAAATTAAACAATTAGAAGAAATATTTTCAAAGAAAATTAAATTGTTTAAAATTTAGCGCCCTTTCACTCTAAATTAATTTCATACAGAACGTGTGAAGTTCAGTTTCGGTTCAATTGCAGTAAAAGTCCAGTTGACCAATATTTTGGTATCGCGCTAAAGTTGAAACGTTAACTGAAACGAAACCGGAGCTGAACCTTGAACGTTATTGGAACGTTAGAGATGTACCCGAGTACTGTTATTTTTTACCTGTTATTTCAATATAATCGACAATCGATTGACCGTTTATAGCGTTGTCAGCACTAAATTTGACAGAACTAGAAGGAATGTTAATAGCGGGAATAACGAGAATTTGACTCAAGTGGATAAAAAGTATTTAACAAAGTTAAATTAAGTGGTTGTGACTGAAACGTAGCTTATTGGACGACTTAATCCTCATTCGTGTTGTGTGTGTACTTCGTGAATGTAAACTGAGTGAGTATTTTCTTTGTTGAAGCTCAAATATTTAACCAAGAAAAGAAATTTGTATGTAAGTCGTATCAAACTATTTTTTTGGTGTAGAAATGGCAAGCAATCGCAAATCAACAACGGTCCGTCAACTCGAAGCTCTTCTTGAGTTTGTAGCAGGACATCGTGACCTCGCCTTTGGACGGGTGAGGTTCAAGGAAGCTCGAGCCTTAGCGGAATGGTTGTGGCGTGAATGCGCTGAATTGCTCAATCCTTTGGGATCCGCAAAGAATAGGCAAAGGTAGGCTCGGATTAAATTAAAGTTAGAGATGGTTTTTACCAAATACATGTAGAATAAAATCAAAATATATAAATCATACATGTTGTTTGTGTTTTCTAAGTTTTTAAATGTCATCCCAACTTAGTAGATACAGCATGATATAATTATTTTCCTTATTTAAATGAGAGTATGAGTTAATATGTGTTTAATTTCACATCACCAAAATTTCAAAAAAAGCAACGTAATGTAATGTCTAACTAAACAAATATAAAGTCATAGAAATTAGCTATGTAGTTTAACTTAATAATATATTTTTTTTTATACAGAAAGAGTTATTAGGCCACCATGGAGATGTAGGGCAGATTGTCTCCCCTTGCTAGCCTCCACACCAGCAGCACCCTCAAGACAGCACGGCCTTCTCATGTCCAAAGTAAGTTCAGCGACCTATCTCTGAGTATAAACTTGAACTTTAAAGCCAAATGTGGTCTGGATATAGCAATAAAATTGTTTTCATATTATCATTAATGAAGAATATGATGTGATTTTATCATCAATATATTTGCATGCTATTGTTGATGGCTAAATGGGCTGGACTTTTTATATTCTATTTCCACCTACAATATACCTCATTTAAAGGCAAATAAATATTATTATTATAATCATTATAATTATCTTAATATATAGAAAAATTAGGTATGATATACTAAATTACTTAAAAAATATAAGATATAATTAGAAAAAAATTATTTCAGGTAACAAAACTGCCCTAAAGGAGTCAAGAGCCACATTGTGAAGATGTGAAGAGTTAAGGGCTCAGGCTGAATTAAATCATTCGGAATTGATTTAGCTATTGGCTGAATCTTTTAAGTTAATAGCTGAAAGTGTTGAATAAATATTTTTAATGAAAAATGTCAACAAAATTCACTATTATTATACAGGTACAGGATTGACGAGTGAATATATTTGTACTTTTTTATATTTTCTAATATTGTAATAGAAAGTGACTATTTTAATAGTCAGTTTTCAATCTTAGTGACTCGGTATGAAATAAGACAGGAAGAAAAAGCAGCCCTTGCCGAGTGTCTTGCCGGTTCTTCTTGGTACAAGGTCTCCCATTGTAGATTTACGAACCGATGGCATAGAGTTTCGACTTTTAAAAGTGCTTGTAAAAGGCTAGACTGAATAAACGATTTTGATTTTATTAAATTTTGTTTTATTCACTTTTACATTTTAAATCTATTCTATTATAAGTAACTGCTATTCTTATATTCCCTTGTTGGTCCACAAACATTGTATAAGTGCATCTAGGCGCTCATGGCCGAACTGCAGCTCCTAGAGCTAACGGAGGGCGCGGTGCGGCAGCTGGCGCGCCTTCCGTTAGACGCCACTCGCGCGCTGCCTCCTCTGCCGTCAGCAGCGTGTACATAACATGAGCTCTGTGAGCTATGTTGTGCATTCGTGATCAGCACAGCGGCTGTGGGGGTGTAATGTAGTTTTCTGTTCACCAACAGGCAACACAACACCTGTAGGTAAAATGAGTATTATGTAAAGTGTAAAATTATTTATCGTGGTAACAATGAAAATTTAACCAATCAGTCCCGCGGATGCAGTTCATATATCACATTGTTTAATTGTACATCTACATGCCTGGGAACTGTTGAGTTAAATTAACAAACTTACCTAAAAGATAGACATCTTCTCTAGAAACTCGATGCAACTTTTCCAAGTAGTCATTCAGAGGATGATTGCCCCACACGATACTGTCATGTGTGGATCAGGGTAACTGCAGTCCACACATAAAATATTTAGATTTGAATGGCACATCTGTAATCAAATCCAATGAACTTGCAAATTAATGTTTAGATGATGATTTATTTTCAATGATACAATATCATGTAATTAATTGGACACTTACTATCATAACATTCAAAGAATGGTATCTTTTCCTGTTGAGGAATCTTTCCTTATGCTCATGACGGCACACAATTACAATGTGGATTCCATCAATACAGCCCAACAATCCAATTTTCTATAAAACCTGAAATTTTAAATATATAAATATAAAAGCTTAATAATTTTATAAGGTATGGATTCTTTAACATGGTATCATACTGAATAAAATAAATTTATCAAATGATGAATGTATACATACTCTCTTTTTATAGGTATGTTCCCTTTCACATTCTTGAAATGGAAACTAAATTTGTTTAATATAGTGGGCTTATTTAATGCCATTATCACTTGCCGGACTGCTTTAGATACACTGACTTGAGAAATACAGTGTGTCTGGCTATCTCTGGTCAGGTATGATCCAGTTGCATAGAATGCTAATGCAACTAGAACCTGCAACAATATCATATACCTATGCAATATGCTTGAATAGTTCGTACACTAAGTAAGCTTGCAAAAGTATAGTAGAAAAGTATATCTTAGGTTAAGTATTAATGCATATTTAGTTACTTACCTTAGTATCTATGTCCAAAGCATCCGCACGCAAGGTGGGAGGCATATGAGGAGGTAGCTCATTTCGAGCTAGGTAACTGTTTCGACAGTATATAACACTTTATAAACTATCGATTTCCTAATGAAAAAGCTTCACTTATTCTTGTGCGCAAGTTTTCTTTTTTAGTGTGCGCTCGAGCAACTGATATGTCATACTCGTGGCCCCTTTCAAGAAAGTCCAAATAGGTCATTTTCACTTAATTTTAATACAAAAATATCAAAAACACTACCGAGGTTTTACGAACGGTTCAGAAAAAGTAGCTTCAGTTCAACTTCACAGTTTGACAGCGGCTCAGCTTCAGTTGCGTTTCACATCCGTTTCAACTATCCGTCAAATTATTATGGCGATACCGAATGTTTATAAAATCGTGTTTCGATTGAGGTTCAGCTACAGTTCAGTTGAAAATATTTAGCGCGATACCCTAATTCAAGTGTATGAGAATTGGATTTTGAGTTTTCTTTAAGCTGACAGTTTATATGTAAGTTTGATATATTAATTGATAAGTAAAACACTTTATTTTTTCTGCATTAAAAGACTGTACTGTTATATTCGTATATTTGCATATTTGACCGAACGTCTGGAACGTCTATTTGATATATAACTTTAATTTATAATTTAGGGAGATCTGGCATAATTTTGCTAGATCCTTTGACTTGAGCTAATAAAAAAACAGCAAACTAACCTCTATCTATCAGATTGACATTTGTTGTATGGCATTTGATTTGATGATATTATTTTTTTTGCGAAAAATGTATGCTTATGGTCAAAATAGATCCTGATTTTCTGTAAGTCTCGAAGCTAGACTTTATTATTATCAGTTAATTATCGCTGATAACAGTAAGTCCTAGACTAAACGTTTATATCGTCTTAGCTAGATTATGTCGCCAAGCATGGAAGACGAACGTGTTCCTGAGAATGGGTCCAAAGCCCATTTATGTGGAGACTATGAAAATGTGGATAAAAAGAAGAAAATAAGGAAACGTGGCATAATCTATTTATCCACTATCCCTCCGTATATGAATGTTGCGAAAATACGTGAAATTTTTAGTCAATTTGGGGAAGTGGGCAGAATATATTTGCAACTTAATAAGAGTAAGTTATTAGTGTCATCTGTTCTTGCTTCAACGGGCGGCAAATGTATTTCATGGTTTCGTCTATATGTAGCTATTTCGCATGTAAATATATGGCTAGTTAATAATTGTATTTTTTTTTAATTATTAGAACCTGCTGAAAAGCGCAAGAATCTTCCAAATAAATTTACTGAAGGTTGGGTGGAATTTCAAAAAAAGAAAGTTGCTAAGGAAGTTGCTGTAAAGTTGAACAACACTAAAATAGGTACACGGAAGAAATCACGCTATTATGATATGATATGGAACATCAAATACATTCCAAGATTTAAGTGGATTCATCTTAGTGAAAGGCTTGCTTATGAGAAAGCAGCATATAAACAAAGATTACGAGCTGAAATATCACAAGCCAAGAAGGAAGCACATTTCTTACAAAGTAATATAGAGAAGAGTAAAAAAATGAAAAAAAGGAAGTCCAATAACATATAGTTAAAAATAAATAAAATGTTTTCCATTACTGAAGTTGCCCTAGATTTTTATTTCGGATGCTTGTTATTAAAAACCAATGACTCCATAAGAAATTACACATTTGTATTGTTAGATATTATGTAGCAAACAAGTTTTTATCAAGATTGTCGAGTCTTCAAAATTAATGAAAATTAAACATCCGTCTAATTTTATAATGATGTTTCTTCAGTATCCTTACTTCTGGCCAAAGTTAACTCTACCACTAATAATCTCTTCTACCCTCATTCTCTGATGAGGGTTTAGTGGATCAGGTGTTAGTTTTTGAATGTATCTTCTCGGAGGAATTTTATGAGACAGTATGCCTTGTGAGAATTCTCGATGGACTCTCACACCATCCAAAGCATTTGCTTGAAGTTTTTCAAAACTGTGCAATTCTTTCATAAACTGTCTATGTTGAGCTACAGTGGCCCAATGGTACCGATGGCGGCATACTACACGACTGAAATGATATTAGTAATATTTAAATTACCATTATATATATATATAAATATATGTTTTATTTTTTTTGTAGTTTATCATATGGTGTTTCTTTTTTTTGATAACACTAGAATAATACATTCCAGAGAATTGAATAAGTAATCATAGTAAAGGATGGTATTGTTAAATTTTCATTATGAAGATTAAAAAAATATATATGTAATTTAAAATTATGAAATGTACACAATTATCATATGTATTGCGCACACTAATTCAAACAAATTTAGATCTGTGATTGGCTTCTTATTTCTCACAATAATTAATGCTAGAAAAAATCAGACAATTAGAGAAAATGTACACTCACTATGCTAATGCTAATTTGGTGTATGATGGAAAAATGCTGACATCTGATCTAGCGAGTTCTGGAAAGCCAGGGTACAATGGGATTTTTCTTTTTTTCTCTTCTGGTATATGTGCTGCCATAATGTTATCAACAAAATACGTAAATATATTTTCAATTCAAATTGGGACAGCAAAATACTTCTGAGATCAATAATATTTGGTTGTCAAGGACAACAACAGGCAAATGTCACGGTTTGATTCATAATTTTTTATAATGAAATATCCTGTATCCTAGTTATCCTATAATATTAGTTGCATCCTAGATTTATATTATCCATAGATTTGATATTATCTCAAGCATAGACTCATTTGTGATTAAGTTAATTGATTGTAGTGTTTGAAATTATTTCTAATTTATTTGAGTGGATTTATTAGGACACAGGTGAAAGGTGTTAGTTGACATGGCATAGAGATAAAGACTTAATTTTAAATATTAAACAAATGTATTTTCCTAAATTTTTATCTACAAAACTAAACAAATATAAATGCTTAAATAGAAACAAAACAACATTATTAAATTAACAGTTTATTCATACAGTATTAATTATATCAAATCTACATCCAGAGCCAAAATCCCTTAAATGTGTGGTACTTTTATTTTCCTGTATATGTACAACTTGCTGTTAGCTCAAGATGATGCAGTAACAGCAGCAACTCTGCTCTTGCAGACACAATCATTGAATTCATTTACTAGCACTGAACAAGTTAAGGATTTTCCAGGGTTTGTACTATAGCACTCTAGGACCTGAAAACACAAGAGACATATTTAAATAAATAAAGAATACATTTTTACTGGTGGAAGAACAAGAACATTCATTTGATTCTTAGACAGTCTAGGCCAGTCTTGTTTTCTTTTAACACAAAGTTTGTTATTAATATAGGCAGGGTTGGGCAGTATTTAAATTACTTGTAATTGAAATATGTAATTAAAATACAAATACGTAATTGGTATTTCTATTTCAATTACTTCCTTAAAATGTAATTTGTAATTTGTATTTCAAATACCTGACGCAGACGTATTTTGTAATTAGTATTTCAAATACTTGAGGCTTCAAAATACATTTAATCTTCATTAAGCGATCGTGAGTGTAAGGCGCGAGAGTGTTATAATTGTAATGCGGATATTACAGTTGGCAACACTGCACCTGTCCGCTATGACAGATGACTTGTCAATGTCAAAGTATAGTCCAAAGATTACAATATTAGACTGGGTATAGTAGTCAAGTCCTAACGTATCGTAACTTGTTCGTAACGGAATAAATAAAGCTTCGTTTCATGTTCTGTGTAGAATACTAAATAAAAAAATATTAAAGTTTTTCGCGATGAATGATCAAAATCCCTCTCCACTATGCCGGATAACGGTGGCGATGGAGTGAACCAAATTAATTCTGAGATATACCCGCTGATTTTGACAACAGATGACAGGCAAAGAATTCAAAATCTTGCCATTCATGCCTTAAAGACAAGATACAAAGATCATGAAATAATGCCTGGAAGCAGCAGGAGTAGCACCACGAGTAAAGAAGATGATTATTTTATTGTTTTTGACAGCAGAGACAGTGATCAACCACAGACATCTAAAATGGAGTTGGTCACCTTCCTTAATGATAATAGCAAAGAGCTTTCAATTCTTAAGCGATATCCAAATATAAAAAATGAATTTATACAATTCAACACAAGTTTGTACTTATCGGGAATTGTAGAAAGATTATTATCCTTAGCCGGTTTTATTCACTCTCCAGCAAGAGGATGTTTGTCGGACAAATCATTCAAAAATCTAGTTTATATGAAAACTCTGGTTTTGAAAATTCCTAAAAGAATAAGAAAACATTCGACACCCTTTCACATATACACCAGCAGGATCTGCGACCGATGTATGTGAAAGGGTGTCAAAGCTTTTCTAATACTTTAGGAATTTTCAAATACTAAACATAGCATTATGAATGCATAAAAAAAAACATAACTCATTCACAATTTCTTATTATGTATTTTGTAATTTGTATTTCAATTAAAAATAGCTTAAATACAGTATTTTGTATTTTATATTTCAAATACCTCACTTAAATATATTTAGTATTTCGTATTTTAATTACTTGCAATAAAGTATTTTGTAATTTATATTTCAATTAAAGCAAATCATGTATTTTGCCCAGCCCTGAATATAGGTACATTCAAATCAAAAATATGAAAGCACTTCTGAATAAACATACTGATGCCCGTTTTCACTAAACTTAGGAGTCGGCTAAATCTATTGCCTAAATATTTAGAAATCGCCTAAGCTAAAAATTAATTTCACCATTGACTAGGAACCACCTAACAAAATTTAGCAATGTCTAAAGTTATGGCATTCGTTATGCGGCGTCTTGCGCAAGGCATTGGCGTGTATGATAGGTCATAAAAATATCAAAGGATAAAAGAAAAATATATTTATATGTAATTAACCGAATCTGCTTAGGTGATTCATAATATTAGGCGTTTCCTAGTTAAGCTATGCCTTGTTTAAGGTTAGTGAAAATGGGTGTAAGTGTAGTAACATCTAAAAATAATTATTGAATAAAAAATAACTATTTCTGTAATCAGTAATGTACCTTACCTTAGCTTTTTCTTCTTGACATGGTGGTAATTTAGTAGCAACTTTGTAAGTTTGTGTTAAATCAAACAATTCATTAGCTTCTTTTAAAGTCTTTTGGTATTCCTGGACCATACCAGCATTTATTTTCTCATGAGCACGTTTTAAGTTTTCTATTCGACGCGCCCAGTATGCTTCCTCAGCAATGTAATCTTGGTTTGGTCGTTGATCGTAGGAGGGAGGAGGTATATACTGAGGTGGAGGAGGTGCTTGTGCTTGTTGCGTTTGCTGAAAACAACATCATTGCCAGTTAACTTTTTAACAAAATCTTCGAAGAGATATAACCTTCAAGTCTAACAACAAATTTTACTGACACTGATGATTTATAGTTAAGATATAATATTCGATTAAAGAATACATTTTTATATGATAAATAATCTCATTATTTATTTTGTTATTTGGCCGCTGATAAATTATGTAATGTAACATCATATTTACTTTGCTTGTCAATTGAGCTTGTATTCTGTCTAATGCCTCTTGCGACACTTGAATAGCATTTTCATTATCAATTGTGACTTTACGAGTACTCTGAGAGCCTCCCATGATTAGAAAAGTATATTAAAATCAAATATTATTATGTGAAGCACCTCAAAAAAACATCTTCCGACTGACATTTATAATTATAAGATGGTCATAGACTACATTCCTTATTCTTTCATTTAAAACAAAGGAATCTAGCCCGTAGAGTCAAGTCTGGTACTTTTTCTTTTACATTTATTAAAAATTCGACTTATATCTCGGCGAGGCGAGCTATGAAATGCGCTCCGCGATTATTTTGTCACTTGTGGCGCTTCATTCCTGTTTTGACATTAAAATAACACGAGTCATAAAGTCCTTAGACATAAACCCACTTCAACATTCACACGACAGTGTAAATCTGAAGTTATGGTTTGTTGCATTTTTTATCACGTGACTGGCAAAGGAATCTATCTTACGTAGTAGTATTTTTAAATTTTTATGCTATTATGACGTTGTTGTAGTTATTAAGAGTGGTTTTTATATTGTAATATACATTAGCCGCGTGTGTCTATGATCATTTGTTTTGCAAAATAACATATCTTACAAAAAAAAGTTCGCTTTACCTTAAAAGTCATTTCACAGAAACCGCTTTTTACTACTTAAAAAGCGGTTTCTGTGAAATGAATGATACATGATAAAAATACAATATTTATATTAATAACAATTAAATTCACATAATATTATTTTTATTACAAATCTCATTTCACTCTGAATGTTGTTCGATATCTTTTAAACTGTTTGTGTGAGTTGAAAAAAGTAGATACTATATGTACCTGTCATTAGTTTTATTTTCATTATTTTATTTAAATAAATAAATAACAAAATATTTTTAAATTACATTAAATCTAAAATAGGCTGTACATTGTAGTACCTACCTACCTATTCATTATTACCTACGTGTAATAGAAACTCACCATCACCTCCTTTGATAGGTAATAGGTGTAAGATTACTAGAACATTCTTAAATATTGTCTAAACTGTCTGCGACTATGATTGAATAGTAGCTGCCTAGTTTTGTAGTTATTTATTTGTTCTAATCTGCACCTCCATTAAGTTATTCGAATTAAGAGCGCGGAGGTTTGTGATTGCGACTTGGGTGCGGTGCAGGTTCGGAGTTCAATTGACCGACTTTTAACCTTATTCATACAGCAAGAGGTGTTTTGTCGGTTGGCGATCGTATAAAAAGTGACCAATTGGGTTTAGCATAACCGGTCGGGCCGGTCGGGCGCGCCGCCTATCATCCCGCGTTCGCCGCACTTTCTTCTGTCTGATCGGCTCACGATCCGGCACGTCGCTTATGATTTTTATTTCTATTAGTAATGTTTAAAGGGGTAAAATGACAGATTAAAAATTTCAGACAGATACAAAATTTGTAGCCGTTTAAAGTAGAGGTGGGTCAAATTTAATTATTATAATAATATTGGTATGTATGTATGTATGTTAGTGCATTTATTTTATATTTTTTCTTTTTTTTTAATTACGCCAGAGATAAAGAAGAAAAGGTTCATATATACTCATTGTTACTTTATCAATCTACTATAGCTAGAAGTTAACGACATATTTCAATCAATACAAAACTAACTACAGTTTGTTTGCTAGGCGATACATATTATAATAAATATGTTATTATGATCTTGCAAACTGTATTGTTAATTAATAGAAAAATACTTAAATTCATCGGTCCTAAGTTTTTCTATAAGATAAATAGCAATATAGCACTGTGAATCCCAAATTGATGATATATATTATAACTACTTTTTAAATTCAAAGTATAAAAAAGCTTGGCGGAAATATTTTTTTCACTTGTTTAGGTCATTTGCGGAACATTGATGAAAATAAGTTCATCGATACCTACCTACATCGATGCCTACTTTGATAACATTAAGAAATTAGTCAGTAAATTCGTCAGTAAAATGTCTCTAAACCAAGGGAAAAAAATGTGCACTGATTAACTTACTTATATAGGGCATAAATGCGTTTACTTAGAAGTGGGGCAAAAGTAAAGAAGCTTGATAATATCAATTTCAATTTATAAAAATTATATCAACTTCTTATAATAACCTTATTCTAAAATCGGAATTCTGACAAAAACTAGTGGAAAATATCATTTTTTATTGCATTAGGTATATCAAATCATATTTAATTTTATTACTTAATGTGGTTTGATTTATTAAAAAATTAAAGTTAACTACTATCTTTAGAATTCAGTGAACTACAAATCTTTATATAAGCACCTTGCCTACTTCTGTTATCATTTACTGTATGGTCCCAACGCGTTGTAACGAAACCGTATCCACTATGTAGGTAGATATTACACCATCCCTTTGTCTAGGAATAGTTTAACCCAGTTTTGATGAATTATTGAATTAAATTTAACTATACTATCTTAAGAAATCTGTAGTTAACTAGAAATCTTTATAGTTGCATAATGTCTATCTCTGTTGCTTAACATAGTGTCTATCTCTGTTGCTTAACTTAGAGACTATCCTTTGCTATTAATACTGGAAGGTTATAATTTGGCCTAAATATTAATCGTATATTAATGAAGGCTCGGTGGCGTAGTAGACAAGCACCGCGGCCCGCGATCGTAGTCGTTAAGCAACTTTCGCAAGGGTCGGTCACGGGATGGGTGACCAAAAAATTATTATCTCGAGCTACTCCGTGCTTCGGAAGGCACGTTAAGCCGTTGGTCCCGGCTGCATTTGCAGTCGTCAATACCCTCCAATCCGCATTGGGCCAGCGTGGAGGGTCATGGCCCATCCTCCTTAACCATCCATAAGGAAGGCCTGAGCCCCTGCAGTGGGGACGTAAAAGGGCTGGTGGTATTAATGAAGACAACAAAACTGTATAATTAAAACAATATTTCCCTTAATTTGACATTAGAGAAAAACATATATCGCCGTCAAAAATAAATGTAATCTCCTCCTTTTCGATTTTGAAGTCGATTAAAAATAAATAATTAGTATTCCGTGTTACGTTAGGGTAGCACGTAAAGTGAAGTTCAACTATTTTGCTGTTTATCTCATAGAGTGATAACTGTAGAGTGTTATTTAATAGTTCAAATCTATTACGAATGTGTGAAAGGAAACAAAACACAACTTTAATCTTTTAGAGTTCAATTTCATCATATATACTTCAATAATTCATATTATCTAGTTGTATTTCATTATGAGATTACACGATGTACGGAATTTGGACCATGTTATCAACTATCGGACAATTTTTTTTTTATATTCACGCAAAATATATTTTAATACTCTCAGATACAAGATCGTGTGCCGGATCGTGTGTAGCAGCCCATCGCACGCTCCATCCATGCTCCGGCCAGCACAGCCTCCCTCGATACTCAGTACCGTCCACTGAACTCGATCTAACACCTATCACCGGGAACCATGTCAACATAAAAAATATGTATTATATTACTACACTAATTAAGATGCTATCTTAAATTTATTAATATGACCAGGTGGAATATGGATAAAAACAAAATTGTTTATTCGAAAAGCTTTAACGTATAGTTAAGAATATGCACCCATGCCATAGTACGCATTTTAGCTTTAGACGATTAATGGTCAATAAGAAAACACGTAAAAAAGGAAATACGAAAAATATCGTGATACTTTTATCTTGAAACGATTAATTGAGATCATGATCAAGTTACACACTTAAACTTCGAATACTTAACTGGTAGATGGATAACAAGAAAGAAAATAAAATTAGACCTTCTAGGTAATTTTTATTTAAAAGCTAACAAGCTTAATATGATATATTCATCCATTTATCCGTTATAGTCCCATATCCTCTTACGTTAAAAGTCCAATAAATTTATATAATATATTTAGAAGTTCTAGTTAGAGCAACGAATTATGCACAGAGCCACGCTTAATAGATAAAGCAAATGTATTTGTATAAAATATGTATACGCAAGTAGCTACATAAAGGCATTTGTTTAAACTGTAGATATTACTATACTAATTAAATGCAAATATTAGATAATACCATACACACTGAGGTGATAAGTAACTATACAACTGAAGGAAATGATGATGCTTATTACTGCAAAAATTGTACATACGTAGAAAAGATAGAAAACGCGTAGGTTATTGAAATCGGATGCGGAGCAGGAATATCTGCCGGATTCCACGCCTTTCCCCCAAATGTGAGGGTGCACCGGAGGAGTTTAGGTATGCCATCCACATTTTGATTAGCCTTCGGGCGGGTCTGTGTGGTCGCCTGACAAGTGGCAGGGACAGAACATAAAGCATTCCTCCTACTAAACAAAAAATATCCAAAAACTTGTTTTTCTAAGTTATATAATCTTTATTACCGATATTTAGGGCAGTGCATAATAAAGATTATCATATATCGATTAGGGATTTTGACGTAAGAAACATGACAGATACCGATGCATACGTCATATTCACCTACCTAGAGCAAAGAGTAAGTTAGAGCCCTATTACGTCCCCACTGCAGGGGCTCAGGCCTTCCTTATGGATGGTTAAGGAGGATGGGCCATGACCCTCCACGCTGGCCCAATGCGGATTGGGTAATAACGACTACAAATGCAACCGGGACCAACGGCTTAACGTGCCTTTCGAAGCATGGAGTAGCTCGAGATAATAATTTTTTGCTCACCCATCCCATGACCGACCCTTGCGAAAGTTGCTTAACAACAACGATCGCGGGCCGCGGCGCTTATCCACTTCGCCACCGAGCTACACACTACTAACTATGTGCCGTCTATGTATAGATAAGTTGAGTAAGGCAGATATAGATCATGATGATAGACGATGACCTCCATAGCCGAGTGTAATGTAAAAATTAACTCTTTCATATTGTCTCGGTTCTGGATGTTTTATTACCTTCGTTATATCAGATACTCAATGAGGGCTTTTCGCAACTCATCTAGGGAGCAATGACATGTTGTTTTATAGGGATATTATGGTAGGAACGCTGTTGTTTTCTTAAAAAAATATTCAGCCAGCAAAATCCAAACATCGGACTGGTGACAGCCGCCAGGCAATGACTAGGTAAGAGTAAGGACACAGATAATACTAAATGTGTGCATATAAGTTATCTTATTTGGTGCAACGTGAAATATGAAG